CTCAGTGAGGACATTTGGAAAAAAATAACAATTTTTTTTAACCATATAATTAATAATGCGTACACACCAAAAATTTGGAAAGAATCAATAATTATTCCCATTCCTAAGGAAGGAAAATTTGGATTTAGAGAAAAAACTTCAACCACTCATGCTTTAGCAAATTTTAACAATATAATTGTTAATAAAGTCAGCGAGGCCAAACCACTACATGTGATCCTTTTGGACATTCAAAAGGCTTTCGACACTGTATGGATCCCGGCTTTAATTTAAAAAATGAAAAAATTCGGCATCAACCCTTGGCTATGTAAATATATACTTAACTTCTCCACAGAAAGATTTTTTCAAGTTAGAATCGGTGAATACACCACAAACAAATATAAAATTCCCAATGAAGTTGCACAGGGAGCAGTCATTTCTCCAATTTGCTTCTCAATCTACATATCGGACATGCCTACATTCTATCCCATTAATGACACACAAATAAAATTAAGTCAATTTGCCGATGACACGGCAATTATCGCATACAATGAGAAAAATAATATTGAAGATTTAAGAGACGACCTCAATAGTTATTTGGAAACTCTCTCAAATTACTTCGATACATGGAAAATAATGTTAAATTCGGAAAAAACCATTTCAATGTCCTTTGTTGGACACTACACAATAACAAAATACAAACAATAATAATAATAGAAAACAAGCATACAAATGTCAATTCACGTTGAATAACCACTTAATCGCCAAGACAAAGAAGATTAAATATTTGGGAGTAATTTTTACCCCCGATTTAAATTTCTATAGACAAATCGATTACACAATAAACAAATCAAAATCAGCCCTTGGCCAGTTGAATAACATTTTTAAAAATAAATTAATTAACACAGATGTCAAACCGTTAATCTTGCATTAAATTTTTATGATAAAATCGATATAAACAGGGATATTAAACCATTTAATGAATGGCAAAATTTACTTCAAGCAAGCAATGGTTTTCACAGGCAACCTGCCTATAACTGGCTTAAAAACAAATCCAACGAACTTTTCGAATTTGACGGCAAACTACTTTTTTACAACAAAAACAGATCGGGCAACATAGCCTATATCACACACCAATAGATATAGTTACGGTTTTTATTTTTATTTTCCCGTATTTATTAAAAACTAACACATTAAAGAAAATTGTTTTTTTAATAAAAAATAAATTTTTGTTGAGATATCTAAACTTTTGTATAGATTTAAAAAAAAAAAATCATTTCTACCAATAATCTATACATTATTTCCGTGTGTGCATAGTTTTGCTTGTTTTCTTTAATTTTTTCAATTCGACAACAATCGGTAGTTAGAATTGATTTGAATCCAAATAAATATATAAGATCTATTTATTTGATTTTATATGAATTGTTCAAATAAAATAGATCATTTGAATGGGTTGGGGTTAAAGTGAGCTGAAATTTTGATATAAAAAAATCTCAATCATGAAATCGGTAAAAATAAATGACCAACTAAACTGAGATGAAAATAAAAGAGCAACATGATTCATGTTGGTCTTTTATTTTCACTCTAAACATGTTGAACTTTTATTTTTACGCTGCGCAGTTCCTGTTATCAATCCCGTTAGGAATAAGAGTTTTTTTATTCTGATCTCATCAGATGATACAGAAAATTGAATAGAATTTGTAAATCGAAGGAAAAGAAATATGTTTTTTCATGGAAGGCTTGTATGAAAAACACGGAAGACCGCTGAAATAAATAAAAACTCAACTTGATAGGACTTCCAATAAAACGTGAACTTATTTGCTTTGAAAATAAAACACCACCGTGCGCAGCGTAAAAATAAAAGTTCAAGTTCATGTTTAGAGTGAAAATAAAAGACCAACATCGAAAAGTGGCCGTATCGAAAAGTGCCGGAACAAAAAGTCTCCCACAAAGTTTCAAAAAGATCAAAATCGAGTACGCAAAATCGCACAGACATTTTGATTTTTCATAGAGATTCATATGACATTTGAACGGATTGACCGATTTCGACGTTTGAGGTATCGTTGGAAAGGAATTAAGCTCTAGAATCAGGATATCGATGTTTCAGGGGTCAACGACCTCATTTGGTGCTATCTATGGCTGCAGAACTGAATTTCGCCCCTTTTCAAGAAAGGACAATATTTTGAAGACAGACGGACCGATTTTTCAACTTACTTAGATATTTTTTCTTAACCTATGGCCTAAGGGCTTTCCAACCATACATCAATCGGCCAAAGCCCTTCTAGGTCTGGATTTCGTATATTTCGTGTATATATAGCGAGTTCGACTTTTCAACACACTAATGTGGTTTCGTCACTCGCGCGAACTGCCGTCCGCTGTGATTTATATTCATCATTTCAATTGAGATTTTTTTTAGCTTATTTGTTTATTAGCACCTAAAAGTATTACTAATGCACTTAAAAATTGGGTTTATGTTTTATTGGAGCCGTTTGAAGCTGGCTTATCCAAAGGCTTAATAATTCTAGTCTCTGTCTTTTTTAATTTGCATTTGTAGGGCAATACTCTCCAAAGATTGAATAAAAGTAACTGGCATTTGATTTGACTGCATAATATTCTTTTAAACAGTCAAAAGATCGTACACATTGTACAACTTTTTATAATGTTGGCGTACAAATTTATTCTGGGGTTAGCAATAGCATTTTGTGTTGTTAAGTTAACATTTGCGAATATAGATTGTCCAGATCAAAACAATTTGAGACTACACGTTGTGTCAGGAATTGAAGTTGGCCGCCCTAGAATTGAAGCTACAAAGACTCTACCAAAATCACGGTAAGATTTTCACTTCTCGAATTTATTGTTCGAAAGCAAAAACTAATTATTATTTCATTGAATTTTACCAGAACCGTTCCATGGAATACCGTTTTTGTCACCAACATACCAGAAATAGAACTATTGCGAAACCCAAGCAAATATTTTTCTGGCCAGAATAAATGCTGTCTGAATGGTACCTTTTTTCACAGTACAATTGTAGAGGAGATATCTGTCTACCCACACCTTCTCTACCTCGCACATGCTATTTTCCATATGGCATTCAGAGTAATTTTTATTTTTCACCCTATGATTAAGATTTTTAAAACCACATATTTGATTATGATTAGTAAGTTATGAAAGTGTCAATTATAATATATTTTCACTTCTATCACTATCCCTTTCGAAACTATAATTCCTATTAAAAAATGTATAGCACTTTGAAACTAAGTTACTTTTAAGAAAAAATGTCAACCAATACTTGGTTTTTTTAAATAAGAAAAATATATTCTAAAAATATATTATAAGTAAACACATCTGTACTGTCGTCTGGTATAAGGTGGACATTTAAACTTGAAATAAATAAATCATAAATTGTGCAAAGAATTTAATTTTTGTTTTTATTAAATCTTCCAATAACCAATAGTTAAATTAATCAAATGTCAAAAGAAATTGATGAAAACAATTTCTACTAATCGTATCGATTGCGATGAAAAATAACATGAGATAAGAATAACAGTTTTGTTTATAAAAGGCGAATAGTTTCCATTAAAATCATCTATCATTAATCAGCATTTATTGTGTCAGTCCATTGTTTTCATTAAAATTCAATTCTGGCTATACATCTGTAGAAACCATCGGGGCCGGCATAAGCAATTTTAGACAGAGCAACTAAATGAATGTGATTTATTTCTTGAAAACCAAACTCAAAATCACCATAATGTTCCAAAATTTGTGTGGCATCAATGGATTTTGTGCCATCTGTCGCATATCTCACATTCATCACAGTCATATGTAATTTTACAGCGTTTCGATCAGATTCTTGTTTTGATAAACCTTGAATTTAAAAAAATAAAAAAATAATTTCATATTTTTTTACATACATCTATTGATTTGTATTATTATTCAACCTGCATCGATGAATGCTCTGGTAATGCCATCGGCAACTTTTTGTAGAGCTTCTGATTCAATTTTTGCATAGACTACTCGTGCCTTTTTCCGGTTTCTATTCATTACATCTAATCCATGCACATTGATCGTGATTTTACCGTAGTTGCTTATGACTGGCCTAAGTACATACAAGAAATGGATAAATATTCGTGTCTTATTCTGTGCATTTATTGGTTTACTTCACAATATTTTCGTTACAATCATTAAGGATCTGTATTGCCCGGTTGTGATCATCCGCATTCTTCAAGAGCATCATCCCGAATGTTATATGGAGTTTTTTTTGTCTCATGAAAACCGCTTCTGGGACATTTTTTATCTTCTCATTGCTCAGTATGCTATCCTGTTAAATATGCATAACACAATAGTTAAATTATAACTAGAATTCAATGCTGAAAATCAATACTTTTAACATCGCACAATTCTCTTGAATAGTTGGATTGGTAATTTTAACACAAGTAAAATGTGTAAACGATGATCGTTTTTGTTTATTATCTCCCATTTTCGGTTTCTTTGATTTGTTTTCGGGTCGAGTAAACATTTAGATTTATGTCATCTTTTCTTCATTCCATTTCAACTGTTCACTCTCAAAGTAGATTTGATCAAAGTGAAAAAAAAAATCAAGAATATTTTCTGTGAATAAAACAATGTAATTCCAAACACAACGGACTGAAAACAGCAGTGAAATAAATATTATATTTTCAAATCTTTTGAAAAAAATGTGTTTGAATTTAGTATGAATTGCTAATGTTACTTCTAATATTCACACAGTTTGAAGTGTTTTTGCTGTTTATGTCCTCTGCTACAAGATAATGGTTTAAATAAATCCAAATCAAATTAATTTGTTTAATTTTTACTTCAACACACTATTGAATTTATTAGAAAACCCAAATGTACATTTCAGAAGCTATGCTTCCTTCATCAGTGAGAATGTGAAACAAACTGACACAATTTACAAAAATCAAATGACAATAAAAGCAATGATATATTAAATTTTAAATGACCAAAAATGAAATGTATGCTATGTTTTAAATTTGAATCTTACTGAAAATTGAATTTCTATTTGCAAATTCCAAAATGACCCAGAATGAAATGTTTACTATGTTTTTAAAATTTAATCTTACTGAAAATTGAATTTTTGATTGGACCATCATTTTCATTCATTAAATTATTTCGATTTTTATGTATAAAATATGACTCAAATGCATCTAATTCATAATATTTGTTTACATTTTTAAGCAACTTTAATTGTGCTTCATTAGTTTGATGATCTTTCTCTTTCATATGTTTGGCCACGCTTGACTTGTCGACCTCCAATCTTTTCGTGTGTGCATCGTGTTCACTGTATCGTATGATAATTTTCCTACGTGATTGGCCTATGTATTCTTCGTCACAGATTGCACATTTGATTGAGTATATTCCCGACTGATGTTTATCGTCGATTTTATCCTTTGAACCACCTATCAAATGTTTGAGTTTTTTATCACTATATTCGCTAATTTTGATGTTATGGATGCTCAAAATCTTCCTGATATTTCGTGTTAATACAGGATAGTAACAAATACTTGACCAAAGGTCAATGCCACTCTCACTGTTATCTCTTATGGTGTTCAATGTGGTGTATTCTCTTAGTTCTTTCTTTCTTTTGTGTGCAATTAACAAATCATCAATCAGTTGTTCAGTGTAACCATTTATATTTGCAATTTGTTTTATTCGCTGTATTTCTTTGGTCAAATTTTCTTCATTCATTGGAATGTTGAGCGCTCTATATATCATCGAATGAAAACTTGCAATTTTGTGTTGAAAAGAATGAAATGAATCCGATGTAATGTAACGACCTGTGGTGGTTGGTTTGCGAAAAATATCAAATTCAAGCTTTCCTGCGTTGCGACTGATGGTTAAATCAAGGAAATTCAGTTTATCTTCTTGCTCTTCTTCATACGTAAACTTGATCGAGGTATATCTTGTGCCATTTAAACGGTTCAAAAATTGTCTCAAACCTTGCTTTTTCATAATTGCATAAACATCATCTACATATCGATACCAAATGCGTGGAAAACTTCCCTCTTTCCTCAACTCCGTTTCAAAGTTTGACAAAAACAAATTGGCTAAAAATGGACTTAATGGTGAGCCCATACAGCATCCAAATTCCTGATTTCCATTACCAGGCATGATTAGGAGGACAAAATTGGCAGTTAAAACAGCAGCTGATTTTTTTGCAGAAGATTTCTTAACTTTGAAACTACACGTTTCAAATCCGACAATTCCTCGTTTTTACACTCAAATTAAACTACATAAACCCGGCCGGAAATTGCGTCCAATATCACCAAACACTAATGCTCCAACTGAGAAACTTGCTGTTTGGCTTCTTAATGAATTCAACTCAATGGCGATCAAATTTGAATCATCAGCAATTAGAAATTCAGTCGAGTTTGTAAACAAAATCCAAGATGTTGAGATCAATGAAAATGAAATTCAAGTTTCATTTGATGTGGAAGCGTTATTTCCGAACATACCAATTAATGACACGTTAATTTTTCTACGTAAGTGGTTAGAACAGAACAACATTGATATCAAAAAAATTGACGAATATATCAAACTCACTAAATTATGTATGGAAGAAAATTGGTTTTGTTTTAACGGAAAATACTATCGTCAGGAATTTGGATGCTGTATGGGCTCACCATTAAGTCCATTTTTAGCCAATTTGTTTTTGTCAAACTTTGAAACGGAGTTGAGGAAAGAGGGAAGTTTTCCACGCATTTGGTATCGATATGTAGATGATGTTTATGCAATTATGAAAAAGCAAGGTTTGAGACAATTTTTGAACCGTTTAAATGGCACAAGATATACCTCGATCAAGTTTACGTATGAAGAAGAGCAAGAAGATAAACTGAATTTCCTTGATTTAACCATCAGTCGCAACGCAGGAAAGCTTGAATTTGATATTTTTCGCAAACCAACCACCACAGGTCGTTACATTACATCGGATTCATTTCATTCTTTTCAACACAAAATTGCAAGTTTTCATTCGATGATATATAGAGCGCTCAACATTCCAATGAATGAAGAAAATTTGACCAAAGAAATACAGCGAATAAAACAAATTGCAAATATAAATGGTTACACTGAACAACTGATTGATGATTTGTTAATTGCACACAAAAGAAAGAAAGAACTAAGAGAATACACCACATTGAACACCATAAGAGATAACAGTGAGAGTGGCATTGACCTTTGGTCAAGTATTTGTTACTATCCTGTATTAACACGAAATATCAGGAAGATTTTGAGCATCCATAACATCAAAATTAGCGAATATAGTGATAAAAAACTCAAACATTTGATAGGTGGTTCAAAGGATAAAATCGACGATAAACATCAGTCGGGAATATACTCAATCAAATGTGCAATCTGTGACGAAGAATACATAGGCCAATCACGTAGGAAAATTATCATACGATACAGTGAACACGATGCACACACGAAAAGATTGGAGGTCGACAAGTCAAGCGTGGCCAAACATATGAAAGAGAAAGATCATCAAACTAATGAAGCACAATTAAAGTTGCTTAAAAATGTAAACAAATATTATGAATTAGATGCATTTGAGTCATATTTTATACATAAAAATCGAAATAATTTAATGAATGAAAATGATGGTCCAATCAAAAATTCAACTTTCAGTAAGATTAAATTTTAAAAACATAGTAAACATTTCATTCTGGGTCATTTTGGAATTTGCAAATAGAAATTCAATTTTCAGTAAGATTCAAATTTAAAACATAGCATACATTTCATTTTTGGTCATTTAAAATTTAATATATCATTGCTTTTATTGTCATTTGATTTTTGTAAATTGTGTCAGTTTGTTTCACATTCTCACTGATGAAGGAAGCATAGCTTCTGAAATGTACATTTGGGTTTTCTAATAAATTCAATAGTGTGTTGAAGTAAAAATTAAACAAATTAATTTGATTTATTTAAAACACACGAAAATCTCATTATTATTCTATTAAATAAATCCATTTACTCAGAGTATAAAAATCAAAAATAAAATGCAATTTGAAATATAAAATGTGACATCGAATGGGTTTGGTGGCGCCATCTATTGAAAGTCGATTTAAAATTGAAGACATATTATGTTCACGCGTAAAAGCATGAAATTTGTCAAAATTGTGTGTTTTCAATGTTACTGCTTCATTATGATAGATGATAATGATAAGAAAGCGAAAATACGACAAAGAAAATAATTGTTTTAAGTGTTGTGGTTGAGATCTCATGGTTATCAGTAGAATAGATTTTCAATAGCATAGTTTAAGTCATAAGAATCAACTTCAGTCTTCCAGTGAGTAACATCATATATTTGCTTATATAAGTTTTGTATATATATAAATTATAGATACGATGACATCAAGAAAAAGTGCATGTGGTTGCTATTGTTGATTTTGTTTGATAGAGTAAACTGTTCATTAAGTTCATCAAATTCATTTAGTAATTATTTAAATCGTTGTTAATTTTTGTTGGAATTTATAGTGCAAGTTCAAAGTCAATTATGGTTGTGTGAGAACAGACATTTCGATGACTGTCTTTATTATTAAGCAAACAATTTATCAATTTTTATGTTTTTGTACAAGACGTGCTGTTGCAATTCAAATACAATCATCTCGTCTCGCCTGAACGCTTATTTATTTGGTTGGTAATATTTGGTAATTCGTTTTGAAGATAAATAAAAATGTTGACATTTCACAATCAGTTGAGTTTAAGCCATCTCAAAAACCACTTATCATAGTTTCATCTCTCAATTTGATCAGCTGTTGGTCGCAATCTAAAACTATCGGTCACATTTTATTCATTCCAGAATTGAGTGTTAAGAGACGGGTGTGCTTAAAAATGAGCAGTGATTTTAATTTTGATGCAACAACGTCAAATAGACGCGTTTTAGCGATTCAAAGCCATGTCGTGCATGGATATGTGGGCAACAAAAGTGCAACATTTCCACTTCAGGTTTGATTTGTCGTCTCACTCCGTTTTCAATTCACCGCAATCTATTGAGGGTTCAAATTTTGTGAACGATTCTATTTTGAATATAGGTTTTGGGTTTCGATGTGGATGCAATTAATTCAGTGAATTATTCAAACCACACTGGCTACAAACATGTCAAGGGACAAGTATTAAGCGATAAGGAATTGAGTGAGTTCAAATATACAGTAATACTTTTTTATATTTGTTCAACATTTTATTCTATTTTGGAATAGATCATGTTTTTAGCGGATTGGAGCAAAACGGTTTACTCAGTACTTATTCACATTTACTAACTGGTTATATTGGGAACGATTCCTTTTTAACCGAAATTAAGGACATCGTTAAAGCCATGCGTCAAGCAAATCCAACATTTGTATATGGTAAATGCACGATTGAAAAATCATTTGAAATGATTAGAAAATTGACCTTATTGAGTTATCATCATTTTTGTTTGCAGTATGTGATCCAGTTTTGGGTGATAATGGACATTTGTACGTACCAGAGAGTTTAATTCCAATCTATCAAAACGATATATTGCCATTATGCGATGTATGCACGCCAAATCAATTTGAAGCCGAATTACTATCTGGAATCCAAATAAATTCGAAGGAAGATGCATGGAAAGCAACCGATTGGTTTCATGCAAAAGGTGTTCGAACTGTTGTTTTATCATCAACTAACTTTGCGTCAAATGATGTACTAATCGGATTTTTGAGCCATAAAAATGGTAATAAAAAATCACACATTTTTAGTAAAAAAAAAATGTTCTATTGACAATTATTTATCTGTTTGTAGGCGAGAAAAGGTCAAGGCACACCATATCAATTCCAACCCTTGGCAATTCCAATCTGGTATTTACGGGTGTTGGTGATTTATTTGCAGCATTATTTTTGGCCCATTCCACCACAAAATCGAGTCTTTCTGAAGCACTTGAACATACGATAGCCTCTGTACAGGCTGTATTGAGGAACACAGTAAAAGCAATATCACAATCAGTTGGTATGTTTTTAATCAATTATCGTACATTTTAAATATTGATTTTCCCATTTTTTTTTTCGTTCGTCGCAGATTTGAGCAAAGAAAAACCAACGGCACAACAACGAGAATTGAAATTGATCCAAAGTAAATCGGACATCGAAAATCCAACAGTATTGATTCGAGCCAATGAGTGGCTTGAGGAGTGAGATAAAAATGAACTTTGACCAATATCAGCAGCCATAAATGAATTTGTACAGTAACAAGATGCTTGACAATAAATACGTGTGTGCAGTACACTTTACTGTTTGTACTCTAGTACAGTTTTTGCTGTTCGTAACGATGTTTAAGACAGAGTGACAATAAGAAGAGTCAAGCAGCCATATCGTCTTTTCTCAATGTGCTTTATTTATATCATTTGTTCAATATTTAATTTAAAAAAACAGATTATATGTTTATTTCGAATTGCGAATAAAAAGAAAAGAGTCTATTATTTAAATCTTGACGACTAAAATCGGCTTTTTCATAACTATACAGATTCAGAATCAATCCTGTTTTAAATTAACTATTATTCAACAGCAAAAAAAACATACTTGAAAATCCTGGCTTTATTTAATTTTATTTTGAATTTGTTAAACATGTTTTCTTAACAAGTTATTTGAGGCGATCTATGAATAAAAATGTTTATGTGCTTTTGTTGCTCATTATTACATGATTTCACTAGGATAGGTTTACGTTTTATATGAGAGAGCTGGGAAAAAATGAAAATTTTAATTGAATATCGAATTCTTGTTTCTTACTTATCACACTTGCTAAAAAATTAATGCTTACACTTATCATTACTACGTTCCCTAATTGATCGACAACTAAATACGGCATTCGAACACATGACATTTCTAAACAATCGTGCTATGCTTTGTTGTTTCTTTTGTATATATATGATTTCTTTAATGATATTTTTTACAGTGACAATGAAACTGGTTACACCCAATACAAATGGACATAAGCGCCGTTTTTTTTACGAAAGTGATGCATGTTTACTAACAGTTTACTAACAGAGTGTTTTATCTATACAATTTGAATTTCCTCAGCTAATAATGTTCGGCTGTTATTTCTTAGGGAAAACTCTGTATCGATTGATAGCATCATCTTTTCCTCGTCGGGCCAAAATATCGTTGGATTTGTTGATTTTTGTTCGTATGCCATCTGAAATAAACCGGGAGATTTAGTCACTTTGCTTCCAAAGAAATTAAAAAAAAAATGATTTGTTTACTTACTGACTACACATCGTGGGCTTCGTCTTGGGCTTCGTCGAATTTTTAACGGCGTTCGTTTGTTTTCCTTCATCGGTACAATTAACGTTGATTTGACTTTGGTCATTGGTTTTGTGACTGCTTTTGGAGCTGCAAAACCTTTATGCACATTCGGATTGCTTTCTTTTAAGGCGCGCACCGATGCACCTTTGATTGCATTCAAATTGATTTTCGGTTTGATGGCAAATGTTGCATTCATATTAGCATCATCGGAATTTAAATCGTCATGTTTTTCCAATACTTGTGTTGCGTCTAGATTTTGGCCATCGAAAATTGATCGGACGACACGTTTCTTTGTTGGAATAACTTCGATATCGTTGGCACTTTCACGATTTCTTTTGTTCGTATGCACAACCATGTCGTCGTCGTTGACGTCATCATCATCTTTTGACAATAAGTCGGCGTCGAATAGGTAATCAATTTGATTTGTATTCTCGGTAATTTCAAACACCTCGTCTGATTCCGTAAATTTAACACCACGTTGGTCATGAAATTTATAGACTTGTCTAAACTTTTCACGCATTGCTTCTGTGATCAACATATTTCCATTCAATAAATAATAGGCATCTTGCAATATCTCATCACTTAATTCGATTATTTTGCGTGATTTTTCATTTTCATGATTGTAGATTTGCAACACCTTCATTGTATGATCGGATTTTAATAGCAGTTCTGTATTCTTTTGCTCAATATCCTTGCTCACCAAATACGATTGCAAAATCGGATTGTTCTAAATGAGAACGAAAAAATTATGTGTCATTTGATGAAATTCAATCTTTGATTTTATGTTAAAAAAATTACTCACCAAATTGGCAATTTCATTTTGAATTTCAGTCAATTGCGTTCGGCTTGCCTTGAAACGAGCCATCCATCGATCCTTATCCATTCGGAATACATCCATTTGTTTGCTGAACTTTCCAATGGATGCTTCCACTCGAGCAAGATCCTGTTGGAAAAAAGAATATAAATTATTTATTAATTAATTATCAAAAATTAAATTAGAAAAAAAAATGTTTTTTTTTTTTTTCATTAAAAAGGCAACGAATACGTTTGTGAACAGGTCGCTAAGTATTAGTTCAACGTTGTGCCAACAGATGGCCAACCGCATTTCGCTTGACTTTGACACTTTAATTATATCAAATAAAAAAAAACTACCGTCAATAAGACTGATCGAATAAATAAATACTTTCGAATTGTACGTATTTGAAAATCTACAAAAAAATGTTTCCAGTACGTTCAATTTCGATGTTGTGTCCAACATTACGCAGCATTGGAATTAGAAGTGCAACATTAACGATGCCAAAACCGTGTAGATTCATAGAAAATAATATAAGTGTTGCAACAGCCGTGCAATTCGGGAGTGTGCGTCACTATGCCAAAGGAAAACAAAAGGAAAAGGCACGAAATAAAGGCGTTAAATTTGCGACATACAAATTACCCGAAAGCCAATTAAATGAGATTGTAAATTTGGACAAATATCGACAGAAGTTACAGAAGCCAGTCGATACATTGCAGTCGGATTATATAAAACATTTATCGTTGCGTTCAACAACCGGTTCAATTGAAACCGTCAAAGTCAAAGTCGACGGTGAAGATCATGATTTACAAGATATCGCCCAAATTATTCGAAAGAATCCGAAAACCATTGTTATCGATATGATTGCATTTCCGCAATGGATTCCAGCCGCCTTATTGGCCATGCAAAAAAGTGGCCTCAACCTCAATCCACAACAAGAAGGTACAACAATCTATGTGCCCATCGCAAAGGTGACCAAGGAACATCGTACCACATTGGCGAAAAATGCAAAAGCATTATTCATCAAATGCCGTGATGCAATCAAAAGTGTTCAAAACGACATACTCAAAAAGGTTCGAAATAACACGAAAATATCGCAAGATGATAATTTTGCAGCACAAGGACAATTGACGGAAATGGCCAATGAATATGTGGCACAAGCCGAACAAATTTTCGAAACCAAACAAAAAGAATTGCTAAACTAATCATGTCTTTCAAATTCAATAGAAATTCATTAGACAGCCCAATCAAAAAAAATTTTTTTTGCTTTTGTTAAAATAATTGCTATGTTATGATAAATAAATGAAGAAAAAAACACATTTGATTCAATTGAATATTAAAAGCTTTGCACTTACTTTTTTCATGCATTCATTGTCCATGCTGAATAATTTGCGACTTTGTTCGGTGTTTTCCTTGTATTTTGTTCGCAATTTTAATAGTTTCTCTTTGCTGGACATCAAATAGTAGTTTTCTTGTGCCGTTCGAATGTCTTTGTAGATTTTGTTTATTTTATCTTTCCATGAATCGGCCTGAGCCATATAGTTTGCAATGATCTCCTCTGGATTGACATTGTTGTTTACATTCGAGCTTCGTTCGGCCAATTGTGCTTGTAATGATTTGATGCATTTTTGTAGTTCTTCAACTTCGTGCGTTTTATCGGTTAATTTATTCACATAAAACTCTTTCGGCAAATTCGTTTTGAATAAATTCTTTTTGATAGTTGTTGTACGTATCTTCTGAGCTCTACAAAAGGCAAAAAAAAACACATGAAAAAATAATTGGTGTGATTCGTCGTTGGACGTCTTCAATGCCAAACATTTTACTCGTCTAACAAACAAATGCACATTTCATATTCATTACCTGCTGGCGTATTTGAGTGTGTTGTATGTGTCTTCGTACGTAAGCGATGATGGTGAAATGTTTGCAATCATCACCGTCCGACAATTGCCACCAAGACTGTCTTTTAATATGCGCGTCATGTTTGAGTCACGATACGGAATATGTTTTGAACCGTCGGCTAATTTATTGATACAATTTCCAAGGGCCAACAATGATTTATTGATACTGGCACCTTCTTTGAATCGTTGACCAATGCATTTTGTGCTGGAACCACGTTCACTGCCCGCCAAATCGATCATCGACAATTTTACGGTTCGCTTTTGATTACTACTTTTGTTTGTCATTCGAATGTGAACTTGAAAAATGGCATGACTGCGGCTACTCTCTGCAAAACAAACCATATTTCAATCATTATTGATAAATCAATTTTTGGGGAATGATTGCATTTGTGTTACTTACCGGCATTGGCATCGGTTGGATGCTGTGTACGATTGCGATTGCCTAATGCAAGCAATGAAAGTAATTCGTCTGCATCAAAAATTGGTTTTAATTCCAAACCACCAACAGCAACACCATTTGCATCTTCACGTAATTTTAATGGGCCACGTTTTGTGAGTAAATTCATCACTTGTTCGTTGTACACCTCAAGATATGATATGCCAATGTCAAATTTTCGATCTTCACTATTTGCATGGATCTGATTGAATAACTCTTTCATTGTTAAATAAGTGATGCCCGGAATTTCTTCATTGCCAAGCATTGTAAATGTTTTACCAGCACCGGTGGCCCCGTACACAAATGCCGAACAATTGTATCCTTCCAGTACGGACAAAATGAGTGGTCGCATGGCAAACATAAAAATATCATGATTTGTTGCTTGGTTGTCAAACACCTGATCGAATGTCATCGTCAAGTTTTTACTAACACGTTTCGTAATATCACGATGCGTTTGTCGGGCACCATGAAAAAAGAATTCATCTTCATCTTCATCGGGATCGAAAATGATTGTGTTTTGATCGGCAACACGAATGATATTACGTTGATTTTGTTCCATTTCACTGCGGCTGAATGGGCGTACACGCAGCACTACTTGCATGTTACGACTCTTGTCGTTTGTCATCTTGTTTTTTTTTTATTATTTTGTTATAACGAAATCTTAAACGAAAAAAAATAAATGATAGAAATTCACAAATGGCAAAAACTGAAAGGATTTTATCTAAACTGAATTTATTTGTCACTTTTAAAACTCAATCAAGCAAACATTTCAAATTGTTGTGTGTCTCATTTCATTGACATTCATTTCACACAACATCGAGAAAAAAAAACAACAACTACAAACAATGCGTGTAATTTATATTTTCAATACACTTACTATTTTTTATTTTACACTAAATCCACAATTTATTTTTATTCGTACCAAAAATCGGGAATAGAAAAATAAAAAAAAATGAAAATCGTTTGTTTTATAGTTATGAAAACAACACTCATATGAACTTTATTCAAACAAAACAGTGAGTGTTGGCTTGCATCTATCGTGCGACAATGCGACCGTTTGTATTAGTCACAATTGGTGGCTTTTTAAATTTTTAAATATTTCGTATTGTTTGGTTGGCACCACGCACCATTGCCATTAACGCAACGGAAAATCATTAAGTTGCATCTAATATGTACTCAATACAATGGCATTCAATACACAGTATGGCCAACCATCTGTCTCGCATTGTTTAAGACTCGTTTCGGTTACGCGTAAATTTTATTTCCATTTTTTTTTTGCCAAACAAAATGTTTGAAATGAGTTTTTTTCTCGCTTGTTTATTAGTATTTTAATTTTTAAAATAAATATTGATGAAATTTTAAAAAAAATTGCCTCTGTGGAGGCAAAAAAACTAAATGAAAAAAAAACTTTACTTCCATGCATCACTTTTACTTAAGTACCCTCCATTTTTACTTTTGTTCATACTTAGTGGTGTCACCTTTTTGAAAGTACATTTGACTAACAAGTCATTAGATTATCATTTTTGACGATAAACAATACAAAACTGAGAGTGCAAATTTTTGGCCGGATTTTTTTTCTGTTCCATTATTGATTGTTATTAGTTTTTGTTTCCTAGATTAATCATTTTCATAAGTAGGCATAAAAAATTGAAGCGGGTTTCACAGCAATGGACGCATCACCATCATCCGAACCATTTGGCCGAAGATGGATGCACGTTCGAAAAATTTTGGAACGTTCTGGTCCATTTTGTCAACCAGAATTTTCACCATCCGTAAATATATTTGAATTTCTGATGAAAACATGTAAAATATTGGTGATTGGTGCCGGCGGTTTGGGCTGTGAATTGCTCAAAGATTTGGCTTTGATGGGATTCTGTGATATTCATGTCATCGATATGGATACGATTGATTTGTCGAATTTGAATCGTCAGTTTTTGTTCCGTCGCAACGATATCGGCAGTTCAAAGGCATTATGTGCGGCCAAATTCATCACTGAAAGGTGAACACAACACATTTTTTTATCATTTTAGATCAACTAATATATATTTTTTTGCCACACCATTTTAGAATACCTTCGTGTAATGTTACGCCACATTTTTGCAAGATTCAAGATTACGATCAAGATTTTTATCGAAAATTTCATATTGTGGTGTGCGGTTTGGATTCATTGGTTGCCCGCCGATGGATAAATGGCATGGTAACATCGTTGTTGGTTTATGAAGATGACGGAAGCATCGATCAATCGTCGGTCATTCCGATCATCGATGGTGGCACTGAAGGCTTTAAAGGTGGTGCACGTGTTATTTTACCAGGCGTAACAGCTTGCATTGAATGCACATTGGAATTATATCCGCCACAAATTACATATCCATTGTGTACCATTGCGAATACACCGCGGTATGTAACTTACAATCGGTCATTGTTTTTTTCTGTTTATCGGTGTTTTTCATTGTTGTTTTTTTTTTAGTTTGCCCGAACACTGCATTGAATATGTCAAATTGATTCAATGGGAAAAAGAGAGTCCGTTTGACTCTGAATTGGATGGTGATGATCCGCAGCATGTGTCATGGGTTTATGAAAAGGCACAAGAGCGTGCAAATCAATACAACATAACTGGTCTTTCATATCGTCTGGTTCAAGGTGTGCTTAAGCACATAATTCCGGCCGTCGCAAGTACCAATGCAATTATTGCGGCAAATTGTGTTACAGAAGTATTCAAAATTGCCACAAGTTGCTATCAATTCTATAATAACAGTTTGCTGTTCAACGATATTGATGGCATTTATACGTATATTTTTGAATCGGAAAAGAAGGAGGACTGTTTGAATTGCTCAAATATTCCGATGACGGTATCATTTGAATCGGCCGACTCAATCACTTTGGAACGATTGATTGAATTCCTGTGCACCGATGTCGCTTTTCAAATGAGAAGCCCAGGTAAATTCAATGATATGCAAATATATGCCATTTTTTATTAATTTTTTTTTTTTTAAATTTATTCAAACAGGCATAACGATGAATGTCGATGGAAAAAATAAAACACTGTACATTTCAACGGTGAAAAGTCTCGAAGAGCGATTGCGACCAAATTTGAAGCTAACGCTCGAAGAATTGAATGTGAAAAATGGCCAAGAGCTAACGGTTACCGATCAAACCAATCCAAATTCGGTTACGATTCGCATTAAATACACAAATGAAGTTTGAACACATTTATTTTCTTTTCCAAATGGGAATTTACTCACAATTATGAGTATTTACTCGAATAAATGTCTACGTCAAATCAATCAGTTGGATAAACTTAAACAGATTCAAATATCATGTATCCCAAATTAAAAAAAAAAAATATAAAAAACACGTGATAAAAGAAATCTTATTCGAATAAAAGAAGTTCAAAGTAATTTATTCATTTCATTTTTACTAATAAAAATGTACAAGATTTACTTTTTGTACTCATTTTTCTTTTATACAAGGACGTCTGATTTGATTCACATTTCTGAAACACGAACATTACCCTAAACAATGTTTTTTTATCTGTTTTCAAATTTGAAAGGTCATTCATCATTTCTTAAATTTTACTTTTTAATCGATAATTTCGGAAAATTTTTATTCAATTTGTTATCATTTTGAATCTCGTTGTGAAGCTTTAAGTGTTCGGGAACATCGCCACGTTTCAACAGTTGTCGGCATCGATCACAAACTTGAATGTATTTTTGTAATTTATTTAAATTATCGCTTGATTTGGCTTCATTGTGTTTCTCGATATAAGTGTGGTATAGTTCCTATTCAACACAAAAAACAAATGATGATGATTAACAAACAGCGCATTTACAATAAAACTTCTATAACCGATGGGTGTTACCTGTTGTTTGTTTATATCTGGCAGTAGAGCAAGAAGTTCTGGAAAAATGTTTTCGAATCGTTCACCCAAAACGGCTTCACAATGTTCATAGTAAGAACGAGAATTGCATAATCCACTGCGAAATAATTTCGAAACATTGCGAAATTCATCGACGGCTGGTGCTTTCAGCGATTTCATGAAATGACTAACTAAAATCTACATAAAAAAATAACAAACGTTTAGAATTCTTCTTCAATTGATAACTTCAAAATAGTTGATTTACTCACTTGATTTCGTTGCAAGGCATTCGACGGTGACATGTATGTGCTAGCTGTTGTGTCACTGGATAAATTTTCAAAACCGGGCGGAATAGTTGTGCTCTTTTCATTCCTTTTAGCTGGGAATCCGGGTGGTGGCATTGTAAAATGTGCCACCGATGAATATGAATTAACAATTCCATTTATTGTATTGTTGTCACCATTATTCTCTGTTGCAATCGAGTCGTTTCTTTTCTTTTCGCTTTTATTTGCGTTGGCATTTTTCTCGTTGTTCTCTTTTGTCTTCTTAACACTATCATTTTTTTTACCATTTGAATTGTCGGCTTTATCTTTTTTCTTTTCATTTTGATTTGGTTTTGATTTGACCTTCTTACTCGGGTCATCGTCTTTTTTATTGATTTCGAATGATTTAGTGGTTGGTAAAATTGGTGCCGGTGCGACTTTTAGTTTTTTACTAATTTGTTGTTGTTTTTTCCCAGTACCATTTGTTCCGTTCAACCATTGAGGTGCGCCGACTGACGATGATGCACCACCAAGTGCTGGAAAATTTTCCTTTGATTTAATCGATGGCACATAATCGGCTGCAACCGATTGTGATTTTGTTTCGGTTCGTTGAATGGTTTTTATCTTTTGATTGGCTAATGCATTGGCCGCTGAGCTTGACGTATCGAATGCCTGAACCAAAACTCGATGTTTCGATGACACAGCCGATGAACTGAACGATAATGGCGTTTCAATCATATCACTTTCAAGATTTGATCGTTTCGACGACGACGATGAACCGCCCGGCAATGCTGGAAAATCATTTGATTTGGTTGGCGTTGATTTGGCTTTATTTGTTGCACCATTTTTATTCGATGTATTATTATTGTTGTTAGATGCTGGTTTGGCTGGTGTTTTAAACAGTAACGTACTGGCATTTACAGTTTGCGCCGTAGATGGTGGTTTAAACGGCTCTCTCTGAGAACTACCACCCCCTAAGGCCGGGAAATTTTCTTTGGTTCTAGCAAGACCACTTGTCGATGGTCGCATATTTAACGCAACCGTTGGACGTATATTGATGGTTGCATTGCCAAGAGATGGAAACTCTTGTTCGTTTCTTGCATCGATTATTTTACGCGTTAGATTTGTGGTGGATGTTGTTGTATTTGATGTTTCATAGGAATTTTGCACATTTGCATTGTTATTCTCTTGATGATGATTGGCTCGACCTCGTGGCGCCAAATTGAATTGAAATTCAATGGTTCTTGCTTGCTTTGATGTTTGACCATGTACATTCGCTTTGTGGGCTGTTAATTTTAAATTTTAAAAAATTGTTTAGACATTTATTCTAACAAACGCAATTCGCATGGTATTCCAATTTTATTTTAGACCATTACCTTTAAGATCAATATCACTGCGAAAAACGGCCGTGAAAATATTTTCTTTACAGTCTCCTTCTTCACATAAAAAGTGTTGATCGATAAAATGTTCACGCAGACGTGTGTGATCCCTAGCGAAACGGAAATTTTGTTGAAATTAAAAAAAAAAAATAATTTCTTCACAAAGATGTATGATAGTTACGGATAAAAATGATTTGAACCGTCTGCATCACAATAGTGACAGAAATAATGCTCTTTTCGTAAGTGCCGGAATAATTCGTCACGATCTAAATAACGTTCATCACAGAATTCGCACAGCGGATGGCCACGATGCGATTTATTGTCTGGATCACCTTTCCTCCTGTGCATTGCCAATTGTTCTCTAGTATATGCACGTCGTTCGAAAGAGAATATCTTTTTTTTTTTTCGAAAGAATTTACGTTTTTAGTCTGAGCCATTTTCACATTATAATATTATATTTTGCGAACAATAAAATTCACCTTCAAATGTTCCATGCAAATATCACAATAGAAAACTTCATGTTTTCTCCGAAGATGATCTTTCAATGCGGCAGCAGTGTCAAATGGTTCGATATTGCATCTAAAAAACATGAATGTGAACCAATTTTTAATGCAATCCACAAGAAACCATTTTGGTGTCTGATTTTTTTTGACAATTTCACTCACTTATTGCATGTATGTTCCAAAAGACGTCTGAATGCATTTTGAGCACGTTGACCAGTGAAACAAATTCGAAATTGCTTGTCATAAAGGCACGATCGATTTTTTTGGTCGAGTTCTTTATATGGTAAAATTTCTGAAGTGAATATAACCTGTTTTCATGCAAATTTATTTTTAAGAAATGGTTCATATAAATTGTATAGACCGACCCAAATTCAATATTCACCTTTTGATTTATTCGACGACAAATCGGGCATTCATTTTGCTTGCACAAAACTCGCATTCCTAAAATTTCAAAAAAAGATATCCCATTGGAATTAATTGAATTCGCATTTGAAACATGAAGATTTCTTTTTTTTTTTTAATTAACATTATGGATCGCATACTTGTTGAGCATTCATAACAAACGGGATGATCGCATTCGCCAATGGAAAATATGTCAACAATTTTGAAACAAACAACGCATGTTTTGTCACTCTCACTAGCATGAACGATTGCTGGTGATTGAGCTTCTTGCTCAGGTGACTTTGATGCCAAATTATTAACGTCTGCTGCTGATGACATTCTCTCTATATAGTCCAAACAAAAAGCAAATTAGTAATCACCAGTTAAAAAAATAAAATTGTCGTTCGATTTGTATTGAAAGAATGATGAAGAAGGTCGTGATAGTGATAAGATTGCACTTACATTTTAATTTAAGCACTAAATTTATTGAGAATTTTATTGAAAATAAAAAAAAGAAATGGTTTTTTGTTGTTGGCTGTAAAAGGACGGGTTGCTTTTGAAATGCAAATGACGGCAAATTAAAATAAAAACGTCTTTTCGAAATATGATTCGTTTGTGAAAATTTGCTGAAACGAGCTCTTTCGTATCGAAAGGTTTCACGTATCGACTATAAACTTTTCTAAGTTACACATATACATAATACTATACAGAGCACATTTTGACACACAATCCACATTTAATTTCCAACACTGTGTACAATTTTGCTATTTTATCTGTCAAACAATGAACATGTCATGGCATTTTCTAATTGGTCGTCTCCATCGAACCGCCAATTATCACACACAAATCGGTATACGTATTTCGTACACCAACATCTGATGCAATTGAATTTCATTTTCAATGGCAAAACGATTTTAAACCGCCCAAAAATAGAAACAAACATAATTTTCGTTAAATCGCCGATTGAAACTCGTTTACCTTGGACGACCCAACAACGATACTTACGATGCAAGTACTTAAGCCTTTTTTTTCGTTTCAAACATTTGCAATGCCAATAGTTCCAATTTGAATTAAGTATATAGCAGAGATAAATGAAGAAAACATTTCTATTTTGCTCATTTGCCATTTTATTTGATCTATTTGTTGAAATTAATAAACAATATAATTTTTTTTTGTATTAAAATGCGTGTTATTGTAATAGTCGAGTATTTTTATATTGTACTGAACTGAAATGAATTGAATAACGTTTTCTCTACGAATTGAGGGACAAATAAATGGTGCAGAAATTGTGCTGCATTTTGAAACGAATCTAAAGAATTTACAAGTTTAACAATGCACGGAGTTTGAATTGATGTTGATAACTGCCAGCACTTGATTTGGTTTATAGTTCATCTTCTTCTTCCTCCTCTTGTAAGCGCGTTATGTCCGATTTGTTCATGAAATAGTAGCTCGGCTGACGTCCTTTTAGATCTTTGAGAACACGTTTTGCGCCGTTCTTTATCAGTATTCGGCTTTGAGTTTCCACCGAGCTCACTCCCATTGCATAATGAAGTGCGGTTCGTTCGAGCTGTATAAGGACAAATCAATTTAAATAGTTAAACAATTTGAAGTCAATTATTATGTTTTTTTTTTAATCTCACATTATCACCAATAAGTAGAGTTTCTTTGATATTCGTTGCCAAGTAGTGTACGATTTCTTCTTTCTCTTTTAGCACAGCAATGTGCAAAGCCGTTCGACCTGAGATACACAAAATTTATTCATTTTAATTGAAAGAATTTGTTTTTTTTCTATTCTCACTTTCAAAACGAATATTCACCATAATAATTTTTAGCGATAGCAAGATAACGTCCTTCAGGCAATTCGATGATTTGTTCTACGGTATTTATGTCACCATATCTAATGGCACGATGCAATTTTTCACGATTTGTCTAGAAAAAAAAAAAGAAATGATCAGCGTTCTCAATTGGCAAAAGAATAAAAAAGCCAATAAACCTCAAAAGTTGGTATGGCTTCGAGATATTTGCCCAGCTCTTCGTGTCCACGAGCATACGCAATTGTCACTATCGATTCATCATCATGAACATCAATAATGTGATCATAACCTTCGACAAGCAGATGCTTGATGGCATCAAGTGAACCTATATGATGATGGAATTAAAGAAAAAACCGAAATTAATATCGGACTGATTCATTAAAATGATCAAATATTTTCACCTCTGGCTGCAAGACTCAGAATATACTTATCAATTTCGCGTGTATTTTCTGGCTGTGTAGCCTGCATCGAAACATCTCTGGCTGTTCGATATAATTCATCACGATATGCAATGCTAACGCCAGAATCTTCAATCAATTGAATCAATGCATTTCGACCGTGCGAACGAGCACATGCGAAATGCAACACACTTTGACCGTGTTCGTCCTAAAATCGATATCAATAAGTTTGATTTTTCATTTCGATCAAAAATGAGTAAAAGTAAAATAAAAAGAGAATTACTCGTTCATCGCTTGTAGGTGCTGGCTCTGGTGCATGATTCGGTGATACATTATCATCATCGATGCTATCATATTGCGATAGATCCATTTTACGTGGCGGTGGTTTTATTTTGACTTGTTGAATTTCCTCTGCTTGCTGTTGCTGTTGTGGTTGTTCTTGCGCTTGGTTTTCTCTTTTCTCCTGCCCTTCGTCTCGCAATTCTGGTTGATTGTTTCTCTGTTATGGATATCATTTAAATTCATTGAATAAGAAATTTAAATACGTTCTCACGAAAAATAAAAAAAGGCGTTATGTAGATCTTTCAATGGTGAGTCATTTTTCGATTTTATATATTCTCGCTACGACCGTGAAAGATCTGTTTTGCTCTTTTTTTTTGTTTTTGTGAGTAAATTAAAAAAAAAAAATCAGAAACATAATGTGCAAATAAACAAGAAATTACAATTTTTTTCTTATTGTCTGCAATGCTGTGCAAATAATCGGCCAAGAATTTTACCGGATTTGCTGGACGACTGTTTGCTACTTCAGTTAATCCTTGAATAAGTGGATCACCTAAAGCTGTTGTGAGCACAATATGTGGATAATGAAATATGAAGTGAGATTGTTAATTTTAGTGTGTTGTTCAGCCAATCTTAATGCATATCCGTTTTTTCGTAAGCCAATTTAAATGGAAAACGACAATTACTTGCAGCTAAATAGCGTCCTTCGTCCGTTTGAAATAGTGGTGTTCCTGATTGATTCTCTGCTTTTCTTTTACCTGCAATCATTTCGATTTACAAAGATAAACATATAACATCGATTTTACACATTTCATTTTTGTTGATTTGAAGGAGAGAAAACACATATATGGATTGTTTATAGCGATCGGGTAACGGGGGAAAATTAAAAAAAAAGTTTTTTGTAGAAAATAAATTAAACCAAGTCACCACTACAAAAACTAGTTGTTTTTTTTTTAAGTTAGGGGGAGGGCACTTTTATTTCACAAACCAGCAAAATCACATCAATTTTGGAAATTTGGATTTGTTCGGATTCATAAAATGCGTTTTGTACATATCAATTTTATCTTTCAATGGAAAACCACATTTCAGTTGGAAAGATTTTTATTGCGACTCAATACAACACACATTCACTAACTTTAGATCAATTTACTTCGATTCAATTCATACAATTCGGTTGAATGACGAAAATACTATGCTACATATAAAAACAACTAAATCACAAATGCATATTTCATAAAACGAACAACAAACCCGATACAAATCACGTTTCCAAAAATGAGAATTGTTTTTGCCTTGCAAAATATGCGCAAGTGAAATGTTGATGCTTGATTTGCTTGTGATTTTGTTTTTTTTTTTTGGTTCTCGATAGAAGAAGCATTTTGACGGTTGTGCGAAAAAAAAAATATAGATAGATATCAAAAAGACAGGGGAAATGTGTTTGCTTGTGCGATTGCAGCAAATAATGTTTGTTTTTCTCTGTTCTATCAAGAGAATAGGTGCACAAAGCCAGAATAAGGAGTTAAGCAATGTTACTAACCTAGGACACCAAGGCCGAAGGTTGATGATATGTATATTTTTTTTAATATATAGATATATATGTATTTTTCAACAAAACGATTCTGTTTTCAAGTGTGTGCTCGTGCTGGTATATATTTTAATGGGCATTTTTTTTGTTTGTTTTTTTGTTTATTTAGCTGTTAGTTGTGGATCGGATCAAATTTCGTTATTTGATTTTATGAATTTGTGATTGATTGGAATTATACGAAGTCTTGAGTTCGAATCGTTATGAAAATCTTTCCAACGTATACATTTCTCTTTAAATATATAACTTTTTAAAACAACAACAAAAAAAATGTTTCACATTTTACAATTTCGAGGCACTCAATCAATTTTCTTTTTAATTTTTTTTTTTTTTTTTTTTGGTTTTTTTTTTTGTACACAATTTTCAATAAAAATGTTTTGGCTGCGAAATGTTTGTTTGTTTGTTTGTTTTTTTCGAATGATGATTCACGTTTATGATTTATTGCGTATAAATTAACTACTTTGAACATCAAAACTATTCCGTTTCTTTCGAAAGATGTTCATAAGCATGGTGGTTATATGATTATTGTTGTCGATCGTCAAGTCCTTTTCCAATTGAATAATATTTGCGACGGCGGTGTAGAAATCTTGAAAGATTTTCCATTCGTTAACGGATAATGCTTGCAGATTTGATACACGAATATGTGATGAATGGTGATTAATCGACATTCGCAGGCCACGAACATTGCACAAATGTTGTAAATTATCCGGTTCTTTTATCAAATGTGGTAGCTCCAAGGTAAGAGTAATTCGAAGTGATGTACCGAGGAAACTTGGTCGTGCTGCTAGATAACCCAAAAAGTAGCTATTTCGAAATTCAATTTGTTCGGTTAAGTACATAATTGCCTTTCCAATTTTAATATACGTTCGACCAATATTCGCTGCTGAATTGCTGTTCGTACAACATAAAATGCGTAAATGCTCCTGGCAATTGATCCATGCAACAAAATCATACGAAGCACTAACAAAAACGCCTCTAGCATATGGCCAATATCGGCCATTGATGGCCATTGATTCGGCCTTTTGATATGGATCATCGTTGCTTAGCAATGGAATTAGCAGTCCTTTTGTTGCTAAAATCGTTCGGATTTCAGATGGATTTTCAAGTACTTCATTCATTGTATAATAAATGCCTGGCTCTTTTTCTTCAATCGTTCGCAAAAAATCGGTGCTTAAAAGTCTTGCGGTGATTATTCGCTCGACTTGTTCGAGTGGTCCAACGGTTAAATTCAATGGTAATTCAAATCGTTCCAAATTTCGACTTACTTCAATTACACATGCACGCACATATTTTCCACTTTTATCTAAATTTATGCTCGATATTTCATTCGATGTGTCACTGTCCACGTTTTCGTTGAGTGTATAATCGTTACGTTTGCTAACGGGAAAATATTGTGTTTCGGGATGTGGTTGAAAATCACTATTTATATCGATACAATGTAAGTCTTTAATGAGTGGCACAAGAAATTCTTGGAATACAACAAACACATCCAAATCGGGCGCAACAATTCCACCGTCCATGTGCAATTCAAAATCCGGATTTGAACTTAATGAGTCACGTTTTTTCATTGCTGGCCAAATCACATCGAATAAATTATGATCGATTCGTGTTTGACGCGCTTTTATTTTATCGAATACACTACGTTTTAAAAATCTTGCCAAATACGCTTTCGATGTTGATCGAAACAATGACGACGCACTGCCCGGTACATTGTTTGGATGTAATTTTCTTGTACGATTTTCGATTGTTTTGCTATTCAGTTTCGATGCATCGTGAATGATTTGATAACATCGCTCCAATGTACTCAACACATCCGAATCATCGATTTCACGTCGTGCACTGTGCAAGTCATCGGGCACTATAGATGTATACGTTTTCGTTTAAAATTCGTTGTTTTGTTTTGGCACACATATTTTATTTATCATACATTTATTGCAAAAATAAAAAGCCACAAAGAAAAAAGTAAATTGAAACGAGTCGAAAATAAATTGGCAAAAAAATTCAAAAAAAAAAAAAATGAATATAAAAAAATTTAATTTTAATATATAAATTGTAAGAGGTAGATAAGAAAAATGATTTAACCTTGATCATTTAGCATGCCATCCGCAGCCGAACTTGCTACACCGAAGCTTCTAAGCAAATCAGCATGAGAAAGAATCTTCTCTGATTTGTCGTGATTTAAATAAAATTCAGCGTTATGCCCAAACTATTGGATTCGATAAGAAAAATTTAGAAATCCGTATGAAGTTGAGTGAGATCTATGTAACAACTAATGGATAAATTAAACAAGGTGTCACCTTGTCGACGGTTTTCGGGCTCGATCCCAAATGAACTAACAAATTATAAAAGTGTCCGTTGTCTTTTATAGTGGCTGCATAATGTAATGCAGTTCGTCCGTTCTCGTCAACCGCCGATGTTGTTTCAGGAAAACGACCACCCAGATATCGTAGTATGCCTATGTAAATAGATTCACAGTTTTATACCACAAACACATACACACACACATAGAGAGAGAGAGAGAAACGTCCATTACTGAATGCATTTTTAATCACACGAATCGAACGTGAAAAAAATAATTTATGCAAAAATTCATTAGTCTTGCCTTGGAATGGGAATTGGAATTGGTGGCATGTTAATCAATTTTGAAATGAAAATGTCGTTGAAATGAACGGAAATGGAAGTAATGACTCGCTCAAAATTGAAACGAAAAACTGAACATACGAAAATGGTTCATCGATTTGAATTTAGATTAATCGATTCCACATGAAAAATGCAACGGATTTTCTTTAAACGATTTTTTTTTTGGTTATGGAAAATGAGGGGTGGTGGTGTTTCTTACTTGCGTGGCCAAAAATGGTGGCAACATGAATTGGAGTACATTTTCCCGGTGAACAATCATCTTTGGCAATGGCAAACTTGCGTCGATCCAATGCTGCCTGTAAGTCTCGTAAGCTTCCTTCTCTGGCCGCAATGTGAACACGACGAATTTTATTCTTAACACGATGAGACAAAACAAAATAAACAATTGAATTTAGTTTTCATTGAATGATATTCACACAATTACCATGTACGCAGGCACATTATCGATAAAGGCTTGTATTTCGGGCTGACTTGATTTCGTACCAATCAAATATTGACCATCACCGCTCAAAACCATTGCAGCCAATTGTTCCATATCCTGCCTATCAATTATCGTCTGGGCGCGTAAATATTTCTAAAAAAAAAAACAAAACAAAACTTATTCTAACTTGATGCACTTTCCCTTCATTCTGCTTGCGATGAATTTATTCGAAAAAATTTTTTTTTTCATTTCAAAAAGATCAAAGAAAAATCACATGATTCAATCAAAAACTGACAAACAACAAAATCGATGCAAATTTTGAAAAGTGTATATACGAATTGAAAGCGTTTTTTTTAGTTCACTTTTTGCTAAGTATAAAAAAATTCACTTTGCATACTTTATTGTCTTCGTCGTCGACAGAGCTGAAGCGGCTAGCAGATTGAACAACATTATTGTCTGGCTCGCCATGAACAACTCCCTCAATAACTTCCATAACCGGATCGCTTGTATCTTTTCCATTTGATTCGGTAATTTTCTGTTGATTTTCAGAAGATTCAATTTCGGCTGAGTGTTCAGACGTGACATTGTCATCGTTATTATCTTCTTCATTTGCAACAGTCGTTTCATGATCGCTTTGTTTTTCCTGCATAATACGGTTTGATTTGTTTTTTATTCCAATAAATCATCATTTAACATAATTGTGGTAGCATTTTGACGTTTTGATCAATGCAATTTTACTACGAAATTGTGTTTTCTAACTGCTATTTGTGGAATTATGTGGAAAGATGCGAAGTGTGTTATCCAAAAAAAACAACTATGGAAATACTCCCATTTCTAAATGTTTTGTTTTAGATTTAATGAGTTTCCACTATTATTTATATACCATTGGTATACTCTATAAATAAAACCTATTGAACATTCAGCACGCATACAATTGCAGCTCTATAATAAATAGCGTTGTGCGGACAAAAGTACAAAACAAACTACACATATAGACATAGGCCGGAGCCACTTTTCACTTTAAAAAAAAAAATATATATATATATATATAAAAATGTTGACATTTTAAGAATAGAATAGAATGGATTAGAATTAGTATACAAACATATAATGGATGACACTGGGTTTCGGTTAAGTTTTTCCAACCAAATCCCTTACCTCTTCAGCAGCCTCATTATCGTCGTTGTTACTTTCAGTTGGCTCTTCGGCTGCGGCGTCGTTGTCTTCATGATCTGATATTTTTTCTTCTTGATTCTCTTCACTTTCTAAATTTTCCTCATTTTCTTCGACATTTTCGACGTTTTCAGTGTTTTCATCGTTGATTTCCATGGGTTCGGCTTCATCATCACCTTCATCACCCTTCTGACTATTTATACTCTTTGCTGAGGATTTTTGACTTACGGCACTACCACCAGATTTTGCCGATGTCATGCTTTTAGCGGTGTCTCGAGATCTTGCTGACGTCACGCTTCTCGCACCGTCCTGAGATTTTGCTGACGCCATGCTCCTAGCGGTGTCCCGAGATTTAGCTGATGTTATGCTTCTAGCACTGGCATTGGCGCTATGAACAGCTGAGCTTGATTTGCTCTGTATTTCTGCCGTCCCTGGTTTTGATCCAACTTCATTTTCATTGTCGTCTATCGTTGATTTTATAGATGCACTTTTCATACTTCTCATACTTCGTGCTGATTCACGAGCGGTAGATTTTCCGCTCGTTGCACTTCCTGGTTTCATATTTTGTATTTCCATTGGCACTTCTTCTTCATACTCTAAATCAGGCAAATCATCCATATCATTAAAATTCTCAATTTCCGATGTTTCAATTGTTGTTATATGATTATCATTTTCTTCATCTTCCAGTGGCGGCGGTTCATAGTCATAACCATTTTCCACTTGATATTCTGTATCAATTGCATTGCCTTGATCAATGAATAGAATATCGTGATTTTCAGCGCTATCAATGCGTTCATAATCTCGGGGCGATTGGTGTTCGCTCTCAATATGGGGTGACATTCCGTTTTCAATCATTTCTTCATTTTGTACATCTTCGTTTTCCATTTCTGTGTGATTGTCATCATTTTCAATGTCATTTCCATCATCATTTTCCGCGTCACCATTTTCGATGTCTGTGCTTTCGTCAGCTTTTTCGATATCTGAATTTTCTTCTGCATCGCCATTTTCCATTTCCGTTTGATTTTCGTTGTCGGCGTCATCATCGGTCTGGAAAATAAACTTGATTTACAACTGAACCAATATCAAACTATTACAATTTTTTTTTTTGGCTAAACATATCATTTGAGTCGATGGCAAATTACGTTAGTGTCGAAAATGAAATGTTTCTTAAATTGGGCAATGCGATCGACTCAAAATTATATGTAAATCAAACAGAAAGAGATAGAGAGATAGTTTGACATTTGTTGAAAGTAGCTCATGTTCACGATTTATAATTAATTCAGTGACAATAGACACTGATATAGATTGAAGATAGCAAATAAAATAATGTTATTTATGTGATAGAGAAACTTACATGTCATCTGGATGAGACGGTTGTGCGATGATTTGATAATGGATGGTTTTTTTTATTTAATAAAAAATGTTTCGGCTTTATGAAAAACTAAATGTAGCTTTGTTTTTTTTTTTTTGTTGGAAAAGTAAGTAGTATAAAATTGAAAGTTATTTGCTTGACTGAAATGGTTCGTATAACTTTTTGAATTTGTACGCGCTCGGAATGTTTTGCACAGAGATTAATGAAAATCTAGACATTGGTTTGACTAAACACATGGAAAAAAGAAACATTTGGGAAAAAATGCCAAGTGCAACACAGCTCTCGTGAAATGTGTTGCGACCAGTGTGTGGATATGAAATTAAACAATAATATGGTGCTGGTGCGATGGTGCAGCCGACTAAATATTGCTATTTTTTTTTGTTCGAATATCAACGCTTTTGTATGTTCGAACTATATCGAATTGGCCGAATCGATTATCTAGAATCTTACTTGTTCTGGATTTTCCAGAGAATTTTCTTGATCGTTTGTTGCATCATTTTCGTGGTCTGCTTCCGGTTCTTCTTGTTCTTCTGGTTTAGGTTCAGGTTCGGCCTCTAATTCCGCTTCTACTTGTGGCTCATCGTCTTGATTCTCAGGTGCTATAATATCAAATATTCTCTTTTTATGTTGCAATTGAAATTCAACGAAACTAAACTCTTCCTTTCACATAGCGAACGGAAAAATAATTGAAAGTTTATTGATTTGACTGCACGTCAACAAAAGTTCAGATGAAAAAAAAGGATATATATATATATGAAATTTAATATAAATAATTCATTTACGTTCGTCATTTTGTTCCATTGTTTCTTGTTCATCGTCTGCTGTTCCATCATATTGTTTGTCATTTGATGGTTCACCATCGTCCATTGTCTCTACATCGTTTAACATTTCGGCGTCATTCGATTCAGATTCATCGTCTCGCATGGTTGATATTACTTCAGCCGAACCATGATTACGTTCATCGCTTCCATTCAACGTATTAAAGCTGCCATAAGTTGAATGACTTTTTCGTACAAAGTTCTATGCAATATAAATAATTAACAGACACACTCAAAACCACTATTTATAGTTACTACACAGTGGGAAATATTTGAGTAAGGTTACTCTGATGTTCGTAGAGCGTCTATCCCCCAAAATGAGTAAAAGATTATGATTCACACCAGTAATGGTGTAAAATGCGTAAGTCGCTTGTAAACGATCTAAGTGAATAGCGGCGACGCATGAAAACAAGGTGAGTGAATAGCGGCAAAGGCAGACATTTTTTCTTTGGTGCGTTGCCACTATTTTCAAGTGAATCGCATACATGCAACTTACGCGAGTTACACCATTACCAGTGTAAATCTGTTGAGAAATATTGATTTCTCGATGAATCTGCTTAAAAAGCAGTATAAATGAAACTAAATTTGAAATACGAATGTTAATGATTCATATATTGATAAAGTCAATCCCAATATATGTACTATTTTCTATTATTCTAAATTTGTATAAATACCAATATTTTTCATGAATAAAATCACTTCAAACTTAACTCTGCTAAACACAACAAAATCATACTCTTTTAACTAATTTTGAGGTAGACGTTCTACTAACTCCGAACATCAGAGTAACCTTACTCAAATATTTCTCACTGTGTATACATACATTTCGAATAAATTGGTAGTTATGCTCTTCGTCAAACATGGCCCAATCGTAATTGGGCGGTAGACCCGATTGCGAAACTCTTGGCGATTCGGGTATCACTGTCAACAATGATTTGTTCAGTTCACTCGATTTATTTCGGTAATAATTGGCGGTTTTCATGCGCTTCAATAACGATTGAAAAAAAAAAATCAAAATGTTTTAATAAATTATTGCATGAAAGAAGAATCATTGTATAAAGAATGCCTACATAATCAGTACTAAGTTCATCACCACCAGCTTGTACAAGTTTATTATAAATCTCAAGGGTATTTGCCCAATGCAACGGTGTTTTTCCGGTGGCGTCAATATCCGTAGCGGTTGTTGGACTTGTCCTCAAAATATACTCAACAATGGCCAAATGTCCAAGACCAGCCGCCTTATGCAATGGCGTCAAACCGTTCACATCTTTGCTGGACAATAATCCTTTCGGCACCGGTGGCGATGTTATATTTATTAATTCATCCAAATTATTTTCCACCACAGCCGTATGCGTTTCTTTTATCACATTCATAACATATGGAACGGCGTCTAGAAATTTCCGAACACGATTGTTCGAACAAATTTCAGTACGCAGACGATTGCCCTGACCTTCCCACAGAACTTGGGTTAACTTGCACATGTCCTTATCATGAATCCATATCCGTATGTTCGACGGCTTGATTACAATGGCTATATAAGAAATTAGATTGACAATCAAATACAAAGTAAATGGGCATGTCGTATCATTTTCATTTATTTTATGAAAGTGCATTCAAAACAAAAACAACATTGACGACCGCGACTTGTGCTATAATACACACAGAAGACAACAACAACAAAAAACAATCAAACACCTGATTAAATGACACGAATCCACTCGCTATTATCGATCGCCAAAGACAATCCATTCACATCAACTTGTGAAATAGACTCACAAAAGAAATTATAGAATTCGACTAGCAATAATAAAATAATCATAAGGTCATGATTAACACATTGCATACGAAGTTTGTAAGAGAGAGAGAGAGAGAGAGAGAGAGAGATAGAGAGAGAGAAAGAGTGTGAGAAAGAGAGACTACAACGACCTCATCGGAATTGAATTTGGCTATATGTTGATGAAGTAAACATAGCCTACATATCTATCATATGTATTCTTTCACGCAAAAGTAGAATTTAGTTCGATCGAATTAACCACAAGATTCAATGCATGCACAGAGAAACACCAGGAATCCATTGAGCACACAAAAATGTGACCCAAGTGTGTCATATTTTTTTTGTTTCAATTCACGAAACTGTCTTTCGTAAAACGATTACTTTAACTTTATTAATGTCATTATGTACGGTTTAAGTGTTTAATTGTTATTCGTTAGCGTAATTGTCATGTTCACAATCAATTTCCTTTTTTGTCGCTTGCGTTCAATATTTTCTCACTTCTTTTCCGTTATAATTTGATAAAAGTCGTCCAATTAAAACAAAAAATCTACCATAGAATCAGAAAGAGACGAATTTAGAATTAAAATACCTTGTCTTGTTGCGCCATTATCCTGTCCACGTACTTTCATCGTGACAACTGAAATTAAAGATTGACACAAATAATATATTTAAATTATTGATTGATTCAAGTGTCAACAATCGATTTGATCCAAAAACCAATATGTCCGTTTGCTTTTTTTTTTTTTTAAATCGTACATGAATTATTGAATGACTCGCAATGTATTTATTTATTCATGTGTCACACATAACAGTTAAAAAAATATAATTAAAAATTCCAAGACAAAACGAAAAGTTCGATCGACCCAGTTTGGGCAGAGTTTTTAACTTTCAAAAGAGTGTCTACATAAGAACGTTCAATAGCTATCGGTTATCAATTATTTATGGAACAGTAACCCTGACAATGTGGTATACAACCGATATAGTTCCGATAGAACGTATGACATATCCGGCAATATTGACCAACAAACGGACAACAAAAATTTGGTGTGCCACGATGTCTTTTGTAATTTGAGCACCAATTGCAACATTGACCGTTTTTTTTTTGTTTTTTTTTTTTTTTCGGTTTATAGCACATCATTTTTGCTAGCGCTCCAAATTAGAATTTGATTATGACAGCATTTAAAATTAATAAAACCTTTTGATTTTAATGAGACGCCAAATAACACTGGTGGTTAAAATGAGATAAATGACACAAATAGCAATTTTTTTTAAAATTCGATTTTAAGTTGTTGTGGTTTTTTTTGTTAATTTTTGGGTGTATATGAATATTCCGTTTTCCGTTTGTATTTCGAGAAAAAATTTGATATGAATAAAGGTTGAAATATAACTGTTAAATGCTCAGAATATTAGGACCAACTCATGTCACTTTCCAAATGTTTCTGAACCGTTTTCATTTGTTTTTTTTTTGTTTTGTATAAATGGAAATTCGAAATTAATCAGACTTGCAACACTTTTCCATACATGTGGGGGGAAAAACCACACACGCAATGCTTGATTTACAAATGAAAATATTCATTGTATATAGAAATGGAAGCTTTCAATTTGAACAAGTGTATTTACACGTGAATTTCATAGGGTGGAAAAATGCACATAAAATTTAACAATCAACGAACCATCCAACAACCAAAGCACAATGAAAATTGTTTGATTCGTAGTGCGTATATAACATTCTGGCGGTGATTATTTTATTTTGTTTGCTCTCAACACAACAACAGATATAGATATATAACAATCAAATGATATTTTACATAAAATGTAAAAATGTATGTAAAATGAACCACTAATTAAGCAATGAATTACGATCAATTGAAAACGTTACGTGGAAATATTTTGTGTCTAAATTATGGATACAAAAGAGACAGAAAAGAATCTCCAATAAGCATTAATTATGCATGCTAAGTTTATTCTGGAAACCACCCGGTGACGTTCATGTGTGTTACATCGAATAATGTCTCACATGTTTTATATTTGATCTATTTTCGATCGAACTAAAACTGGATCATTTTTTTTTTTTTTTTTTTTGAAAAGTTCATAAAAATGTCAGAAATTAAAAGTGAATACGGTACGCAATATACAAACTTAATTGATTCCCTGAGTTATTTTTAAGGTAAATATCTTTTCGATAAATATTTAATGGTCATTTGAATTGTAGTAAATCAATAATCTCCGCATTTTGAGTATAGATTTAGTAGTTTGATTTTCTCCACCTGACTGAATTGATTAATAGACATGCTACGCTATAGAAGAAATAAACAATGTGACCATCCGCCTATTTTCATCGATATAAAATGCTCGTATTGTGTTCCACGTGTAGAATCATTTGAAAATTCATTGTGAAATAATGCGCATTATATTTATTGTATAGACATGTTCAATAAGATCCATTGAAAATGCATTGGTTCACCTTCAAGCAATCATATATTTCAAAAGCGTTTCTTTGCCATGAATCCGTTCAACACTTCTTTGAACGCAACTCAAATCGTTTGAATCATTAATTTAAAATTTTGAGTACAAATTACGGTTCAAATGAAAGCATTGATAAGATCTTATTGAAAACGAGTATATTATGAGTGGTTGAGAATAGAACTGGGAATGTACCACTGACGCGAAATAATGGCGAAATGTCAACGGAAAATTTTTCCTTGAAACTGTTTCCAAGACATTCCTTAGCCATCTTCTACCAGAAGTTTACTAAAAATACATTATTAAATATTCCCATTTTTGTTCTCAACGAATCATATGTTAAATAATTTAACTAAACATTTTAATGGGGGAGACTATAGTTTGTGTGAAAAACTGCTTTTTCCGATTGGTATTTTTTGTTGGATGAAAAAGAACGAGTTAAAAAAAGCGATATTTGAATCAATTCAAATTGGACACGCAAACCCAATATCTGCATCATTTTGCACACACACATAGAGCAAGAGCATGTGCTTCATATTCATTATTCGTGTGAAAAAATCGAAACGAACATAAATCAAGCACTAAAAAAAAGACTGAAAACCGAATCAACAATATCAGTCAATTGTTGTAATGTGCTTAATCATGATAGGTTGTTCACAATAAAAACGTTTAGAATTGACGTGAAAACATTGTGTTTATTTTTACCTTATTCTGTATGTTTTCTTCATTTTTTATGCTGTGAATAACATGGCAATTCAATTGAATTGAAATTTTGGAATTCAAAAAAAAAAACAATGAATTTCACAAAATGATTTCAGTCAAGTGCACTTCATCAAGTGTTCGGTGACTATCGCTTGATTTCTTTTATTTTTGCAGCTCACGATCAACAATAACCCGATTGTTTTAAATGAACAAAAAAAAAAGAAAATCACACTTACCTCTTGGCGCAGATGAATGAAAGTACAGCCCATGATATTTTCTACGTCGGATCGGCATTTTGATGCAAACTAGTTGATGTTCGGCTTATTTTATTATCGAATACACGGCGTTACGTTTTCGACGATTCACAATTTATAAATATTTACATTGAGTTTCGAACATTTTTGAACCATTTGAGTCCTGGCTGTTTTTCAATTGATCCCTTCATTTTACTTTTGGTGTACGTACAATTTTTTTTTTATTTATTTATTATTATATTTTAATGTATTCAACAATTGATTTACTGTTGAAGAAATTGATTTGCCGAAGAAAAAAAACCGTCAAAATAACAATAACAAAAAAATCAACAAAAGGAAACAAAATCACAAAATACGATATTCACGATGTGATGGATAAACGATAAATGCTAACTGCTATCGAATGATTGCAACGGATTTATACTTGTTATCGAAATGAGCAATACGTAATGATTCATGAAGATTCATTCGACGATTGAATTTGCTGCGAAATTATGTGAAAATCACGGCAAATTACACAGAAATTCGGTTGTATGTACTTTGAATTTCAAATGCAAATTGAGCGGAAAGTGCGCACTCCAATGCGAGAAAAGACACTGGCCCGACTGGTATCCGTTGTGTCGATTTCGAACGGTATCGAGTTTGAAATATTGCGGCTATCAAACAAATTGTATTGAGCATGAATTTCGACGATACAACAATACAGTGTATTGAACACATCAACGCAGCATGGACATTGAAAATTGTCCGCTCACGCTACATGAAAATATATCTATATTTTGTTTAACACAGATATTGAAACGACAGTTCAACCTATTACACACATCGGACACAGCGCACACACACGCAAACACACACACTTTGTGTACGTATAAAATACTATTGAAAAATAAAAAGGACAACAGCAAAACACTATCGTTAAAACGGAAAACTTCTTCAACTATCAATTATTAATGTCAATTATTATCGGAAATAACTAACCTATTTCATTTGAAAATGCGACACACGTTTAGAAAATTTTATTGCATGTTCTGCTATGTACTTTTTAAAGTGAGTGGTTTTTTTTCTCTTCTTTTCTTTATGTATTCATCACACAGAGCTATATGAGCACACAGAAGATGATAAATGTGTGTCCAGCGTTCACATAAAAAAAACCATTGACAAATGTTGTCATTGCCATTGATAATATAGATTAGGACAGCAGCAGTTTTTCCTCTAGATTCAATTGCTGATATGGAATGAACGCGACTGGCTGTCTTTGATGATGTATCGATATGCTTTATTTCTTAAGTTGCAACTTATTTATCATTTTTAATTGGTTTGACTTGAATTTGACTTGGGCGCGCACATACCCACATGCCATGGCAAGGACAATTTCACCAAATTGAATCAAGTGTCCCCAAAGAGGTAGTTCGCTTGATCACGCGAAATTTCGTTAAATTCATTAAATTTCGTTTGGGCCGACATCAATGACCGACCATTGTGGTCGAGCGTGTCAATGAAATATTTATGCAGTATTTTGCGCCATTTCAGTCATTTTAACAAAAATAAAAATGAACGAAGCCCTGCAGATTATTTGCTAGATTTAGGCAGGTGTAAGTAATTACAATTTATCTCTGAATAATTAACATTTCATGTTGCTCCGTTTTGTTCGAAAATTTCTCTGATTTTTATATTATTGTAAAAATTGCTTCAATTGACCGATTACAATTGTATCGATTTAAATTGAAATACAAACAAAAAAATCAAATGCCTTTCGACCTCACTTCTTCTTTTAAATTCGTTTGTGTACACAATTTGTGATTTTTAAATTATTATTTTTTCCAATTGCACCATCGATCCTAATCCACAGTCCAATTATTCAATAGATATATTTCACGAAATCGCAACGTAATCACAAATGAATTGTTGTCGACATTTACTCTGGTATGCGTCATTGCTCTTGATCTGGCCCAATGCAACTGACTGGACACTTGAATGTCTTGAGCCTCATAGTGAGCGTGACTTTGTATGGAGTAAAATCAACGAAAAAAAAAAGATGAACAGAATGCTAATATTCTCCTTTCGGCCAATAGAAATATGCATTTTTCATTCATTCATACTAAAACTACGTTAAAATATGCATACTTCGGTTCGATAGGAATGAATGTAACAAAGTAGACGACTACGATGGTGTCGGCATTCGGTCTTCAAACAACCGTTGCTTCCAATTCAAAATTTGCATGTTTTGAATGGAAATAACACATTACATATGCCTGAAGTAACGGTGAACGAAAACCAAAACAAAAAAAAAAACAACAGCAACAGCAACAAAGAACCTATATTTTATCCGTTTTGTACGAGCGTATATGATTTTAATTTATGAACGAGTCAAAGTCCGCTAAAAGGCTTTGTGACTGTTTTCTTTTCTTTTTGCAGTGAATGGAATTTGAAGAGAGCAAAAAAAGGATTCACGCAAACACTTGAACGTCGTTATTCCTGGATATTTGCTCTTATTTAACCCATTTTTGTATGTGTGTATTTGGCCGACTTAAATAAATTATAGAGTGGAATTTCGTAAATTTTCCATTTGTATGTAAATAAATGACTAGGAATATTATTCCTTATTCTTCCTCTTCTGCGTCTCACTTTCGGAAACACAATTATTCAATCCTGTAAAATATATGGGGAGAGTGAGTTTTTAACGGCAGGGATAATAGTTTATGACACCTAATTGTGGCACATTCAAATCATTCAACTTAATTCAGATAGAAACGGGCTAATTATGCGTTATTAAAGTCATTTTTGATAATTTTACTAAACATTCAATAATAAAACATTATTACTTGTATTGTCGTTGGACATGCGGTGTCAGTTAATCAATAATGAAAAGAGAGTAAAATATCATTTAACGTTAATTGTGAGTTTTACCTATCGTCCGTTAGTCCTGTATTTTGAATCAAAAATTATTATTCAATTTGTATGGCAAAACGAGACTTTTGTAAAGATACCATATTCAACAAACTGTTTGAGATTATTGGATTATTTTTGTACCCGGTTTGTTCGAGGATTCTCGCAGTTGATTTTCTCCAAAAACATTTGATCATTTTTCATAAATAATAAGTTAATTCTTCCCTTGATGAGAAATAGTTGTTCTATTGGATTTTTACTTATTATCAAAAGGTTGATCGAATGCTTACTTTACGTTTTTTGCCATTTTTTTTAGTAGTCCATAGTGGCGCAAGAGGTCAAATTATTTCCTCCTTTGATATTGTATTTCAAATAACATTTTTTCAGAATGAATACCTTTTACTGGCTTAACAAAAACCAAAAGACCACTCTTGAGCCTCTTTAGGTCTTGTATTCTCCGCTAAAATAAATGAATTATTACTATTCTTATAATAAGCTTTATATGGATAAGATTTTTCAGGATTTTTTTTGGGAAAATATTCGTGCGATTTTCGTTTAATTGTAGTTAATGAAATGAGCAACGTTTTAATATGTATGATAATTTTGTCATCGTTCGAAATATATTTTATTGAATTGAATTGAAGTTTTAATATAAGTTTTAATATATAAGGCTACATTAGATTCTCTGTAAATTTTGTTTGTTATGCTAAGTGAACATTTAATATCTAGTATCTGTAGGCGAAGAAAAAGAATAAGGATTTGTAATTTATTAAATTGTTTCATTTCTAAATATGTGAAGGTGTCTTTTCGAAGTGGTATTGACTTTGCCATGTACGATTTGACGATCAAACGTCATCAAATGTAATTTGATAGAAGACCCAATCTTCCATGAATGACGGTACAAAAGCATTAGCTCGGGTGAATTTCACCTTTGGTTCCAATTTTTCTAACTGCTCTTCGAACATGCTCAACGAATCTGGTCGATTGGCGCCATTGCCGTGCGTTAAGTACTTTCCGGTTGGTTTTAGAATTTTAAATGAATGCTCGAGAATCGAACGGAAAAAGTTCCATACTTCGCCGGTCGGTGTGTCCGATATTGGAATATCGGTTAAATCACCAAATACATAATCGAATTTTTTACCCTCTTTGATGAATTTGTCCAAGTAAATCATGCAATCGTCAACGATAATCTGGAAAATGAAAAATCCCATGAAAAATAGTGATCTAAGGAAAAGTTCAAAGATAACAAATGTTACTAACCTCAAAGTTATCACTTTTGCGTAATTCCAAAACGTCGCCACAAATCGATTTCAAATACTTATTGCACACCTGCATCACCATCTCATCAATTTCGAGCATGGTCACGAATTTCGGTTTTTCCTTCAACAGCTCGTACAAGAGAGCACCGTCGCCACCGCCAAGGATGCAAATTTCTTTGCCTTCGTAATTTTCAATGCCACGCTGCATCAGTGTTTCGGTGTAGATCAGATCCGATTCAGCAATATCTAATAATGAATGGTAAAATATATGAAATCAAAAAAAGAATATTAAAATTGCCTTACTTTGAAGTTCATCGAGGACCAGCATATTTCCCAAACTTTTCGAGTGAACGATTTGTATCTTCTGGAATGGTGAGGTTCCTTCGTATATGACCTTGTCGATGTCATACTCGAGAATTCGTTCATCTGAATGACAATGCAACAAAAATGAGAAAATCGTTAGTGAGAAAAATCACAGTAGAAGGAATCTATAAAACTTAGTGTAAAAAACAGAGACTGTTGCTCAGATTGATAATATTATGATTTTAGACATCTTTTTAACTTTTATCTTTTCTCTCTGGGGAGGAGCTCTGTGGCGGTATGTGTTAGAATACTGGCACAGCTCCTCAGAGCTCCCCAGAGCGCTCCTCCTCACTTATATTGCTCTGAGCAACAGTCTCTGGTAAAGAATGCACTAAATCAATGCATTTTGAAAATATCAAAATTATTCTAATTGACAAAATAAAAGAAATTGAAGTGTACAGGTTGTGCCAGTGAAACTGATATTTTTTGTATGTTCGACCATATTTACTTGGAAAATGATAATTCAATGAAATTAATTTGTTCTTATAAGGAGATATTAAGATGTTCCTGACAATTTAAAATAGTTTTTGGATAATGTTTTATATTCACAGGCTGATTTTTAAGCGTTTTTCTGAAAAATAAGGAAAAGTGAGGTTGTGTTGAGAATGGGCCTGGCGTGTCCAACACAAAAACATTATTCTTTTGCTGGGCACTTATTTTACTTCCTAAGAAATCAATAGTTTATGCTACAAAAGAAAAAAATATTTGTGTTTGGAAACTTGGCTACAACTAGATCATATATTTGACTGAACGAGGTTGCGCGTCGTAACCGATTTCTTTCTAGCACATTTATGTCTCCAGACCGAACAAAAAAATTGAGATATCCAATCTAGCTGATGTATTAAAAATATGTGGCCTTCCTCTACACAACGCAAAAATAATTTTTGGATTTGGTCGCAAAATACGCTTTTTATAAGCATATATAAAAATATCAGTTTCACTGGCACACCCTGTATGTTAGTAGACATGCGAATTAATTATATATTGTACAAATTACACTGCACTTCCTAAATTCGCTACACAAATATAGAATATCTATTTGTTTTCACAAATTCACAAACATAAGCAATAAAGTACAAGCTAAATTGACCAAATGAAAATTAAAATTAAAAAACAAACAGAGAAAATTATAAAACAAAGAAAAAAAAATAATTTGATTCAATTTACCTGAGGATGGGAAATATTTTCTAATTTGACTTCTATGTATGGCTGGATATGCATGACCAATTACATTGAGGACTTTTTCCAAATGGTTTCGCATTTGACGTGTTAACTAAAACACAGTAATTTTGTTTTGATGTTTTGATTTGTTTGATTTTTTTGTATCGTTAAAATTAAAGTAAAATGAAAGAAAAATTAAGAAAAAAGAGAGACGATGAATTCAAAAAAAATGACGGGAAAATGAATGGATAAAATAAAGGATGAAAAAGAAGACAAACGAATCGAAGTAGCTCAACCGCTCCAAACTCAAGCATATTATCACAATGTATCTATTCAAAAAAATCGATTATATTTTGGCAACGGCCAAATTTTAAAATTTAATTGCAGAAATATGGATGAAATCTATGAATTGACATGCGTTCATTTTTTTTAAATTAAATTTTGTTTACATTTGGTGGCTTCTGTAGCATTGGTGTGAAGTGATTTTTTTAATCTCAAGCGACTTTCTTCCACGAACCTAATTTTTTCTGTTCTCAACATGTGACAAAATTTTGAATATAAACCAACATTTAAAAACAATTAAGACATTTCATTCTGATCTCATCTGTATGAAAGACAATTATTTACTAGTTTTTTTTTCTCATTTTTTGTGTGGTTTATCCATGATAATTCTATATTAAGTACATACATATTTTTTGATTATATAGTATGAAATAAATTTCGAACGGCGGTGACACCGAACAAAAATCACATGCAACCGATTTTGAGTGAGTTAAAAAGATATATAGTAGAATCTAGAGAGTATTTAATGCCGAGTGGATAAGAGAGATCTGAGTGTATGTGTGTTTGTGCGATCTTTTTTTTTTGTTTTGCATTTTTTTTGTAACAATTCTGACCTGAGCTTGTGAGATAGACATCGATCCTACAACCTCGTTTTATCGGCGGAAAATGTTTCGAACGTTCTGCTTCTAACATCTTTCGTAATAATTTTTCCAAAGATCTTATCTTCTACGAAAATAACGAACACATTTCATGATAATTCACGACATCATCGAAATTATGAATAATATACACATAAAATGACAAATGGCTTAATGATTTGTTTTTATCATCATATGAACACCGTATGAAATGGCAATGCGTAAACATTTTAAAGAATCATACTGAAATAAATCATCTTCCGACATATTCTTCTTTGCTCGTTATCATTATTGGGTAGGCGAAAAGTATCGATTTCTTTTTGTTCTAATTACAAGTACATTCAAAATTCATTGAAACTCTTTATGAAAAATTTACAAAAAAAAACGATGATTTATTTCTTGTTATTTAGCATTTCCATTTGAATATGTGCATGTATGAGCATAACCATAACGCCGTTGTGGTTTAATTCATCAACCATATAAGAGTGATTTGGAAAAATACTCCATTTCCTTTGCATCCTTGATTACTAAGAAGCATTGTGTGTGTCAGTTCACTCCGAGTGAAGAGTGAACATCTGTATTAGTACACGAATTGAAAAGATGAGCTCAATGAAAAATTGGCATTTTTCCACCGTATTCATCTCATAAGATGATGGATGCCCAGATCTGGTTTCAATCGAGCTATTGCTTTTGGATTGGTTGTCAACGAAAAAATTTCGAAAAAAGAAACAAGCGCTTCATTGATCAAGTTTGTTAAACGTCAATTCATATGCTTCTTTCTGTTCGTGTCGTGTGTTTTGTGTATAGAGTATTGTGTTATACCCACTCGCAGTGACAAATCGAATAAACCGAATGATGGTGTGGTTTTCGATGTGTTCACTGTATGAAGAAAAAAAACGAGTGTCTCTTTCGCGCGCAAAGGAAAAAAAAGAACTTTGAATGTGATGCCGGCTAAATAGCAGTAAATCTATATATATATATATATATATATATATATATATATATATATATATGTGTGTGTACTTACATCAAATGTAACAAACGGCTGTTCAACGTTGTCTTTGAAATATTCAATGTTGATGGCAATGATGCCATGATTGAAGAAACGTGCGTTTAGGAAAATCGCATCATTTTGTGAGAAAACACATAAATGACCATCGGATGTGCTTGTCTCAAAGATCAATTTGAGCTGTGGAAAAAATTCCAGTAGGCCTTTTTCCAATAATTTCACCGTGTCTTTTAGTCCGACCTTGTCACCAATTCGGCTCGGATCGATTGAAAAATCCAATAAAACTGTTTGGGCCGTCATTGCTTTCGTTAATAAAAGTGTACAAAATTCACGTCAATTGTTTTTATATTTTTTCGAAGTCACTACACCGTTCGAAGAAAACTCCTGATCTGAATGAAAGTGTTAAAAAAAACCACGGTATTTGCCGGCAAAACTCAGTGATTAGTGAATGACACACGACAAATGAAATATAATAAGCAATATGCTTGTATAATAAACACTTTTATTCGATTACTGGCACGAATCAAAAAACAGATGAATTGCTTTCGATTATTTTGAAAACCAATATTTTTGTTCGGGTGCTTGGTATTTGGTGACTTTTTAATGACGGCTCTCACTATTTGACTAATGTAATGAAAAGAAAATTTATCACAATTGTGCGCATGCTTTGTTACTGACGGCAAATAGAAGCAACAACAAAATCAAACTATCACACCAACCGAGTTTCCATCTCTCTTCCTCTCATTTACCAGATTATTCTACATCGGATTTGATGACAGCAGTGACGACGACCGAACGACACATACAACGAAAACACCATGAACGCGCCACACATTTTATACGGCATTGGAAACCAATACATAGAACGACCACCATGCCACTATGGTGTTGCTACCATGTGGTTTTGTGTCTCGTATTGTTTATTCTCGGGTACCATGTGAGCAAATGATTTTATAGCGATAGTGTGTTTGAAACGGAGAGTGTAACACGCTCGTTCGAAAGTGCTTCTATATGTACATGTAAATAAAAAAAAAATTTCGTCGCCAGTTTTCGATTCATTGAAAAGTTCATAATATTCATTTTCTTCGTTTGTTTCGAATGTTTTATTCTTCTTCGTCGATTCGCCTCCGTATATCCCTAACTAAGTAGTTTATCGAGGTTGTTCAGCCTCAACAACGTGTTTGGAAGCACACACAAAAAAAAAAACAACCAAACAAAAAGAGAACATTTCAAACTTTGTGCATTATAAGAATGGACACTTTTTTTTCGAATGGATTTTAACGAAGAAAATAAGGAAAATTAGCTGATATCTTGAATAATTTAAGTTTTTTATTATCCTTCCTCGAATCGGTGCGACAGAGACGCTCCACTTAAGAATCAACCTATGAAACGGATTACGTAAAAAAAGAGAGAGAGAGAAAAACGAAAGAAATATTTGATATGTATGTGATCATCTGTTTTGTGGCTTTGGTGTTGAATGTCAGCATAACAGTACTGTAGTAAGGCACATATTTGCACAAGCGATTGAACACGACAAAATGAACCATTTGGTACACAAATCCACTTGTCTCAAAGGAACGAATCTTATGTGATACAATTTCATTCTGTTGACATACAAACACATTCTGTTCTTTGGCAGACGCAAATTTACGTAAAGGATTGAAAATGAATTTCATACCATATAATCAATAAACAAAGAAATGATGACTAAAAAAATAAAGAAAAACAAAGAATGTAAACAATAATCCAACTGACGAACATTTTTTTACTCGAAATCATTTTCAAATTGTAATAGCGTCGAAGAGTGCGCATTGCTAACGGTTGTGTATGACCGAGAAGCAAAAAATAATAATAAATAAGCAAAAAAATACCAACCAAGACATATAGTACATATACATCCTAAATATCATCGTGTTTCAAGTCGAATTCGGTTTGTTTGCAAAAGCGGGAACATACGATTTCGAACGTCCACATTATGTACAGTAATAAGTTTTTAGTAACAATAATAAATCGATAAAATAAAAAGAAAATGTAGATTGTTAGTGAATACATGCATGCGATACGGTGATTGTTGTGTGCGTATTATATTGTACAAATATTGTATTATATGCGATTATATGGGACAAGTTTAGTAAGTAATGTTTTTTTTTTTTTTTCAATTCTTCCTTCGTCGTCGATGTCGGCTTCAAAAACAGCATTACGTTTGAAAATTTACGAAAAAGTCGTTGCTATTTTCGAAGTGTGATGAAAATAGAAAACGAAGTGATAAATTCAGTATACGCGTTTGAGCATCAATAATTCATAGTATCAACATCAATAATCATCATTATTTTTTTTTTTTCAATTTATTTCATTTTGTTTTCTCATTAGTTTTCATCATTTTCATCGGAAAAATGTTGATGATTGTAGAAAAATAAACGAAAAGAAGAGGAAGAAGAAAACGGGCGAAGAAAGAGAGCGAAAAAATCGAGTGGCAATAACGTCGAAATAATTACATTATACGATATAATCAAATTTGTTGTTCAAGTGCAATAGTTGTGTTAAAAATATTTGTTTGACATAGTAAAAGCGTTGTTAGAAGGACATGTGCGCATATGAAAGAGAGAGTCCATTTAAAACGAAGCAAAAGAAGAAAAAACAAATAAATGACGAAAATTGACCGTCGAAATCGTTCAATTGTGTGGATTCTGTGAATGAATGTGGTTTCTCGTTTGAATGTTCGTTCGGTGCATCGATTAGCCACGTTTTTATTCCGTTTGTTTTGCGCTATTGTCGTATTTTGTTTTTTGTTTCGTTCGGTGTTTTTTTTCTCTTGTTGTTGTTGTTAATATTATTTTGGCGCTAGAATAAGTACAATACTACATTTAAATAATTGTGATTTTGTTCCTGATGGATTTTAAAGAAAATTCCAAGCCAAAGAAATCCATATTGAATACATTATTATTAAAACGTTCCACAAAAGTTGAACCGCATCCATCATCATCATCAGTTGACGAACAATCGGATCATTCGCAATCGAAAAACAATAACAACAGCAGCAATTACGATGATCATCCGTATCGGCAATTATCATCGAACGAACATCATAATCCATTTCAAACAAGCGTTTCGGCTAGCTCAACGCCAATCAAACGACTGCACAAAATCGGAAGACTAAATAAATTTTGGCATTGCCATAGTTCATCAAATCAAAGCCTAACCAGCAATCAATCCGCTCCGTCCTATTGTTTAAGAAAGATCAGCAATAATGCCAAGAAGAAAATTCGCAACAAAACCGATCGTTACAGTCATCCGATAGGTAATTCAAATCTAATACCCGATCAAAATGCATTCGATGCATTTTACGCCGTTGACGATTATATCGATGATGATGATGATGATGATGATGATGACGATGATGATGCTGTTGATCACATTGAGAATGTTGGCAAAAGCCCATCGAATAAGAATAGTGTACACTTTTATTCAAATGACCGACACAATGTGCCGTATTCAATTTCAAACGAAGGATTTAACAACGGTGGTGGTAGTTGTCACAGTAGTAGTGTCGGCGGTCGCAGCAGCAGCATCACATACAAAACAAATAGTATAGTCACAAGTAAATCCCAAGAACAGATCATTGTAAATGATATTGATGAAAGTGTTGTTTGTGATTCGAGCAAACAACAGTCACCCACATCAAAATCACATGATGGCAATTTTGCATTCAATCGTGATGATTTGGATTTTCCAGCTGGTCATTCGATTGCAATGTCAGCGTGTCGATCGAGACTTCGTGAACGATTATTGCCGCCCGGCTACGCAAATCGATGCAATTCATCATCAAAGGAACATCAATCGCATCCATTGCAACAACAAGAACAACATCAACAGCATCAACAGCATTATTCATTTCCAAACATTGTCGAGAAAAGCACGAATCCAACGTCCAACGAACATCGAAATAGTCGTTCTATTTCATGTGACTTATTACCAAATGCCAAGCGAACCGGAAAAACGGAATCATTGGCAAAAAATTCATTAATAGCTGCACATTTAATAAATTTGATTCCAACTGAGGTGGCACGAGAAAGGTATTAAATATGATATTGAGTCGCATATCTATATGTCTATAGGCAATCATTTCATATGTATACACTTTATTCGCAATGGCAAGCGCATATAATACGAATGTGTATTATTTTTTTTCATTTCGTCATCTCGCTCTTTATCTCTTTCTCTCATCGAAATCGTCATTCAAACAGAACCCATTGTGCGAGGTGATTGAGTGAACGGGTCGCTCGTATTCGATGACAATGCGTTTGAAAGTGTTAAAATTGGCATTTTTCACATTCGAATAGGAAAATCCAATTATTCAATTTTTTTTTCTTTCGTTCCAACTTTCCATTCAATTTGATTTGAGCACACACAGGTGAAAATCAATTTCCAGAAGATTCAATAGATACACATATATTACACTTCTAGTTCGGCAAACAATACACTTTTGTTCACAAAGTAGTATTTTCACATTATTGTAGCTATATATATATATGTATATATGATATGAATAGAATAGCATCACGCACGTACAATGTTATAGAGATGAGCGTTAAGTTTGGCCTAATTTTACAATGAATACGTAATAATTAAGGATAATTCGATGATTTTTTTTTGTTATTCTCTCTACTTCAGGAGCTATTTGGCGAATAATTTAGCTGTGAGGCCAGCAGAATTGTTGGGTCCCACGGAACTGGATCGTGTTCTGCCGATGCGAGAAATCAAAGTTTTTGTTGGAACATGGAATATGAACGGTCAACATCCACCAAAGTAAATAAATGTGACTTTCGCATCCATGTGATATGATTGATATATTTTTCTGTTTCATTCTGCTAGGCAAATGAATGATTTTGTATTTCCGGCGGGAGTTGAGCATGTACCTGATTTGGTTGTTATTGGAACACAGGAATCGTCTTCCCTTCGATTTGAGTGGGAAGTAATTTTACAGGTGATGAAAATTATTTAAACTAAAAAAGGCTGTTAATTCTATAACCGAGTAATTTTATTTATAACAGGAAACGCTTGGACCATCACATGTAATGTTGCATGCCACCAGTTTAGGAACATTACATTTGGCGGTATTTATTCGACGTGATTTAATCTGGTTTTGCTCAATACCCGAAGATGATTGTTTATCCGTGCGACCGGGCACGGCATTCCGTACAAAAGGTGCTGTTGCAATATCATTTTGTTTATTTGGCACATCGATGTTATTTGTGACGTCACATTTAACGGCACATCAACAAAAGGTCAAAGAACGTGTTAGCGATGTTAAGCGAATCATTCATGCATTGGATTTGCCAAAGAATTTACATTTGCGTAGCAAAAATAAAGATGTAACACAAAATTTCGATGCAGTATTTTGGTGTGGCGATTTAAATTTTCGTTTGGGTGAACCACGGGAAAAACTTCTCAAATGGATTGAAACGACACAATTTCCGTTGCCATCACATTTACCCCATGGTTATATGCATACAGATCAATTAAAATCGGTATTGGCCAATGGTGCTGCATTCAAAGATTTTAAAGAAGCAAATATTACATTTCCACCGACCTACAAATATGATCCGGGCACGCAAAAATTCGATACATCCAGTAAACAAAGAGCACCCGCCTATACCGATAGAATTCTGTACAAATATAAATCGAATCCATTTGGATTGCGTCGTGAGAGTAATTTAACCAGTTTTTTGCATAGCGCTATTGTGGAATGTATTGCCTATGATTCGGTGCCGAGGTAAACACATTTTCGCAAAATGTGATTCTTATTTCGATTATTATGAATACTATTATGATACTTTATGTTTCAGCATTGTGTCATCCGATCACAAACCAGTCTGGGCATTATTCAAAACATGCATCAAACCTGGAATTGATTCGTAAGTGTCGTCTTTTTTTATCATTTTGCTTCTAATCAATATTTAAACAGAAAAACATGTTGATAATAAATAAATCGTTTTCTTTATCCAAATCTAACAATAGAATACCATTAGCTGCTGGCTTATTCAATCGCGATGTATACATTGAAGGAATGAAACGAAGACTGACCAAAAAAACTACAGAATCGTCAAATGCTTGTTGCATTCAGTAGCGAATTTTTTATTATTTAATTTATTTATTTTATGTTTTAATTTTAGGATTTTAGCCATGTAAAGAGAAGAAAAACAAACAAACAAACCAAAAATGTATATTATGTAAAACTAAAAAGGGGAGAGGCTTTGCTTTTAAGTCAATCAATTTCTAGTCATTTATCATGATCGTTGTTCGTATATTGCCAACGATTCACTGTACAATGAATATCTTATCAAAAAAAAATTTTGGTTTTTGTCATATTTTTTTTTTGTTTCGTTTTTTCGCAATATTGATTGCGCAGAGATAACAGGTTGCAATTTGTTTATGTATACGGTCTGCTTGTATGAATTTATATAGATTGTATATTTTATTGTCGAATTCGAAAATGTGTGAAGTAAATGCCTTAAGTGTGAAATTGAATGAAAATTTAATTGCTGTGACAGTGATACAAAGCTAAAAAAGATATACATTTGAATCATTAAATGAAAAGGAAAAACAATAGAAAAAAAACTAAATCAAATAAACATTGAAACTAAATAAATGACTGTTTTTGAAGAAGTGCTTAAGAAAGAAATGTCATTGTTTCAACGTCATACTAATTTCGGTTATATTAGTAAATGAAAGCCAATTCGGTCTGGTTTGAGTTGATATTTTATTAGAATATACCGACGTTTCGAATCATTTGTGATTCTTCTTCAGGGTCTAAAGAAATCGAATAGTACAATGTATTAGATAGTGTAACAACACCCTCACTTAAAAGAAAAGAATATTAAACTCACTTTTCAATGAATATCTACTATGTCAAACATTTTCTGATTAATTATGTTCATTCAAACAATTTTTTTGGCAAAACAAAAATATAAAACCAAACCAATCAATGAGAAAAAAATTGTTTGAATGAACATAATTAATCAGAAAATGTTTGACATAGTAGATATTCATTGAAAAGTGAGTTTAATATTCTTTTCTTTTAAGTGAGGGTGTTGTTACACTATCTAATACATTGTACTATTCGATTTCTTTAGACCCTGAAGAAGAATCACAAATGACTCGAAACGTCGGTATATTCTAATAAAATATCAACTCAAACCAGACCGAATTGGCTTTCATTTACTAATATCAACATATTTGCGGTCGATAGACACTATTAATTTAGGTTATGTTGTCAATAATGACATTTAAATTCATTTTATTTGAATATTAATATCGCGTGGTTGAAAGAAAAAGAATAGATTTTTGATTTTTAATGTTTCAATAATTTTATGATTTAAGAGTAATTTTTTTGTTACTCGAAACATAGTTCAATTTCGCTATTGTTGGTATTATCTTTAGCTGACGGTGGCGCCCCCAATTTCAAAGGGGACGTCAATGTAATTTAACAAATCAAATTGAAACTAAACAGCGCACCAATTTTAAAATTTACTGTCATTTCCTTCCATTGCTGTAGTTCGATGCACTTCTCTTTTTATCAGACTTTTATATTGGCACAATTCTGGAACGCATCCTTGATACAATGATTTACCGACAATGTGTGAGTGCAATCTATCATCTGTTTTGGTGAATTACCATCAGGACCTGCTCTTTTGTTGATGAAAATTACCGGAATATCACTTCGTTTTCTTATGTCTCTATCGATAATTATTGAGCTGTTTTCGAGAAAATGTCCGTTTTGTGTTCGGTCAGACGGTTAATTTTATTGTTTTTGGCTAATTTGGCCAACTCAACTTGAAATTATTAGGGGTCGATGACGTAAAAGATAGCCCGTGCAAAGTCTCACGTCATTACGGTAGCATGGCTCCTACACAAAAGTTGAATTTCTTGTGATTTTTTCAAAGAAAATGTATCAAAAACTGCAAAAGTGCAATTTGTTGCATGTTGCAAGTGAACACAGCCACAACCGCATTTATAGGTAGAGATATTGTATTTCAATCAATAAAACGATGCAGCGAGGAGGAAATCCGCCGGACGCGCCAAATTTACGCGCAGAAATCAACGAATTGGCTTCAGATGATAACCGAAATGGTATGTATTCAAACAATTTAATTTCATATGTATACGCCAACTGACAAATGAACTGCGCGATATATGTCATATATATATTCGGAAAGTCTTTGCACTGAAATCAAACGTTCATTTACATGAAAATGTGTTATGTACATGTGTGTTCACAACAACCATATGCATAACATGTTTGAAGTGATAAAGTGCGCATACGCGATATGTGTCAGTCAATACGTCCTTTTTCGCATTAAATTGATAAAAGTAGTAATATGATTTCATCTTAAAATGGGGTTTATCTGTAGAAATACAATAGGTTGAATTTATTTTTATCAACATAATTGCTCTGGTTTAAAATAATTTATTTACAAACCTTTTTTCTTCACACTTCAGTTCATCACAATTTGGCAGAACGAATCGTGGCTGAAAGAAGTGCCGACGGCAATAGAAGAATTGCACAGGATATGGCCATTGGCCAATCGTCTTGGAGTGGTCAGAGGGCAACAATTCGATGTTGAAATGAAAAATCGCTAGGGGGCAGACACGTTGAATAGGATTAGACTTTTAGTGTAAAGATTTAAGAGATTGCAATAAAATAGCAACGTCTGTGAATGGATTCGCGTGGAATAGCGAAACAGTGCATGGAATAGCAAAAATTGTTTCACATCAAATCTATTTGACAATTCTTTTGACGTTTATTGATGGATTAGTGGAATAGTGCGGAATAGCAGAATTAGCATTTTTGACGGAAACAGTGCATGGAATAGGAAAAATAGTTTCGATTTCACATTTGTGTTTTTGGATTAGTGGAATAGCTGGATTAGTAACTTATATAGGGGATTCGGAATTTATTCTTTTGTGTCTCCCCCCTAGAAAAATCGTCAACTCGAAGAGGAAGTTCGTACATTGAAAGAGAAAGTTTGTAAATTGGAAAAGGAAAACCGTAAACTCAAAGAGGAGCGTGAGCCAAGCGCAAAACTGAACAAAAATTTAGTTAGATTGATTGAAAATTGTATTTTCTTGGAATTTTTTTCTCAAATACAATTCAACAATCGAAATACAAAAAAAAACGCATTGTTTATCAGCAAAAAATTGCTGTGACAGTGATATAAAGCTAAAAAATATACATTTGAATCATAAAATGAAAAGAAAAAACAATAAAAAAAACTAAATCAAATAAACATTGAAAACCAAATAAACGACTGTTTTTTTTCAATTGAATTTAAATGCTGCATCGAATTTTTAACGAAGCTCATTCAAAAAAAGAAAAAATTTAACATAAGGTCTAGTTCACATTATTCGCACACAAAATAACAATCGTTAGTCGGTCATTTCTATGTGAAAATGTCGTAAAAAATATTCTTATAAATAAAATCGATAATTACGTAATTGTGTCGTGATCCGAAAAATTAAATAATTTTTTTTTCCACATGCTATTGTATGAAGCACACAAGCAATTTGTTCGCCGAAATGGTCAACCGAAACGACACCACTTGAGCGGCAGTGGTTCAGTTTAAATCCGTGCGCTGGCAATACTTGCAACTGTCAAACTCATTTACTCATGATGAATTGACGTATAATTTTATTCATTCATCATTTTCCACACACGAACGACGAAAAGAAAAAAACACAACAACCAAAGCATTGTGTATGTGTGTGATTGAAATTCGAAAGCACCTTCAGCATTTAATTAAAATCATACAACTATATGACAAAAATGCAGGCTGATTTTTGAACATCTCATTTGTACAAAAAGGTAAAATGGAAGAAGAGAGATAGAGAGAGTGACAAGACAAAGCAGAGAAACAATAAGAAAAACTATGAAAACAATTAGTGTTGCGAGAGTGAATTATGTAGTTGCTTGTGCTTGAAGTTTTGTGTATTCAATCCCGATATCGAAAAAATTTGTAATCGTAATCAGAATGTAGATAATATATGTTTTAGATGTGTTCAATTGTGATCATAAAGTAAGAAATTTAATGAAACAAAAAACCCTCAATATTCAATCAAAGCAAGTGAAATCGTTTTTTTTAACCACATTTGTCGAAGCCTCGTCCGCAAAAGGCGATTTTGTTTTTCTATCTCACTCTAACTAATACTCCTTTTTTTAATCAATTCACCGTTTTTATTTTGGTGTGTGGTGTTTTCAATTTGCGTATACTTTGTTTTGTTTTTTTGTTTGCTTTTTTCACGTCGTTCATTACAAAAATGGATATGAGATAGACTGTATGGTTGAGTTTCAAAAATACAATGTACGTGGGGACTTTCTTTTGCTCATTTTTTTTAATTCTTAAATAAATTCATACATTTCGAATCCTTGCCGAGTGAATATTGTGTGGTTTTTCGAATTCATGTGCGTTCGCATGACACATACATATTAGAGAAGAGCTCATAAAAATACCAAAATAAAGAGCATTTGATTCGACTGTAATTGTACGACGTCGTTAATGTCACATATGATGAAGCGGCCTGTGAACAATAAAAAAATACAATTCCAGCAATGCGCGCACGACAAAAAAAAAAGCAATGAATCATTGCCAATGATAAAAAAAATGTACAAAAACACAAACATATAATATTTGGTTAGGCCAATAGCGTTGGCGATTCCGACGAAACATTTGATTGTTGAGTGTATTTTTATCATTCATTCATTTAACGCCTTTTTTTCTCTTTCTTTGACATTCGATTTTCAGAGTGTGAATCTATGCTAATGGTGACAACAACGATCGATTATTTTCATTTTTGTACAAATGAACAGTTTCCGTATTCGAGTTGATCAAAGCTAGAGAGGCAGAATACAACACACACACACACACACTCGAACAGCAATCAGCACTCCTCACACACATCACACACCGCGCGCGCAATTTGCAAAGCAATAAAAACGAATTTTTGTTTGTTGTTGTTATGCATCAATTGAACCGTATATAGAAATTAAAAAGCCATATAAAATTGTTTTGGAATGATAGTAATTAGATAAAAAGAAACGTATAGAAAAAAAATATTGCGTGCATGTAATTCTAGCACCTCAACGGGTTGTGTGTCAATTGTACTGAAAATTATATTATTGAAATAGAAGATAGAAATTAAAATTAAATAATATAATCGGTGCGATTAAAAAAAGAGAGATATACATATAAAGATATACAAAGAGATAAATTGAATGAGTACGCGTTACGGTTACCAAGACGTTTTCCGTGGTATTTGCCGTTTGTCGTATGATTTTTTTTTTTTTTCAAAATTCGATGTATTGCCTCCTGTCGATGATAGTTTATATTCGAGCGTGCGCGATCCAAACGGATTATTTAGTTAAATGAGATTGCTGTACTGTTGCTGTTGCTGGAGAATGGCACCAAACACCCGAACGACCCGAAAATGGGAAGTTTTTTCCGGCCGGAATAAATTCTATTGCGATGGTTACTTAATGTCAGCACCCAACACAGGAATCTTCTACTTAACCGTATTCCTGATAAGTGGAACCAGTGCACTGTTCTTTGTATATGAGTAAGTGTATTTGTAATGTGACATGACTCAACAGCCTAATAATAATGTGTCTTCAATTATAGTTGTCCGTACCTTACAACAAATATTACCTCTGCCATACCAATTGTTGGAGCTATTTTATACGTCTTCACAATGAGCTCGTTACTACGAACGACATTCACTGATCCTGGCGTTATTCCACGTGCGCTCCAAGATGAAGCCGCCTACATCGAAAAACAAATTGGTAACTTATTTCCATTGACCATGAACATTTGTTGGCACCACTGCCAAATCACTCTAACCACAACACATTCCACTGTGTCTTATTTGTTTTTTTTTTTTCTGTAGAAGTGCCAAATTCATTGAATAGTCCAACTTATCGACCACCACCACGTACAAAAGAAATTCTAGTTAAAGGTCAAACTGTTAAACTGAAGTATTGTTTCACCTGTAAAATATTTCGCCCACCGAGAGCATCTCATTGCAGCCTTTGCGATAACTGTGTTGATCGCTTTGACCATCATTGTCCATGGGTTAGTATATAGCTGTATGCGCAATCGATTTAAAGTGCGATATAGTGATATGATATCAATTAAAGTGCCACTTCGCCTATTTAACGTTGATTGCCATTTTCATTTTAATTTCAGGTGGGCAACTGCGTTGGAAAGAGAAACTATCGATTTTTTTATATGTTCATCGTATCTCTAGCATTTTTAGCCGTGTTTATATTTTCGTGTTCAGTTACGCATTTAGTTTTATGTAAGTCACGCATCAATTTTCTTTGGTCATCGTTTTTTTTGTTTCTCTTAAGCTGCATTACATTGATTTCATTAATACTAATTGGCATATTATCGTTCCGCTTCTTTTTTTTTCTTCCTTCGTTTTGGCACACGGGTAACACATACAGTAGGAAAAGGTGGAAACGACGAATTCATCGAAATAGTTAAAGATCACCCATTTACTGTAATTGTAACACTGATTTGCTTCTTTTCAATATGGTCTGTGATAGGATTGGCTGGTTTTCATACATATTTAACAACAAGCGATCAAACCACCAACGAAGATGTAAGCTAAACAATACATGAGAAACTGTAACACCATTCGGTCAAATATTTTAAAATGTTTTATTTAATCATTTAGATAAAAGGGTCATTTTCCAAAGGAGCACAACAAATAAAAAATCCATATTCACATGGGAATATATGCTCGAATTGTTGCTTTATTCTCTGTGGACCGATGGCACCATCGTTGATCGATCGGTATGTTAAATTAGTTTGAGGTGTGCAAGAGAATTGCGATATGTAACATTAAAAACCGATTTGATTTACATTTTAGGCGTGGAGAAGTAACCGAAGAGTATATCGTATCCGATATGCAAGCAACGGACAACAATCGATTTAACGGCCAACAGTCAATTGTTTTGCAACCATTAAGCAATAACACACATATACAAAAAACGAAATATTATGACAACGAAGTAAGTGTTTCGACACCATTTTTTCTTTGTTTTGTCTTCATTTCGATATGACGAATGGCTTCATTACCACTGTGTTTTCATTGTTTTCAGATTGATAATAATTTAATCAGTAGCAATAAGCCCGGTAAATATCGACAACGAAGCTATGACAACTTAAAAACGGGTAAGTTAAGTTTGCAGCGTAGACCATTTGATAGACGATGCGTGTTGGCAAAATCGCCATATTTAACAAAAAACCACAATGATGGAACAAACAATGGACGTGTACGCAAAATGCGTCAACCGATTAAAATTATAAATATAAATCGGATTTTTAGTCCGACCGTTGAACGTAATATTGAACGTGAACAACGATTAAATTTTATCGAATTAAAAAAACGTGAACGTATACCATTGTCATCTTCAACGACATCTTCGTCGTCGTCATTGGCTTCATTGACATCGTCGCCATCGTCGACGATATCGTCACCATCTCATTTGACACCATCACACATAAAATTGAAATCAACGTTAATTCCAACACAGTATCGTGTCTATATACCACAAAAAAAGTGTGAAATGAAACAAGCTTACACGGATTATGTGTATGGCACCGGTAAAAATATCACAACTAAACCACATCCAATTCCAAATATTCAATCACATGATAATAACAATGAATGGGACACGAGTAGCAAACAAAATGTGGACGACGCAAATCATAAGTAAAAATACACGCACAAATCTCATGTGTCATTACAAAAAAAAAAAAAAAAAACAATGATGAAAGAAAAACTATAAGCAATTTTAGTAGATAGAATGCAAACATAAGCATATTCCATCCATTTCAAATGCAATTGCACCCACCAACAACAACGTTTGCGGGGACTAATTTTAAAACAAAAAGAAAAATTTACAAGTTTCTTAACTCAAATATACCGTCACACTCCAATTGATCTCAAGAATGTGAGCTGGGCTAGAATTAAATGAACAATATATATATATATATATATGAGATATGAGACATTAACTCACTGGGAAAAGACTGAACTATTATACATAATTTAGCACCAATTTGCAAAAATTCACAATCTACCCTAACTAAGCACTCAACAAAGAAAAAAACAACAACAACATAATTATAAAATAATTAATAATTTAGAAATGAGATTAATAGAAATGCAATGATTTATTTTTTTATTATAGGGACACAGCTAAAAAACATCTCTGTTTACTAAATCAAAACAAACCCCACAATGAAAATGAAATCAACTCAATTTCAAGCAATTATTAAAAACTAAAATCTAAAATAGCAAATAGTGAATGTACAATGACACAAACGCGCAATTTCAATATGCTTTCTTCTAAACCAAACCAAAAAAACAAACCAAAGATAAAAAAACCAATCGAAAACCAATTTATCATCAATGTGATTCCGTACATAATCAAGAGGGTTGGTACTACCGCAAAACAAAATCAACTAACGAGCAATTTCTAATACCTTAATCACCGTTTGATTCACCTCCAACAAGTTCGTTTTTTTTCTTTCTTCTTTTGAGAAAATAATGTTTGATTTTCTATTTTGAATTGATTTTTTTCTTTCTTTTCTTCTTCTTTTTTTTTTGTTTTGTTAATTTTCGATTGATCTTTTTCACTTCTTTTTTTTTTTAATTTTCGATTGTGTTCAACAACAAACAAAAACAACACGCTTGACATATATTAACTCAGTATATACACCGAATTCCTATGCAAGAATTATTATCTATCTTTTTTTGTTCTTGATAATTTTTTCGTTTTAGATTCTATTTTTCTTTTTAACCCGAACGTACACACATACACACAAAAAACACAAACAAACACTTACGTAAAATCACAAATCGAATATAGTGGTTATTATTATAGTTGCTGTTTTCCCCCTCTCTCTCTCTCTCACTCAAACATACACGCAACGCCATTGCACTAAATTACTAAAACAAATCCATTTCCATTGACCAGACACTAGACATCCCGTTTTTCCTCTCGTTTGAACATCTTTTTCCACTCTCTAAAAAAATGCAATTTATTTGATGCAGATCTTGGATTAGACGGCGTTACAACTTTTTTTTTAGATTATAATATATAGATTTTAAGGCATTTATTGCTATTTGAACAAATCTATTTACAATTTAATGATTTTCGCATATTAATTGAATGTAATACAATTTATTCTTCTATGCCATTTTTTTCCTGTGTCGCTATCTATCTGTCTGTTTGGCGCAACACTCTTTCTCTGCTCCCAAAAATTCAAAAAAAAAAAAAAACACACACACACATCAATCATTTTGCTTCGGAGATTAACAACTCCACTCAAGATTCATGTCGAATTCATGCGACAAACAATGAACACATTTGGGTGAGTGGCTAATAAATTCAAATATTCCACACGTTTATAAATGCGCAAAAAAAAAAAATATGTACACACATTTTCACACTGATTTTTATGATTTTCATTTTACCTTTTTTTTTCTCGTTCAAAAATATACATTTTTTTTCTCGTGCGAAAGTAATACGCCAATTGCCAATCGTTTCACACTCATTCCATTCTAGATGGTGTGCATCAATTCTTTTGCTATTTTTTCCGTTGAATTTGCTTTATCCATAAACCGAAAACGAAAACAAATGGAATATGTTAACAAAAATGAGCTTTTTTGGTTCGAATTTCGTGTACTTTCCACATTAAAAAAGTATCAGATACAAGAGAATCTAATCATTTAGGCTAATTGCTTCATTGCTTTTTACAATTAAATCCATAAGATAAATAGTGTCCAATTAATCCATAGAAATAAAATAAATAAATAAAAACTAATCCGTTAAAGTTTGCCAGAAATTAAGCACTTGAGACAGTTGTGATTTGCAAAAGTTTTTCTTTTTCGTTAGCTTTTACATACATTGAAATTTTATCACTTATGAATGACGATATTATGATTTGCATTGTGTTTTGCTATATATCGCTGTTTTACATTTTTTTACCAAATACATAAATAATAATAGATATATAAAAAAAGAGCATGAGAGACAAATGCTTTCGGTTTGAAAAGCAAATATTATTAATATTGATAAAAAATCAATTTATTTCCATTCACTTGCGTTATATCTAGTTTTTTTTTTTTCTTCAAATGAGTTCATTTGGTCAAGACTAATTTAATATTTTCTTTCTATTCTTCTTTCCCCACCGTTTCCGCACAAATCTGCGCATATTTTTCATGTGTGTATGGTGATGTGTATACAGGTAATTCAAACAGTGTGGCCAATTTAGTGGAAAATGAGAATCCAACATCGATGCAATCAGTGGCGATAAACGATGATATGTTACCAAATATGGATACCGACACATTAGGAAATTTAACACCATTCAATAATATGAAAGGCAGTTATAATAATCTATTTTGTGATAATTTAGACGATGATACAGTGCAAACGTTCGATCAAAATGATACGACGATAATGTCACCGGTGAAAACAGCGGTGGTGGTGGCGGCGTTGGCAACAGCGGGCACGACGACGCCAAACGTTCAAACAACGAATAATAATCAAATGTTAGAGAATGTTTATTGCAATATATCGCCAGCAATGCAAACACAAACAAATGGTAACGAAACGACGATATCAACGGCCAATACAATAAATCAATCAGCAACGAATCATATAGTCGATAATATATTGAGAATGCCTAGCACCGATCCAAATTTGCACGTCTATTCGAATGTAAGTAATGAATGCGATCCAATGGTCAAAATTGGCACGATCACGGCCGCTGTCGCTGTTAGTGCTAACGACATTTTGGCAGTGGACACCACAACATTGCCAATCAAAGGTGACAATTTAAATGCGGACAATACACTCCATTTAAACAACATTGAGTCAATAATCAATCAGTCCATTAAGTCATCAAAAATGTTAAGCGATAATTTAAACGATTTAGATTTGGACGATCCAACGCTGGCAATAGTCAATACACCAAAAACCAGTTCAATGGCAAAAATATTTAAATCAAACGATACAACCGGTTTGAATAGCGGCACCAACAACAACAATAAATTCAATTCGAATAAAAGAACGAAACAATCGTTAAGCGCTGCTACCGCTGTCAACAGTGACGATGCACGTTTGAATGTTTCGAAAAAATTGTTCAACGACACAACAATATCCACTGACATGATTGGTGACACCGAAAATGGCAATGGTTCATATTTACGATCATTACATGATACCACAATGATTGATACAGCGCTCGATTTGGATAGTATAGAAGATGCAAATATTAGCATCGAAAATATTAGTTGAACATGCATCGCACTTGACAAACTCATACATCATCCACATGAATCAGCATCGATCATTTGATTTAAATTGCATCGAAATCATTGAGAGTCAGGCAAATTGGTAATCATGATAACAGATTATGAATATGATTTATTATTCAAAATGTTTTAGACATTATCGGTAGGCATGTGATACTAGCTTGATTAATAATCAGTTTTCAGAATTTCAAAAATAGAATAAATTTATTATTGAAAGTGCATAATCGTTATCATCAATGAAATGCCAAAGTCCAGAGAAACAAAAATTGAAACTGCATTGCACCAGAAGCATCTTCGTATTGTCTCTTGAATTAAATGCTTCACAAAATGATGGCAATAGTTGTAACCAACTGTTAAGACCATCTTTGCTATAAAAAACTCTTTGCTCGTGTTACACTTAGCCGGTTCGAATCACCTAATGAGTTGACTGTGTTAAAACGTTCGGCAACAAAGCCCAATCGAAATGATGATGGTGGATAAAGAAAAAATGTATATACTTTCGTTTGCTTCATTTTCAGCAATCGACAAGACATCTAGCTTCGTCAAACAATTGAATTAAATGATGCCTTGAAATATTCCATTTTAATAAATGGTCGAAAACGAAGATATTTCTATTGATTATTTCTAAAACTTTTGCAATTTCAAAATAAATGTTTATCATCTTCATTTGATGTTCATAAAATCAGTACCACGTGCAATCAGATAATGATTACAAATAATTATTCAAGAAAAGTAGTTCATGTATAATAATCATGGTCAAGCATTTGAATAACGCCAGAGTCTGCTATTAGGTGAAATAAGAAACGCGAGATTACAAAACTAAGACGAGATTATACATTTGACTTTAATTATTATCGAAGATTAAATTGGAATGCCATTGCAAGAACGCTTGAATAGTCAAAAGGGAGAGAAAGAGAGTGTGTGAAATCGCGATTCGACCAAAACATCACACATTTCGTTTCAATCGCCTTACAAAGACCGTATCTTCAGCATCGGTAGATTGAACCTATGGATGGCTTGCGACTCTCTGTTCTTGTTGCATTTTCAAATCACATACACTTACTCTCTCTGCTTTCACTTTTCCCCTCACCTTGGTTCTTATTCTATCAACAAACAGATCGACTACAGGTGCGATTGACGGTTACCATCGCACACATTTTCGCATATACATTCGTGCATATAAAAATATAAATACATACACACACATAAATATATATATTTTTTTACTTTTATCAATTCTTTGGGAAAAATTATATTTTGTGAGGTGAAAACATAAAATAAAACACTGTAAATAGACGACTGGATTTTAATCTGTATATATATATATACACTGAGATATATATATTGAAATGAAAGATAGACAAAAAAAATGCCTATCTTATAAACAAATCGATATGCGACCGCATGTATTCACATATAAATATATATATTTACAACCATCGAATGAAAACGAAATGTGTCATTTGGTAAAATGCCTTAAATATAAGACAGAAATTATTTAAGAAAATTATTATTGAAACAAAATAAAAGAAGAAGAAAGAAAAAACAATTGCAAGAAAATGGGCGAAAAACATGCGATCTAACAATGAAACAAAAATGAAATAGTCTATGTTTTGTATTCATGTAAAAATTATATTGTATAAACAAAGGATCGATGCCACTTTGAATGGCACACAACGGTTATAATTTTTCTTTACTTCTTATTTTTTCATTTTTGTGCAACAAACCAATAAACGGTCTAAACAGATGAAATTAAACAAACGACAAAGATCCTATTTTGTATCATGAAAAAGAATTATTTGAAATAAAATGTTGACTAAAATAAAATCTAAATCAATGTTTTTTTCCCCTTCATTTATAATATGTAGACGAACAAAAAACTATAGCGAAAAGAAGAAAAAAAACTTCAGAATAATCGCGCCAATTCGTCTTAGGTTTGCACAATTCAAGCATATTGTAATAACCTGTTCGTACAAATAATCAAAAATGTAAGAGAAAAAAAAATATCGGGACAATTTTTTTTCTTGTAAAATACGATTCTCATTGAATTGATGTTACTCTCAACTGGCTTCTTCTTTTTGTACATCAATATCAACTTGAGATTCACTTGCTACACACTGGTTAAGAATGAAAAACCCAATGGCGGATATTGAAAACACACAAAGTATAAAGAGCGACCAAGTTTGTGTTCAAAAAGGATGTGTATACACTGCCAACGGCACGTTCTTTTTCTTTTTCATTTTCCCCAAATCCGATGTGCCAATACACTTGATAAAATGGCCAAACATCGATTTATAATGCAAACATTTGATCTGCTCCTCTGTCATTCAGAGCTGTTGAGAGGAGAAACGCAAAGAAACGAAAACCATAAGAAGAAGATGGTATAAAATGAGGATCTATTGACTGCTTTCAAATAGTTCCATTGCTCCATTTTGGACAATGATAAAGTGAAGACTACGTAGATACAATAAAAACACGCGCACACACACACGCACATATCATATTTTGTGTAAGTCTAATCGTCATCGACATTTCGCATGTATGTGCAAGAGAGCATGAAAAGAGGGCGGTTTCGATGCGAAGAGGCGTGCCCAACTTAAAATACAACCTTTTTGTCTGGTAAGTACAATCATTTCTCCAGCTTACATGTTATTTACTTGAACTATTTAGCGATTTTGAAACGAGATGAAATCCTTCATATCATCCCATACATTTCATTGACATTTCAATGCACGAATTTTGAAATCTCTTTCTCTCTCTCTCTCGCTCTGTCTTCGGCGCCAACATTGTCTCATTTTCTAGTTCATTCAACATTCATTGTATCAAAGTGTCATCAACAACATTGACAATAATTCAACAGCTATGTAAGGTCACCTGTTTTGAATAAATCCAAATAAGATGCGCTTTATTTGAGCTATGCTTGTTTTGTTTTCATTTTGTTTTGGCTTGACGCTGAATTGGCGCTCAAGTGGATCATGAACGAAACAAGATGAATGATTTCTTTTTGTTCACTTCAATTTGACATCGAAACGATTATTTCGGAAGAGGTGAACTTAAGAAATGAAAATAGATCTCATCATTTTGTATAGAATTTTACACATTCCAGTCAAGCTAATGATGATTTAAATACTGTTTAAGTGCCGAAGCAGATTTTTGCTCAAATTTTTTCGAACGAATCAGTTCTCTTTCGACTTAAACAATTAAGCATATAATAGTTGAATCGAGAAAAAGTCTTTTGTTAATTTTGTATTAAATTAACGGATAAACAAAAAAAAAATGCGATAATTATGGTGGAGAGTGGCATGTGTTGAACTTCTTTGGTTTTCCATTGCATTTGATTGCAGAGAGCTTCGTATGCGTGTTTCTTGTGAATTTGTGCGGAAAATGCCACTTGATACACACCATGTAAAATTGTATTCGCATATGAAACCGAAATTATGTACTGCTGACAAGAGATGTGCTGCCCGCGTTTAGATTATGCTTCCTTTTTTTCTCTTTTCTGCTGCGTGTGGGAGTGTGGAGTGTAGCGCATTCGCACACCAATACCATCAACATCATCACCATACATACACGAATCGCCCCACAGAACATATTCCACGGATGAGAGAACACACTGGCACATCATTGAAATCAGAGGCTAAAAAATAAATAAATAAGTAAATAAAACATCAAACCGAAACATGTTTTCAGCGATTAATGTATACATCGAAGTGAACGCTCCTTTTTGAATTAACCGCCGCTACAATCGTTTTTTTTTACTCTTCGTAATTTGAAATTAATAAATACAATTCAATGTAAGGCATAATTTTGTGTTTGTGTTTTCTTGTGAGTGTATCGATAATTTCTTGAATTGAGGAAAAAGCCAACCAATGAAAAAAAACAGTGAAAAAAATCGAATAAATCATATGAAAAAAAGTGCATAAATCTGTGAAATTAAGCAGCCATTAGAGGACGTGAAAATTGTCATCTCAGTTTTTTGTGATTAATTGATAAAACTGATATTTGTTACTGTGTGTTTCGAGTAGCAACGATTCGCATATTATGATTTAAAAAAAGACACTTTATCCAATGTGTAATTTAACAATGTTTTTTTTTTTTTTAACTAAACGACGATATCAAATCATTGACATAATGGCTCACATATTGAAAGTAATTTTCTGCCCAAATGACCATTTTATTTTGGAACAATGTGTGATTATCTTGAATGAATCAAAACATGAAACAACATCGTGTTTTGTAAAGTGTATTCAGGCTGAGGCGATTATTCACCCACCTTTTTCCACTATAATCCAGTTCATGCCATTGTCTAAATTAATCTGATTATGTCAATAATGCACTCTTTTGTTTGTCTTGGCTCATTTTCCGTCATTCGAATTTGATAAACAAATTACAAATGAGCATGTGGTGTCAACAATAACAGCGACAGGGGTGGCAGCACATTGATACAAATGTTGACGCCGTACAATTTATATATATATATCCGAATATGCTAATTACTTTCGGATAAAATGTCAAACACAAATGACTTTTTGAATGTAAACAAGTATTCAGTCACGTTTCCTTGGTACCATTTTTTTTTAAATTTAAACAAAGCGACGGGAATACCGAAATCTCCTGCATATTGTTTTGTAACTCAATTGAATAAATAAATTTAATCATAAATATAGGACCTTTTCATTGAATTGAAAGTTTGATGGAAAAACTCATTCTTTCCTCGATAACTCAAGCATCTATTCGATGAAATTGAAATATGACGTGAAATAATTGAAACAGACACTTATTTTGATGACTCAACACTCCGTCGGCATATATTTCTCAACCTATATTATGACTTTATCTCTCATTTGTGTAAAATGATTTTTTGAAAAAAAAGAACGGTTCTCAGTTTTCACAAAGTGCCTATCTGTATGAAAAATTGACCGAATTTTCTAATGTTTCTCAATTATTATTTATCCATTTTGCAGTTGCGATGGATGTTAAACCAGCTATTTCCGCCAATTCGGTTTCTCCGACAATACCAGACATTTCATCATTGACCACAACAAGTTTGACATCATGTACCAACGGTAGTACATATAATATTGGTAAAACTGCATTGGCACCCGAAACAACATTATGCGGCTTATGCATTCAACCAATATACGATCAGTATATAATGAGAGTCGTTGACACGTATTATCATGAACGGTGTCTTCAATGTTGTTCATGCTCGAAACGTTTGACGCACTCATGTTTTGCTCGCAATGGAAAACTATACTGTCGAATTGATTATGAAAGGTAAGGCAAAATACAATTGTTACAGATAGACATTTATATACTATACATACACGGTGTCTGTGTGTGTATATATTTATTTCAAGTGCAAACATCGCCGCTGATGTGGCCATGTATATGGAATGCATTAATTGGTCAATGCCAATTCAAAAAGCGCGTTGACATGAAAATCCACGCTTGCATTTTGCATTCACTCGCCGTACAACACATTTTCCCCAAACCAGCGCATGCCTGTAAATGTATATCTAATTGCTCATCTAGAGATGTTCAAGTATTGTTTAAGTATCATTTGCGGGATAATTGAATTGAAATTTTATTCACAGCCAACAAATTTACAATAAACTTCAATTCAATTGAAATGCTTTTGCATCGGCCGATTATATCCAGCTTTTAATGGAAAAAATATTCCTTCTGTTAAATTTTTTATAAGAACAAAAAACACTTTTTTTATTGTGGATTGTATCATTTTTATTTGCTGTCAGCATTTAGTGGATTGCATGTATTTTGTGGAATTTTTCCTATGGAATTACAAATTATTTTCGGGTGAAAAGAAAGATTTCCGTAGCTCAGGCTGTTTTAATTGGAAATTGTAGTTTTAAATTGAGTAGTCTAGTTAAAAACGTAGATATTCAATATGACGGTTCGTTTGGCAAAAAAGCCGTGACCAAAAGCGAATTATTTTGCTATTAAATGAGAGGGAAACGAGAGGAGTTTAGCTAAATGACAAGTTATGTTAGATGGTTCCATTGACTTACTACCGGCATTGGCTAATTTTGAACGAATAAATTACCGCGACGACAATTAAGTGTAGGCTCATTGATAAATTATACAATTTAAGCGTGTTACACCCCATATATCTATCGTCGGTGATGATGAAAAGTGTTTTGCTTCGTGTGTGTTTTTTTTCTCTCCTCTTTGCACTACTACTTTTGGTCACATTGATTTTGCCTTTTATACGTGGTTTGTTCTTACGATCCATAAAATCACACTGAAAAGCTCTCTCTAGCAGCAGCAGCAACATCAAGAACACGTGTTATTTTGAACATGCCATAAAATATGTCATGCTTAAATTAATGGCCATATTTGAATCATTCATACATGAGTGCATCTGATGAATGCCGGTCCATTTGAGGCAAAACTAAAAAAATTTCATTCAAAGGGTAACGATATTTTATCTGTCACCAGAAAAAAAAATCACTCATTATGCAATCGAAATTTCCAACACACATTTCGAAATTCATAGAGATGCGGAAAGGTGAATTTATGATTCACAATTTAAAATCAGTCGCTGCACACATGAAACAAAAAATACGAATAATTGGCCTCAAAAACCACGACTTTCTATAACCAAATCTAAATCAAATTTCAATTCCAAGGAAAATGAGCTCTAAGTAAATTATATTCGTTTAAAAGAAAGAGAATGCCGTATTTTGTACAAGAGCCTTTGAATTTCGGTAAAGTCAAAATGATTTAATTTGATATGTTTAACATAAATAACAAAAAAAGAATGCAAAATATTTCGTCGTTGATTTTTTCGCTTTGCATTTTGAAAAAAAAAGAAATGTGCTTGAAGTTTGCTTTTGTCGATGCTTCGCAAATAATTCTCAATGGAAGTTGGCATGACAAAGAACACTTAAAGGCATCGAAGCAAACAGTGAATTCACAAAGCAAAGTAATTTTGAAACGAAAAAAATTCACGCACACAACACCCATATACAACAGCCAAAGCAGTAGCGAATAACAACCCAAAACAAAAAAAAAATACTCCATAAATATTGAATAATACAAATACTTCAAAGAACAATATGTTACACTTGTTTACATCATACATCTCATTCTGTGTTCCGCTTTTCCCTACGCTCGTCGCTCTTTTCGCGTAATTCGATATATTAAAATATGTCCAAACTATGCAGAGCGTACTCAGACCACCCTCTAAACTATGTGCCGCACAAAGAAAAAGCGAGAGACAGACAACAGAGACAGAGGGAGAGAGAGGGAGAGAAACAAACGGCCAAGACAACAACGAGAAATAGACGAACGAATGAACATTCGAACCAAATAGCAACTGCGGCAGTGGCAGTGGTTGTGATGCTTGCAAAAAAAATTGTTGCTGATGCTGTCTGTTACGGCTGCACATCATCCTATACAAGCATATCAATCTCTTTTTCCAGTTTCACCATTGTTCATTCTATACAAAAGCTTCACATTTTTTTCCTCCTTCATTTCATTCTCTCCCTCTCCCTCTCTCTGTCACTCTCATTCTATCTGTCGCATTTACTCTTGACTATGTTGCTTGTATTATTTTTTTTCCCGTGCTGATGTGTGCCGATTCATCGTTTTGTTATTTTCAAACAAGAATCTAATTTCGAAATACAATATGTATATTTGAGCACTGTACAGCCTCAATACCAAAAATGGGTATTATTAAACAGCCACGGTATTACAATATGAACAAAACAAAAATACCAGATCACATATTTCGTATTCCCTGAATCGCCTACTGAATATATTTTGGGGTGATAAATTTTGCAAAAAATCAGTCCCAAAAAAATGGAAACTAATACGCACTTTTATGTTTGTCTTCAAGATTTTTGCTGCATAAAGTTTATTTTCATTGTCAATTTCGATCCCAACGTTATCTTGGTGACAATTGTACAGTGTCAAATGGTATCATTGCTGCGCAATAAATAAGGTGAATTGTTATTAGACTCAAAAATGCCGGAGTCCCAAAATTCGATCGCAGATGTATCAATGAAGATGGTGCAGGGCGTTTCTAATGAAAACGCCGTCAATCAATTGTTCAAACAATGTTCGGCGAATATACCCAGCCCCGTTCCAATAAGATCGAACGAAACACTTTCTCTATATGCATGAAATGTTAAACGAAGAATAAAAGATTCAACGATAGATGTACTTGTATACGCACGCAAATGCCCATAAATTAATATCCAAATTGGAATAAAGACGATTTGTTGGCAGCCAACGACGAGTAAAAACGAAGAATTCATGAATGGCATCGAACATATTTTCCAACCACGTTCTCTACGTTGAAAACGAAGGATATACCAATGCTGCTGCTACTGCAGAATGGCGCAAATCAACAATAACAACAACAACAGAAAAAATGAACAGAGAATGAGAAGCAGCGCATTGTGACTGAACTGTTGTTGGCGAACAGTAAATATTTGTCGAAAAAAACACAGCGAGAAAAAGGGAAACAATTTTTCACGTATTGCGCACACTGTCAAAGGAATGGAATGCATCACAATGGCTGAATACCGAAAATAAAAAAAAACAATAGCAGAAAAGTTAAACGCCAAACAAAAAAAAAAACAACAACAAACGTTAAATCGATCGAATGAAAGAGAGAATACATAATTTAAGGTTCAATTGCTAATTTTCGATTTGAACGACTTATTTCAAAAACTTCTTTCACGCTCTCTTCATACTCTCCTCCTCTTTGCATAGCAATATATCGACGTGTATAGCGCGTTTGTTCACGCTCTTTTTTACTATTCGTTCGTTTGCTATTTCTGTTTTTATTGTCAATTTGTTTTTATCCGTTCGTGTATGTTTTTTTCTTCTTTGTTTTATTTTTCTTCTGTGTGTGATTTCACTTTTTTTTCGCACACCCAATCAAAGCGGATGAAGAAGGTTCTCTGTGAAGAAATTTAAAATGTAATACTTGAAATGTTTGTTTGCATGACACACACACAGAGAGAGGAGAAAAAAAACAAGATAGAAATAAAAATGAAGACAATAAGAAAAAGAAGAAAAGTTGCCGTATTGTTTTTCATGGATTCAGTCAACCTTTATTAACGAAAGTTAGGTTTTTCTTTTCTTTTTTATTTCATTTCGATTATTTTTTCCCGTTCTTGTTGCCATTTCAAATGATTCGCGTGCATTTCCTTATGCTGCAAAAACTGTTTTTCATGCTCCTTTTGTATTGTATTCTTCTTTTCTTCTTCTTTCGTTTTCTTCCAATCTTTTTTCCACCAGAATTTATTTAAAAAATAACTGCTTGGGATGCAATAAGAGAATTTGTTCGGAAGAATATGTGATGCGAACAGCGAGCAATGTGTTTCATTTAAAGTGTTTTGTGTGCGTCGTATGCGGATCTCAATTACAAAAAGGCGAACAATATGTGGTTAAGCAAAGCCAATTATTTTGCCGTAACGATTATGAGAAAGAAGTTGAAATGCTCAAAGGATACAATGGTAAATAAAACAAATCGACAAATCAACGATGCAAAGTCCGAAAATAATTTCATTCAGACAATTTATTGTAATGAGCCTCCATTTGCCTTAATTATTTTTAGATGAATATTTTTCGGAAGATGTGTTTGCATCGAAAATCGATGGACGACGCGGACCAAAAAGACCACGAACCATTTTAAATACGCAACAACGAAGAGCTTTCAAAGCATCATTCGACGTATCGCCGAAACCATGTCGCAAAGTACGCGAAAATTTGGCCAGAGAAACTGGATTAAGTTTACGCATTGTTCAGGTAGAGAATCTCGCTAAAAAAAAAGCAAAACTTTTGAAAAAAAAAAAATCAATTTTTGAAAAAAAAAAAAAAAAAAAAACATTTTGATTGTAGGTCTGGTTCCAAAACCAACGAGCAAAAGTGAAAAAGATCCAGAAAAAACGCAAACAAGACGGTAAACACGACAACGAGAATGATTCGCAGGGAGAAAATAATACGGCCAATGGAAACACAGCAAAAAGCAATCATGAAAGTGAGCCAGCCGTCGTGAGACTTGTTTTTTTTTTTGCCACTATGGTTTGCGTCAATTGGTTTTTTTTCTTATACTCTTTCTCTCTCTTTTGTATCCATTTCTTCAAGGTGATTCAGATTCCTATAGCAACGCAAATCTCGAGCCCGATCAAAACTTTTCGATAAAAAAGGAAAAAGACAATTCAGAGGATGGCATAAAATCATTTGAACTATGTTCAAATTCTCATCACTTTCCAGGTAATTAATTCGCTCGTGATAATTTCCGAAAATACCAATAACACATCTTTTTTATATATGTATATGTAACCAAAGACAATTTCAAATGGATTTGTTAAAAGCGAATCGAAAGAACCGTTTTTATCCCTTCTTTTTCGTTTGTATAAAAAACGTCGAAATTTTTGTTGAGCGACCATTAAGAATCGTTTTTCCTAAATAGCTGTCGACCGGGTCGGATCGCAAGTGTTTTTTATATCTTTCAATGGCTTCGAAATATGCGTCATTGATTTTTCAACCATAACGGGCTTCAAATCATCAAATAATAGTCATCGTTTTCGTATCTATATATGCTATTCAACAAATTCCATGGCTGATCTCGATGTCGACGAAAGTAAAAACCACATTATGAAAAAAAAAAAATATGTTGGAACGACAACAAAAACTGTATTAAAAAAAAAACTCCGATTAGACGACGATTTGGCCGTATTATTTTCAATTTATTTGGTCGATGCGAGACAAATTATTTTTCGCTTAGACATTGTGCAAACATTTTATGCGCTCAATAATTTGCTTTTGGCTAAAAACGAACGATTTTTGAATCGAATCGCGGATGTATTTTATGCATTCTGTGGGACCATTTTAAATACATAAAAATAAATTGCATCTTCATTTCCTCATCAAAACAAATTTACAAATTTTTTTTTTCATTCCTTCGCTTTTGCTGAAACTGATGTGTTGTTCTTTCTGTACGTGTTTTTTTTTGCAGCCGATAATTTCTCCGGCACCGATGATATTCAAGATAATGCCGTTATGGGGTTGGCTTATTCAACGTTTCAACGTATTTTGGGTAATGCACCACAAGTATTGAATCCGATCGATCGTCTGTACTCAATGCAAAACTATTATTTTCGATGCAACAATCGACAGCCCAACGAACCAGATGACAATGATGGAATGTAAATCCACGGAAATGTTTTAATTAAACAAATGTGTGTTTTTACTTTGGCAAAACAAAGTGTTTATCATGTAGTAACATGAATAAAAATTAAATTTAAAGCAAGCAAAAAACAAAACAAAAAATGTTCTCTAAATTAAATCCTGTGATTATAGAGTGATTGTGTGTGTGTCTCGTATTCCAAATGATTCGTCCGAAATTCTTATGTGACAATCGCTATTCTCGCATCCACATACACTTACAGCACACTTATGGACGGAATGAAAGAAGTAAGTAGGCTTTAAAAAAAACTGAACACACAGGGATTGATTCATTTCGTTAATTTAACAATACGTGAAATTCCAATGTTTTGCATGCTGTTAACGTGCGCATCATTGATGATGCCGATTGTAATCTATAGGTCTATATGATGCTTGTCAACGTGACAGACAGGTGATTATTTTCGTACTTCATGTATTTTAGTTTTACCAATAAAAATGTCACTAGGGCTCAAGATAAATCTATCATTTCGTTGTGGCGTTTACGGGATTCGATGTCATCGTCAACACTTGGATCGTTCTGACGATACGATAGAAGAGGGTTCGAAGTGATTCATTTGTTATGAGGCTGATTTCGATTCGAATCGCGTACAAACAAGAAAATCCACGCAAAAACTAAATGGTGTAAATAAAATTAGAAGCCAAGACCCGAAACAAAAGAAAAAACACCGAATAAAACGCACCACCGACCGAAAATTGTACCGAAATTGATTTGACAAAGTGGAAAATCAAACGTATCAAATGTACCAAATAAAAATGCACTAAAGACATAGTTATCCGCGTTAAATAGCGTAAAATTCAATATCATCATCAATTTGAAACACGACTAACGCGCTTCGTTTTTGTCAAACACCAAGTGCATCACATCTAAGTCTCGCTTACTCGGCCGGTCAATGTGTAAAACTTCCGCCTGTTTAAGCGGAATCGAAACGATGCGAGGAATGAACAAGCAAAAAAAGGAGAAGAATGACGAGAGTGAAAAAAAAAATCACTAACAAAGCACATGGAAGTCTTCATCGCATCAATTTTATTGTTTTCTCTATAAAAACAGTACCGCATTTTTACCACCCTTTTAATATGTGCGTGTATGTGTGGTGATTCAATGTAGAAATTGTGCATTGCGAATAGGGAAAATATCGTACGAAATACAATGATATCGGGGTTTCCATGTCACCAAATGATTAAATAATATGCACATTAAACGACGATATAACAAAACAATATGAAAAGTCATGAAGAATCAAGCGAATGACACAAATTATATTCATCAACATTCCGTACGTGCAACGACGCAGCAGTAGTAGCAGCAGCAACAAAATCATTCGACGCCCAAAGAATCACAATAGAGAATAGCAAGCAACTACGGATTTCAAAGCAATATCATGGCTATACAATGGTACATAAACAATCCCTTGTCACCCTGTTTGTCGTGTTTTGGCTCATTGTTTGGAATCAACTTGCTGACTTTGCTATGCTTTGCTGTCTTTTGCTCTGTATCACTCCGTCTGGCAAACCTATATAAAAACGGGCAAACATTGACGACAAGTGAAAAGAAAACGTTGTTGCATAATTATTTGCGGTTCAGCACTAAAAAGGTTGGAAATTACAACAATATGCTTAGAATTATTGTGTAAAAAGCAGGGTGAATATTTTTCATAGAATGTTGTTGATATTTCCGTTTTTTCCACATCGGTTTTTACGCGCTTTACACATCCAACTCATTTTCTCTTTGCCTCTCTCTCTCTCTCTCTCTCTCTCTCTCTCACTTTTGAACCACATCCCTTCTTTCTCGTTCAATTTCAAACATTTTCACGCTTCACACAAAACGATTAGGTGAAATATTATGTGCGTTTTGTACGTTGTTGCTTCGGCTCCGACTCTGTGCACATCGATTAATATGTAGATGTATAAACGCACCGACCAGAATAACCGGAAGCAAAAATGGCAAACGAAATGTTGCGCGCGGCATGGTATGTATCTAAAGCCATGCACATTTGAATTATGTAAACGATGGGATGTGTGTTCGTGTGTTTTTAGCTTGGTTTAGCATTGAATGAATTGGAAGAAAAAGCAAAAAAAGGAGCAAAATCGACATAAATATTTATGAACTATGCGCGCCTAAGCATCAACCATCGACAGTAGTAACAGCCGTGTCGCAACACACCTCCAAGTTGGGATCAATGCTGGTTTTTTTTTTTCGTCGTTCAGATATGCAACACTTTGCCAGTGTCTTTGGAGTAAAATTAATTTTACTGTGAAAAAAAAAACACTTAACATGCACAAGTTCTAATTGTATGTTCTGACGTTGATTTTAGTGACACTTTGCCATTGCCAAATGTAATTGATACGGTTGTTATTGTTTCCATTTGGCAAAGGTGTTTGTGTACATACATTGATGGGTGCCCGTTTGACGGAGTCGGCCTATGTCTACATCTGTGTAACTAAATATTTTATGTACAATTACACTTTTGGAGCATATTTACTCACATAGCGAAATAAATGAAAAAAAAAAATATATGTGTGACACATGCGAAGACAAAACATTGCATTACATTTCGAACGTTTGACGCTTCTTAATCGTGCCACCCCGACATCAACACAATTCGTAGAATTTATTTTTATGACTTTCCAAAGCATTCCATGTACCAAACTATACTCTTTTCGCACATTCAATTTTCACAAATCCACATCGTAACTTTGCTCCGATCTCCGCCTCAAAATAGTTAATGTCAGATAAAAACGGTAACGGGCGACAATATGCATGCGATTGAATATAGAATGAAGATATTGAACAAGTGTTGAATACTGTAGTACATCTGGGCAAAAGTAATCCGATTCCAAGTTTTTGTTCAAAGGTCGCCCGCCAACCAGCCACGAATATAAATAGCAAAAATATTTCAAGGAAAACATGGCATATTGTGCCTGTTTAAAAACAAACAAACAAAAAACTCGGAAATCATTCGACGGATGATGAAAACAAACGAATTGAAGGCATCCTAGAAATGAGAAGAACTTTTGCCATTTCTGATTTGTATGATTCAATTTTGTCGGGAATAATCATTGTATACATATGTTAAGTGCAACAATCTACCATTTTTCCCTTCACGATAGTCACAACGATATTACCTTTTCACCACCTCCAAAATATATACAAATTCAAACAAAGTGTGTACACAAAGTCGTCAAGATTCCGCAATCGACGGCAAAATCGTATACAATGACATCACATTTTCGTGTCGACACCAAAATACCAAAACGCTTAACTTCGACATCGACACAATCCATTCGACTTGATTTTCAGACTGTTTATCACATCGTACAGATGTTTGCATGTAAAACTTCTCATGTTACATTTAGTGGTTAAGAGAAGAGATACACACACAGAGAGAGAACGCCCGCGTAAGAGTTTATCTCTTACAACCACAAAGTACACTTTTTCAAAAACTTTTCGAAAAGTCATCCAAATATTAGTAAAATTGCCGAAAAGTACAATTCAAACAAGTATCACACCAAATTCGAAACGGTAGTGTATGGTTTATACTTTGACGTAATTCGTTGAATTTCAAATGAATTTTTGAGCTTGTTTATCCGTGTACAACGAATTCATGTGGATTTGAATGATTCGCCTTCGGTATATACAATCATTTTCATGCCAAATTCAATGTGTGCACATTTATTGTTTGATACTGTTGACTTCATCTCGTCTTAAGCAATACACACGCTTGGTGATTTAAATTATGCGCTACCATCAACAAATCGACAGCGGTATTAAGAAGACCCGGATTCAAATTTGACTTGGTTTTGAATCATTGCAAAATCCTTTCCATCTTGTAAACATTCCAAAAACGATTGTTGTTGTTGTGCAAAATTGTGGAATTTGTTTTCAAACATCTTTTAAGGATATCCGTTTTCCGTCATTTTGTTTTATCAGGTTTTCACGCACAAATAAATCTTGAGCCGACTTGATCTTGCTCTTTGAGGATGCTGTTGTTTGGCATGTGCGTAGATTTATATCGTGGGTTAATTATTGCGGTCGGTAATGTAAAGTACGCCAAATTTCTACACAAATTTTCATTTTTGTTGTTCTTGTTCAAGTACGATGCTAGCACAAATTTTCAACAACAACAAAAAAATAATGTAACATTTAACTCGTTTAAAACGGTAAATATTTAATTCGACACCCAAAATGTGCCAAATATCCAAAAGATTGTTGATACAACCTCCTATTTACGTCATGTCAAGCCAAGTGCACATGTTAAACGATTCGCTCAAAAGTCGACGATTAATTGATTCCTTTACGATCACGAGAGCGAGAGAGAGAGAGAAATAGTGTGTGTATTTGTATGACGTCCCTTGATTTTTTTTTTCAGTTACCTTTTAAACGTTAATCGAGCTAAGTATTTGGTACAACGATTAAACGTTGAGTCATTGATTTTGGCAATATATTATATTTAATGTGTTGTGTTGTTGCCCTCCGTTGTGCCGCATTTATACTATTTTCTTCTTCTTTTTTTTTTCCTTCTCAATGTGTGTACCGCACACTGGCACACCATGCAAGTCTGCCTGTTTTTCTTTATGACCGATATTATACGCCAGATTAAGCTGACGTCAAAAATTGTAATATCAGGGGGGAGAGAAGCTGATACAAGTGAGTGAAACGAAACGATGATCTGATCGGCTGTGCAACACTTGTTACCCGATTACAGTCACCTCCTCGTTTTCAATATTGCATATGTTTTTTTTACTCGGTGTGTTCAGGCAAGAGGCGCTATGACTTTTGGGTGGCCAATACCATCAAGAAAGAATGTGTTGCACCGTGCACGCGCGTACAACTGAAACGACCGAGAAATGAAGAAAAAGCGAAAAACACGCATGCACACACACATAACAAAAAAAAATTTAAATAACAATAGTGTGTGCAACATTGACGTAAAATAACAAAGAGCAAATTGTACAGCACCAAAGCACCAACATTCAGTAGAAATGGTGCCCCCGTTTGTGTGTTATTGCACATATACATATCTACTTAGCGTATTGCACAGATGGTTGATCGTGTGCCCAGCATACAAACAAAATATTATTAGGTGATTAAACCCACCGATGATGCTGACACGGTGACGGCAATATAACAATAAACTTCTCGGCTCGCAATTTTCTTCAACAAAAACATTTTTTCTCCACTTTCAACTAATACTTTGGGTGTATGTGATAAGCCCAGAATGTTTTTTTTTCTTCGAAATATAAGAGAGAGAGAGAGAGAAAAAAACTACCATGTTGTTTTCTCTCAATTTCTTATTCAAATAGAAAACAGATCAATTGTTTATCTTGGAAACACGATTCTTGCGTAATTATAACAAATAATAATTATTTCACAAAGAATTTGAACGCTTCTCTGTGTGTCGTATTATTTTTTATTTTTTTTTTTGGCTACGAATTGGCAATATTAATTATTGTTTATATGCATGTAAGGAACAATAAAATATAGAGAAACTTTACCGTTCAGCTGATTCGAATCGGTAGCATTAAATTTATACCGTCAAAGCTAGTGATAGTGACAACAAGTGCTTAAGACCTCCGGTCCGATATTCGAATCAAGCCAGGAACGAAAAAGAAGTGGAACGAATTTTGTGATGTCATCGGTGTTTATTGTTGTCGTTCTGTGTGTTATGTGATTTAAACAAAAAATTGAATTGGTCGCGCTATTTTTCACGCTTTTTAGCAGTAAAATTGTCATTCGCTTACCATTTTTCACCGAGTGATTTACCGATTGCGTCACGGCAGCTTGCCGAATTTCATTCGTTTTGGTCCTTCTTTCACCGCACCACCGAAACAAACTCGCTACAATTCTATGCACCGTTCGAACTAACTTGATGCATCAAATATTTTAGTGACAAATTTCGATTTTATCGACGAAGGCAGAAAGTTTTTATTTGCAAAAAAAAAAAAAAAAAAAACAGAAGAGAAATAGAGAAATATGGTTGATTTCGACAAGTTTTTATAAATTTTCGTCGAGCCGGCATGAGCGTTAGCTTCATTTCCATAAGAAAATCGAAGACGAAAATTTGTAAACTCATACCGAGCGATATCGTGTGTGAAATCGAAAAGTAAAACAAACAATTTAAGCAATAATATTGAAGATTTGCCTTTTATTTACAATTTTAACTCCAAGCAATACAATAAAAGGCGGCCTCACAACAGACAACAAACTTTCAAAAGTAATTGTGTGCATGTGTGTGTGCGCTAGCGCGCTTAAGCCGTGTAAAATATACTTTTATCAAATGTTAAATCGTGACGCGTGCCACAACTTAATAATCAATTTTCCCTGAAATTGATATTAATATTCATCCCTTCGATATAAACGTAGATCGGGTGAGAGTCAAAAATGTTGATGCGCCAAGAAGCCATATTATAAATTATTTTCCCACTTCGTCAAATGATTTTTCCATACGGTTTTCTTTTTTTTCATCAGTAAATAATTGTAATCGTTGTGTCATCAATAGACCAGTGCATCGTATTGTTTAAAAAAACTGGTTCAATGCAAAGTATCATACAGATTACGACGATATCAACAGTCGCAACAAAAGGATCAAATAAAATTGAAAAGTATGCTCGCGATACTCGGTAGAAGTATATGTGATGCAAACAGTGATGAGTGTGTGAACGCGTTTCGGGCTGTTTTTGTTGTTGTTGTTTTCATTGTTGACAAACAATACAACTATTTGTTTACACTTTAATTGTTAGCCGTATAATGTGTATCATTTTATGTGAACGTTTCGATTTTGATATTATCAAATGACTCTGCATGCAGAAGAGATATAAACACACGGTGAGAGAGAAAAACTACAGTGATTTTTATCTGTTACACACGTTACAATGAAAACAATATCGATATAAGGAAAACAAAACAGAGAAGGAAGTAAAAGTGAAAAACGAGTAGAACAACAAAAAAAAAACATTAAAAAAATTCACACGAATTCGCATCAATTTGGGCGCCGAGCTATGCACATGAATAAGCTTTTCCGAATCGTTCATCGTCCGGTATGATATTGGTTGTCATTATTATGCGACTGATTGTCGCCGGTCCAATTTCACCGATTAAATACCTTCTCCTTTTCAGATAATTTCAATTGATTTCCAAATGAGCGATTCATTGTTGGCGCCGTCGTTGTCATCGTCAGCAGCAACAACATCAGTATCATTATTACAAAAGAGTCTGATCTCGAATTGGCGCCTTTTGATGTTTCGACACATTCATAAGGTGATATTCCTGAAAATCTATATTAAATAAAAATACGACGTGTGCCGTGCCGCCTTCCGAAGATCAAAAAATGTAAGCCCTTTTTTTATATTTTTCATTTTATGCTCATTGAAACAATAGATTAAATCGCGTGGGGTGAACTTCGTCTCTCTCGCTCTCCTTCACTCTATGTGTGCTCTCTGCTCATATACATATATAATGCCGATTGGTTGTGTGTATCACACGGTGATATTATACGTGCAAATTCAGATATATGTTAATAGCGTATGCATAGTAAACATTGTAACGTGCCATGGTTTTGTATCTTTAGAAATTCACTAGCTCACTCGGTCCGTTTACTCCTCAGCTCACCAGGTGGTAAAATGTCAAATTATTCAAACCGTGTTTCACTTTGTGTTCGTGTGTGAAAACTTGTGAGCGCGAACAGCAACAAAAACGATCCGAATATCGAAGTAGCAAATAGCATCCTTCTGGGGTTGGCACGGATGGATTTGTGAGTTGCTCATTCTTTGCAATGCTCTATCTGTGACTTGATGTTGTTCGTTTGCTCCCTGGATCTTCCTGCCTGTATGTGTTGAATATTTGAAATGGTATTCGCAAGGCTTAACCTTATGTGCTGTTTCGTTTATTCTGCATAGAGAAATTTATTGTTTGGCGTTGTCATCGTAAATACACTGGCATCGCATTCTAAACATCGATCACTCACTTAATCTGTGCATTTGTGTTTCGTTGTTTTTCCACTTCCGTTTCTTTTTCTCATCAAGACACACAAGTTTCATCGTCGTCTTCGTATATGTCTCTTTCATTGCAAAATGCAAAAAAAAAAAAGAAATATTGAAGAAAATCAATTTTCAATCGTGTATACCTTCTTGATCCTTTATTTTTCTTTTATTGAGATCTTGATATTTCATTGAAAATTCATTTTAACCGAACCAATGATGTGTGATGCACGCAAACATTGCGCAATTTTATACGAGAATGTTTGCACTGAGAAAGCCCAATCGAATATCGAATCTGTTTGGCCTCGAATCGACTCATGAATGGCGGATTAGCCAGCATGAAAAAGTCTATTGAGATAATATAAATACAAATACGGTGGGCTAAATCTCTCAGTTAAATATGGTATTTTATCCAGAAGCGCGCGTTCGCTCACCCTCTTTATTTACAATTAAACAGAGCGAATGAGAGACGAAACGGAATATACAAAAAAAGGTGGAATTATCTAGTGTCTTTAAACAATGGTACGTTTATCCTGTGAAGATTAAATTCGGTTGCTCATAATAATCCCTTCTTTTCGCTCTTTTTCACTTTCAAATCATGTACATCGAGTGCGGTGGTTTGCTTACGTTGTGGAACGTCGTCAGTATACAACCGTCGGGCAAAATCTCTCAACAATGTCGAAAATATGTCCATTTCTATATCGAACCGAAGATGACTGCATACAATGGTTTAAATAGAATGGAATTTACTATATGAGCGCGCGTAAATATAAGGGGGGTCGTTCAATTGATCATATCAATCTGGAGCAGAAGCAAAACAAAATGCATCACATTGGATCCAAGCCAATGGAATGAGACAAAAAACATGTCTCAGTGAGTTAAAAGAGCATAAAATATTACACAGATGAAAATTGCAATGCTACCGTTATGTAGACAAAAAAAAACGATTGCTTTCATGTTTTTACACTTGTGAGCAAAGCGAGCGAGCGAGAGAGAGATAGAGAGAGAGGAGGAAAAGAGAGTGAAAAAATCCCAAACTCGCATTCTCGCAAACTCTTGAGTGCTAATGTACATAAAACATAGTTAAACGATATGTACAGAGTGCACTAGAAGTTTCAGTCAAGCGCAATCATCAATATTCTCGTGCTTGCAAGCGGTTTTATGCGGACTCTTGTTTTTTTTTTTTTGTTCATAACTTTTATTTTTGCATTTGAATCCAAATATTTATTCTATTTTCGAGTTTAACCCCAACTAATTGGCCTTCTTGGTGGTAGTTTATTATTTTTGTTGTCGACTCTTGTTGATCAAGTACTTGAAGAGCATAGAGAGAGAGAGTGCGTGTAAAAAAGGCACAAAAAAAACTCTCTTCCGAAAACGAATTGAGCATATGAGTTATTGAATGTAAAATGACATATGTATGAATGGGAATATAATGGTTGCGCGCATCCCTATTCAAATATTCGTGTGTTCAAGTGCGTTATTACACTAAAATAAACTAATATCTCGATGAGATGCAGTAAATGCATTTAAAATTGTGGTTACACTTTTTTAAAATCGTAGCGTAGAGCACAAAACGAGTTGAAATTTACATAGTTTCTACGAAGCATGTTCAAAATCCACTGAAGTCAGATTATATGGCCATGCACTTTGAAAATGCATAGAAAAAATCGAACGAGAGAAAGGTATGTGTTGAATTCTGTAATGTAATTCACGTCATCAATGATATAAAATGCATTCTTTAATTTCTCTATCTGTCTTTCACCTTTTGAATCCTATCACAATGTATTGCTGTGTTTGAAGCGCGCAGATGTTCGAGTTAATGTTGTGCTGTACTTGAGAATCAAGTATATGTAATGATTTGTCTCTGTTGGTTTTTTTGTGAGTTTGCCTCTATTACTTTTGTTCCACAGGATTGTTCTCTGTGTGATGAGAACCGAGTGTTTTTTTCTTTCTTCTATTTATTTCATGCGTTTTGATTGTATTTAACTGGTAATTATTTTATGGCGAACATCTGTATTGAAAGGTAATTTTATCATTTTCGAATTTTGAGAGAGCCAATTTTGAAGCTATCATTTACCGACGACCTGCTGTGTCGTTTACAGAACGTTATAGATAACAAAAAATGTTTTAAATATTTAAACACTGTAAATAAGACACACTTATTTGCGTGCATTTTCGTCATAGGCACATTATGTTTTTTTTTCTTCTCTCGGTACGACAAAAATGTCTCGTGTTGTTTTTTTTTTCTATGCCAATGAAATTCCATTTTGGTCAAAATTTTCTATTCAAAACAAAATTCGATGGTTTTTTTCCGATTGAAATAATTTTTATTTCATTTGTTATTGCTTTATCAAATTGAGCAATATTATTGAGAAAGGGAGAGAGAGAGAGAGAGAGAGAGAGAGAGAGAGAGAGAGAGAGAGAGGAAGAGAGAGTGAAAATTCCCGTAAACTATTCGCTTTGGTTTTTATTTAAACAGCAAAACGTGATACACGCTTATGAAAATCCATGGCACGTGAACATTAAGCGGTGTTTAAATGCCGCATAAATGACTGGGAAACGTTGCGTTGAAAAGCACATGAATTAAAAGTAACAAAATATTCATTTATGAATTTATACATGTGTATATGATGTGTTTTTGTGCATCATATAGTTTGATTTATTTGTCCGAAAGGAGGCCGCGAGAGCGAGAGAGAGAGAAAGAAAAGAAGACAAAAAAAATGATTAAACTGCAGTGGAAAAAGGCGTATGTATATTAAATTGGGATCACTTTTCCGCAATATCTAATCTATCGACGTAGATCGTATCGTTGGGCCAACACGTGTCGATTCACAAATAGCGAAACTTCAATGAAAATAAACAATGACGAGTAGCAAAACGAATAAGAGATGTATAATGTGAGACGAACTGAATACAAAAACCATAGAAACATGAAATATTTTAACTATTCGGGTGAAAGACGCGCACGTAGTGCATACGCACACCACTTGTTTGTTTACCGGCAAAAAAAAAAAAAAAAACAAATAATATAGATACAATAAAGCATATATGTGTCGATAAACTCGACGGAGCCGAATGCAGTGATAAATGTCCAATGGCATTGTTCATGTATTTTCACTCTTCCTATCTCTTTCACTCTTCGGCATTCGCTCTCAATTTAATCGGCCATATGAATATTGAATCAAGCGGTGGTGCGAGAATTGTTAAATAGGCAATTGATTTCATTGTATCTATTTTATGGTCATGACATTTGATATGGTGGGAATATTCTCGAATTTCAAACGTATGCAATTGACTTTGCAACTTTGTTTGGCTTGCTATCTGTTGATACATTCAACTGGCGGTGTATGACACTTTTTCGCAGGAACTTAATTAATTTGATATGAATATTCAAACTTATAAATGTCGGTGTGAATAAAATGTCTGAATAATGATGAGTATTTGAATATTATAATGACTAATCAGAAGTGTTTAGATCGATCACGTCTTAAACCATTTCGAAATGACGATGTATGTTTTGACAATAATAATTATCAATTGACTATTTGTATTTAAATATCAAACCAATCCAGACAGAAAAAAACAGTCTATGTCTTATGTTCGCTGGTTGTAAAAACAGAGCGCAATTATGCAGTTTATACGTCGTTCTTTCATAATACGGTTCACATATTGCAATTTTATTGTTGATTTTATGTTGTTGGTTGCTTTCAATCGATTCGATTGTTTGGATTTGCAGAGACACGGAAATTTGTTTTGGTTTTTGGTTTTTCGACACACAAACGCACGCAAGTTCACAACTTATCCTTTTTATGGTTGATGTGCACATTGTAAATACAGTTATGCCAATTGAATGTGAATATATAGGGTCGATTGTTTTTATATATTGTTTTTTTTTGTCTGAATTTCAATTGAAATGTTTGACCGAATGCAAAAGATGCAGTGCAAACTGTGAGAAATTGTACGAAATGAAAATTCAATCGGCCCTAATTGTCATCCACCTAACATACATCCTAAATAAATATAAAACTATACTGTTTTGTAAACAGATAAACTTCGAAATGGCAAACTAATTATTTGAAATTGTGCACGTTGTTATTGGAGGTGGTACATGTGTGTATTGTCGCCGTCGTGTTGTCTTTTGCCAGTCTCGCATCAAACGATGCGCCAGAGTCTATTTATGTTGACTTATTTATGGCAATGTGAATGGTGCCTTTGATGCGTATATAATGTGCGTGTGTGTATGCATGACATTTTTCCTCGATATCTCACATGATGATGTTGTCGCCCGTATTTGAAGAAAAACCGTGATTTTGTTTTTGATATAAACAAAAACCATAAAAGCAGTGATTTTATGATTCTTTTGCCTTATTTTCGGTGTCCGATCCCAGGACAGCCACAGTGTGTGTGTGTGTGTCTTTTTTACAACTGGATTGTTTACATTGATCCCTATGGCCGTTGGCGGTGTCGATGTGCAAAATACCAAATTCACTTCTGTCCGCGTGCGCCAAAAAAAAATGTCAAAGTTCGAGTAAATAAAATTTGTACAATGTTTGGAGGCTCGTTGTATTTCACAATTTTGAATGAAATTGCTTCGTTTAACGGGGTGACCATTCTTGTCATAGTTTCAATTTGCAAACCGAAGCTTCATACTAAATTCAATGTCAATGCGGTTTATTCAGTTATGGTTACTATCTTTGTAAACCATAATACCCCCACATATTATCATTGAAATCTCTCCCGAGAAAGAGCCGTGTTGATATTTGTTAAATTCGCATGTAAATTCTATGGGATGAAAAGGTGTTTAAATAAACTGATACTAAATTATTGTTTTATGTTCGTTTTGCATATTGGAGATTTGGCTCAACCGGCTTATTTTGTATTTGTAAATCTCAATGAGATTCTCCATCTCGTACTCTCCACGCGCTTTTTTATCGAAATAAAAATGGACAGCGTAGAGTGCTTGCGGTCTTTAGTGTGTTTTATGGTTTTCTCATTTCCAAGTGAAAAGTAATACAACGTTTGCTCGATTTTTATTGGAAAGTTCTCTGGAGAAATGTTTCACTTCTTTGTGAACAAAATTAACATAAATAAAAAATAAAATTATAAAACACATTCTCCCTTTCCAGATTTCACCAAACGAAGTTGCTCGTACTAGTACGCATTTTCCATCTCACCGATGCAACTTTTTTTTGGCTCCTCGCACAGTCCGACTATGATAGTTTTATAAAAAAAACTCTTTTTTATTAGCATTTTAAAACTATGACACGTGTATGAATCATAATAAAATCTTATATCCATGGCATGGTATTCGGTGCTGGTGTTTTGTGTGTCTTAAAATATGCATTTAACTCAATTTGGTTGGTCATAATTTCTGCCTGTGTTTACATGTATCGCGGTGAGTATATTAAGCTCTCGCTCGTGCACATTAACATTTAGCACTATATTAAAGAAGAACATCACATTGGAGCGGCGATGAAGAAAAAACCCCGAGCGCACTGTAATCCATGCATTAAATTATGGTGGCTGGGGAAAAAAGCGCTAGTTTCCATATCGCGACTTGATGCAAGTCAGTGCGACCAAAGTACTTCATTTGCATTTAATATCGATAAATATACTAGATCAATTACCCACATACACATGCTAAGAAAGTATATTTGATTGACTCGAGTTTAAAAAAAAAAGTGGCACGAATGTGGTGATATTAAGGAAAGCATAATACTTGCTTGATATATGGCTGTTTATACGGTTGATGTTAGTTTAAATATTTGTAATAAAATCCATGGAAAAGTAACGATGAGGCGACTAGAAGCACATACAGTGCCACCAAATAACGTTTTCAACCAGTAAATTGGTGTAAATATTTGTTTATCTCGCAAATGTAGAGTTAAAAAAACCAAAAAAAAACGAAACTTGTGCATCGTCTGGTCTCATTGCGTGCGACAGACCAATATTTTTTCTTATATCTTTCATTGTCAATGTTTACAGTACAATTGCTTGGAACATTTCTTGTTCGCATCTTTCTTTGTCTCCTGCTTTGCATTTGCCTAACTTTTGATTTCATTCTTCATTTGATGTCGCACACACACGCACTTATGCGTGGACCATTTCTGTTTGGTTTTCGGTATTGTTTATAATTTAGGCTATATTGGCTGAAAATTTCGATTCGTTATTTACATTCGTCGTGAACAGCATTTGTAATAAAAGTTAGCAGGAAAAAAACATTTCACGATATTATATGTTGTCGATATGAAATGAGATTGCATAATTTCTTTTCATAAATGCGTGTCTTTCGCTCAAATAAAACAAAACAAAGCACAAAAACACACACACGAATTGTATTTGTTCAATCGATGTGTATTTTCATTCGTATGACCGTATCAGGCTTTTTTTAATTTTATGTAAGCGCTTTGGCATGCGCCGACAAATTAAATGAAATTATTTATTGGATAGTGATAATGGTAAATGTCAATATTGTTGAGACAATAATAATGAACAAAGAGACGAGAAATGGAGAGCGAAAAAGAGTACGATGCCAAATGTGTGTATTTTATGATGTCGCGGTCAAATGTAATATTCCAATTAATTTCCAATTCTAATGAAAACGAAGAAGAACGTACAATGAAAGCGCCGATATCATTTCTTCATTTATTGCAAATAACAATAATCAACAAACATGACATTCATTTTTAATTAATGCTCATGTGAAATTTCTAATTCAATATATATTTTTTCTTTCTCAATAAAAATCGATCGATCCAGGCCATGGAAACCGATATGAAATTATTTTAATCGACCAGTTTTTTTTGTTGTCTTCCCAAAATACCGATTTTCACATTTTGATGAAATGTTCGGTGTTCGCTTGTTATGACGTCGAAATTTATATTTGGAAAAAGGTCGAACCCAAATGTTTTAAAGCTATTAGAATTAATCGGCAAAGTTATTTAAGCAAAACAGAAAAAATGTCCACAATTTTATCGCTTTCGACCGATTTTTTCTTTGTCTCTTTTCATTCGACTTATCTACACGGAATTTTCATCCAATGTCAAGACGAAAAGAAAACAAGCATTCCAAGAAGTGGAAATTCACTTTGCCAAGTGCCAAAGAAGAACATTTATTTATGATATGTTTATATGACCTGTTAGTAGCGAATGGGAACAATAAAAATGTTGAAAATATTTTAACATACACACATAAATGGACAAGATGCAATAAGAATGGATTTTATGAACAATGATTATGACGGCAACAATCTTATATGATATAGCCTTTAAATGTTATATATCATGCTGAAAAGTGATAGGTGTTTTATCGGTTAATTCTTTATATTTTTATTTCTGCATTCATACATTTATGCTCTCGATGATAAAACATTTTATGCTCTTTATACGTACAATTAAATTTTGCGGCTGATTGGTCGTGTGTGTGTGTGTGTGTGTGGTGATTTTGATGGAATAACATCATGAAATAGCGCGCGGCAAGTTCGTATTTAACCATAAGATTGTTAGCATTTTAACCTTTTGCTACAGAAAATAATCATCGAAAATTGGAACGAAGTTGAGAGAGCGAGAAAGAAAGTGATAGAGGGAGAAAGAGCGAAGATCTTTACAACTTGAGCCTAAGCTATCTCTGATGTGATTTCATTGTTCTCATTTATTGTCGTTGGAATTTCTTGGTCTCTTATTTTATATTTCCTTTGCTCTTTTTTCTTCTTCTCTACAACGAGTGAAGACTCCTTGCGAATTTTATGTTCTCTACTGAATCTGCTATATACTGCGCTTTATGTACTTCTCTTCCGTGGAAAATGTCGTCGATTTTCTGAAGTCTTGAAATAAAAGGGAAAACCTCTCTCTCTCTCTGTCTCCGTCTCTCATTGAATTTTGCCATAATATTTTCAATATATTCACTTAAAACTCATAGAGTACGTAATATTGGTGTTTGTGTGTTGTTGATTCTCTCCTGGCTGTTTTTTTTTGTTGTCGTTATCGGGCCTCAAAAACTTTGGTACATCTTCTCTGTGTGTTGAGATGTGTGATGTGAAGAGGAATGATGAGTAGAAAATAGCGTGCAAATTTTTTTTTTCCAACATGTGATTTAAGTTTTTTTTTTCTCGAATGGTTTTCTATTACAGCTTAAAGAAAACAGGGGAAACGAGCACCAATCACAGAGGCCACGGTAGGAGGAGCAAACGCGTTCATGTGATTTCATTTATTGTTGTTGTTCATTGAAACGTACACCAGTATACGAGGCCAAGCGAATGTAATAGCAGCACTGATAATTCGACGGAAGAATCAAACGGACATGCGCGCGCATATCAAACAATATCCAGAAAGAACCTCAACAAATATACACACGCATGCATCACACATCATACCACAGCGTACAACCATCATCACCACCACCACTACTACTGCCACTACTACTGCTGCTATCAAAATCGTTACCAACAAATATGTGCATGTGATGTATCGTATATTGAATCGTAAGCGATCTGTACTGTTTTGACGAGTGGCTCGTAGAATGCATGACGAGTTTTCTTTTTTCGTTATTTGGACAGTTTTAACGTTGTTGTAATTCAAAATCGTACTCATACTGTTTCGAACCATTCTTGCGCTCGGTTTTGTTTGTTATTCGTTCCGTTTGTAGATCGCTCTAGATTGGTGTTTGCGGTGCCAACTATATATACTATATATTTAAACGCGGTATTTGGATTTCGGTGGATTCTGTTTTTATTCTTGAAAATATCAACGGAAAAACGTGTCACAATATTTATACTATGTTTTCGTTTATTTTGTGGTAATTTTTCTCGAAAAAAAAAAGAAGATCGAAATAAACAAATAACAGATTATTATGTATAAAAAGAGAGATAAAAACAATTGACCAACCAATTGATTTCTGGACAAATTGTGTTTGTTTGTGTATTTTTTGAAGTGTTGAAACGAAGACTTTTACCTTCATTCAATAGAAAAGAATATAGTAACACACACAAGTTAGTGTTTGACAAACGTTAAAAAAAATATAAGTGCGAAAACGAAATAGACTAGAAGAAATGTTGGAATTCTTTCATCCGCCAAACATTAACCAACAATCTGAATTGATGCAAGGACATCCGGAAAATATATCAACAACAATGCCGTGTCACGAACGAACCGGTAAGTTATGCGTAACTCTGTGTTTATATTATGAACACTGATACGAATTTAATCGATAGCTTTTGGTATTGTTGGTTTTATTTTTGTTTATGGTCGCAAATTACATCCTCTCTTGAAAACAAAAAATGAATTGTCGGGTTGCAATAAATTTATTTTGTTGCAAGAAAAATATTTCATTCATTGTTTGCTCTTTGCCCATTGGCACCATTTGATACGAATCGATCATATTCAAATAATTGTGCCAATGTTTCCACGCGCAATCATAGATAAGTACAATAACACGAAATTCCAAAAGAAAGAGTTAAAGACAAAAGAGAACAAATCCAGCTCATGATTATGTTTTTTTTTTTTATTCATGAAAATCAATAATTTGCCGATAAACCCGACATAAATAAATACAATGTTTGAAGTGATAAGATAGAGTTATCAATGATTTATTGTTAGTTTTGCCGCCGGTTTCTTTTACATTTCTATTTTTGTGTTGGAAAATGCACATTTTCACGAGGATGGAATCGAACCATTGAACATTTGTAACTTCGACATTGAATTTTTTGTAACATCAACATTTCCCAGCCGGATTGCTTAAAATATTGATATTTAATGTAATGCCATTTGTTTGTTGCCTTAATTTAGGATTAGGTGCTGTAAAATGCGAAAAAACTTATGAACTATGCGAGGGTTGCGGTCAAAAAATCCACGACAGATATCTTATGCGAGTAGGTGATGCAAGTTGGCACGAACAGTGTTTATCGTGTTGCGTTTGCGGTGTACCACTAGACCATTCTTGTTATGTGCGAAATTCAAAATTGTATTGCAAAACGGACTATGACCGGTAAGTTGATTACTATAGCCCATTTTTTGTTTAAATTATCTTTCGTATTTATGTTATTTTAGTTGTAGTTTTGAAACAATTTCGTCATTTTAAGGGATGATACTTAAAATTTGAAGAATTCAAAGCCGAATATTGTTGAATTCAACGACAATGTTGAAATATTTATTCGTTGAATATGAGGAATCCCTTGAGTTCTAAGTAATTCGATGATTCTTTTATTCAATGGTAACAATGCATTCAACAAACGCGTTGATTCGTTCAGATGTATTTTCAATGCAAAATAGCATTCTGACGCGGCTCGGCTAGATGAGTCGGGAAGATAGAGAGTGAGAGAGAAAACGATCAATGAATATATTCAACCAACTAAACCATTTAAATCATTATAACATTGAGAAATAGCTCGAAATATGTTGGATGTTTGTACAAACGAAAAAGACGAAGAATTTTTTTTCCAAGCATAAAATGTTAATATAGAAATCCGTTAAATTGGGACGAGAAATAAAAATGGGAAAAATATTTTGCATTTGAAATTTCGAGGCAAGCGTCTCGGTTTTTCAATCATACATCCTCGAAACATGTACCATAAAAATTTGTCTAGATTCGTATACTCATTCGGTATATTGTATAGAGAAAAAGTGCCAAGTGTGAGTGAACGTAGTGTTATTTGCCATTTGTATGCACATGATGTCGTTATATTGAGAGAAAATGTAGAAAGGAGATTTTCATTTTCAATATCCTACAGAATCAGAATTATTTCTCTTTTTTTGTAATTTTTTTTTCTTCTTCGACGACATTCCATTAAGTTAAACATCAAGTGTTGTCATCTTAAAATGCTGCTTCACATTCTGCACCGATAATTTTCGAAAATGAAATAAACACGAACAATTGAAGTGTCTTTGGCAAAAATCGAAAGATGAATCTCCGGTCTTTGGCACTCATTAAATGTAATTTGTAATACATTTTTTGCATACAAACTTCAAATATGACTGATTCAATTTCCACACAAATATCATAAAAATGCGATATAATTTTCTCACTGCTCTTTAAATTGCGCGGAAAATAATATAAGAAATTGGTTTTTTTTTATTTTAATTTCATCTAAGTGTAATATTTGGCTCGTGTTCATTGTTTTTTATGGTGTGTTATTCTCTTACAGAATGTTTTCCATCAAGTGTTTGCGATGCGGTGACCGAGTTCAGCCAAATGATATGGTGATGCGAGCGCAAAATTATGTATTTCATTTGACATGTTTTGTATGTTGTGTATGCTGTCAACCATTACAAAAGGGCGAACAATTTATATTGCGCGGTGGTCAATTGTTTTGCCGGCATGATTTTGAAAAAGATTTGTACTTATCGCAACATCATTGTCCGGACGATGAATTTTTAATGGATGATATGCGACCCAGAGACGGACGACGCGGACCAAAACGACCACGAACGATTTTAACATCGAGTCAACGTCGACAATTTAAAGCATCATTTGAAATGTCACCGAAACCATGCCGAAAAATTCGCGAAGCATTGGCCAAAGATACTGGTCTCAGTGTGCGAGTTGTACAGGTATGGTTTCAAAATCAACGTGCTAAAATGAAGAAAATTCAACGAAAATCGAAACAAGACGGTGATAAAACATCGGACAAAGATAGCTCCAAAGATGATAAAGGTATAGAATGAAAATATTTCATTTTAATTAATCCATAATATAATTAATTCAAACATTTTCTTTGATCGATTTGCACATTCCATTAGACTATTTGGGCAATTCAAATGACAGCTTTTGCAGTTCGGATATATCGTTGGATGGTAGCAATTTCGATAATTTAGACGAGGCCACATCGGATACATTGTCATTGCAAAATTTAGATTTGCATGCATCGCATATACACAATAATTTACTGGATGGGACAGCAAGCGCATCAAATACATCAAACATTGGCAATGTTAATCCAATTGATAAATTATATCTTATGCAAAATTCTTACTTTAATTCGGAACAATGAAATTTACTCGAATATGGTCGAAATCGAAAAGCGATCGAAAATGTAGCAAACATGCTGCTATGATTTCAATTAATATGGCATATTTAAATGCGATTTCTATTTCAATATGATTAACAAACAAACACGCACGTATGTAATTCCCTTTATTTTATATTGACTTCAATTCAACCAGGTATGCTTCCGTGGTATCATTGAAAAGATTATTATTAATTAAATTCGATTTGTAAATCGCAACAATTTGAAGAGGAAAAAAGATGGGGTTTTTTTCGAGTAAAAAAAAAGAAATTCTATATGTTAATTCTATACGCTAGCTTTATTAGCTTTGTTTTGACATCGTCAAAAGCATTAAATATATATTTACAATTTACATTTATGCAACTATATTTATTTTAGAATGGGTAACAAGAGAAAAATCAAAGACAAAAAATTATCGAATTTATTTGATTCAGTAGTGTATTTAATTAAAAAAAAAATCGAAAACTAACCGGACAGATGTGTGTAAATCGATTCATATTTTTGGGGGGTAAATTGAAGTTAAAACAAAAACAAAAAATTATTCAAACCCAAACGATCGACCATTCTGCATGTAGCTGTACCAACATGCGATGTAAGTATTTAAAAACAAACTTGACATCATGAATTAAATTGACGCAAAAGTAAAAGAACCATTGGAATTACTTACGCTGCTGTATATGGTCAATTCGCCAAAAAAAATTTTGGTCCGTTCCATTTATTTATTTATTTTTCCTCTCCAAAATCTAATTTTAAGAAAGAATCAGCAAATTCTATTAAAATTTTATACACTTCGAAAAATATGTATGATTGTGATTCACTCTAGTCATAATTCTTAATGACACAAAAAAAATGGGAATAACAATGAGAAAAAAACGTTAAAAATGTAAGACAATTTCCCAAAATGAAAACCAAAAAAATAAACAATAAATGAATGAAATCCTGTATAAATTATATATTGAAGTTATTTAAATCATTGATTTGACTAGGAATTAAACGATAAAAAAAGAGAAAATACAAATATTTAATTGAAAAATAAATGCAACACAAAATGCGCATATATTCTGTAGATTTGGTAATGGACATAATTCTTACAATTAAGTAATAAAAAATTGAAGAAAAAAACCCAAAAAATATTGTGTTTTCTTGAAAATGAAAAATCGTCGATTTTATGATATTTTCTTATTCGAATTTATTTGCCAGTAAACGTATCACTTAATCCAGAGTAATTTAATTTTATTTTCTTATTCGTACGGCATGATTTGCCATTCGACTTAATCAACTGAAAAGCGATGTTTGTTTATGTTTAGCGGGTGCTGGTGACAGCTTCTTTGCGTGCTGCATCTTGTAACAATTGAGTATCCACTTCTTCTCCGGGTAATTGAACATAACGCACGACTGAACCACGGATGAAACAATTTTTCACCGATCTGAAATGAAAGCAGATTTTATCATTGAAGGAACACTTTATCGAATTTTAAAAAGACATAATAATTTGCCAATAATCATGTTTGGTGAAACGTTTCTGATACGTACAACATGTGTGGATATTTTTCTGTGTCATTCACACTGATGTCGGTCAATTTGATATTCAGATATTGGTCGACGGAGTGCAATGTGCCGCATATACTGTAAACGAAAACATGTCGTTGGATTAGAAACATTTTATTTGAGCAGAACAAAAAACAAATATGATGACAATACCTCAAATCATTTTTCAATTCAACGACCACATCCTTTCCCACCAATGACTTGAAGAACGAGTAGAACAGCTGCAAATGAACAGGTATGGTGTTGTTGTCATTTTTATATCAAAATTAACTCAGTTTTTAAATGAAAAATATTTGAATTGTTTTGATTTCATTGGAACTTACCATTTTAAAAACGTTTCACAGCTATTTTCTTTCTATGTGTATTTACTAGTGTTTGACACATTTGTTGTCGGCATACTGAAATGTGCGTTCTCAGTGAAGTTGAAGTTTGTTGCTTGATATTTTCGTGTGGCAGCACTGGTATGACATCTATTGAGTTTCGTTGGAAACTACTCGTTTTTCATTTGTATAGGAGGAAACGTTTTTAAACGAGATTCATGTTTACACATTTTATGTTATCAAATAAATAAATAAACAAAACATTTTATTATTATTATTATTATTAAGTACAATTTTTAATGCTGAAACTTTTGTGTTGAAAGAGAAATTTATGTTTGAATATAATTTGGTGTCAAAAGACCTTGAACTTCTTAATTGATTAATCTAACCGTAAATAGATTATTACAGCCGATTCGACAGCGTATTCATGTTAGCCATTCAAAATATTTCTTTTTTCGTTTGGAGTTTTTTTGTCTATGCCATGCAAATGCATAAATACATAAATATTTAATTTAATTTTTTTAAAATAAAAATTAAACAATTAAATTTGATTTGATCGTTTGGATTCTATATGCGTCAAGTATATGCTATAGTTTATCGAGTACAACAACCAGAACGTAGCAAGAACAAAACCATATTGTATGTGTCTGGACTTTTCATTTGTGAAAAAATTATAATTCACTAAACTTCGAATTTCCATAAAGAAGTATATATGCGATCTGAGTTTGTTTATATTCGTTCTCCCTTGTGGAGAACATATACTAAAATTGGAACGATACAGAGAAGATTAGCATGGCCCCTGCGCAAGGATGACACGCAAAAGCATGAAGCGTTCCACATTTTTTTGTAAAAAATTTATTGAAATCTGTTTGAAACAAAATTATTTTAACTTTTTCATCGAAATTTCCAGTGTTATTTTTCGGTATTTTTCTATTTCACAACGAATTATAAATTACAAATACGCTGGAACCAAACCGAACATTTCTTATCATACAAATGTCCATGTAATTTATTAAAAGAAGAAAGAAATGCTTAAGATGACAAACTTTCCACATTCTTTTCAAAAGAATCTTTTGTAAAAAAAATCATTGAGAAATCTTTGAGACATTCTCAAATAATATTGTTATCTTCTGGAATCGTTATTATAAACGACTATGGGTGATTTGACAATGTCATGTTGACATATGAATAATTTTTGATAGTTAAATATTTTCTGAAATATCAATCAATCTTCTGACAATTATAAATAAAAAGTTTGAAAATAACAAAAATCAAATGAAAAAAAAAAAAAAAAATTCAGCTGGTATCGAACCTTTGAAGCTAAGTGTATGCAGGAAAACATACGTTGAAAAACAAATGTTGAACCGAATCATAGCAAAAGGATGAAAAGCATTTATTTGTAAAAAAAAACCCTTCGAAGTGCTTCAAAATTCATAATTCGTTGAAATAAACATCATTTTCCATCGAACCTAAAAATTATTTGTTGATATTATTGGGTGTACAGTCAATGGAATTCAGGAAAATGCCTTTTTAATTTTTAAAAGACCAACGTTTCGATCACATTTATTCGATCTTCTGAGGAAGGACCCAATAGTATCAACATACAATAGAAAACAGTCGGTAGCAAATATGAAAAAAAATTATTATTTGCAGTCAGTGACAGAGAATGAAAAAGAAAGACAAAAGAAATTTAAAAATAAACAAAAATCGACTGAAAATATATGCAAAACAATATGTGTCTGAATAATTGTTTCTCTTTTCCAAGAACAAACACAATTGAAGTATAATTTTCTTTCAGGTGCTTGCTCTTTGGTATAAAATCATCTTCTATTGTTTTAATCATTTGCTGCAAAAAGTATTCGCAACACTTATACTTGAGATGATTGCTGTTCTTGGCTATGATTGTTATTGTTCTTGATAATATACCTAAACATATTTCAGTATAAAAAATGAATATAAATCGAAGTAAAAGAGAAAATGTTGCAGAAGAAGAAACATTGCAAAAAAATGTTTGGAGAAGTCATAAAAAAGAATGAACACTCAAATATGTTCGTAAATGGTTGCTTACCCGGAAAAAGTTTGAAAAGATAGTTGGGAAAATAAACCTGCAATATTCATCTTTAACTATGGCCTACACACATATTACTAATGAATTTTCTCACACATGTTCATCTTTTGAACATGTTCACAGGCAAAAGTTATATACAAAAATAAGTACACAAATAAAAAAAATATCCCAAGAGTGATTTTTACATTCTCTACATTGACAGTTTCACTTGGAATATTTACACTTGTTTGCTGTTTTCACTTCTTTTTCGATTTTTGAAACCGATGAGTTGATGAACAGTTCAGTTTAGTTTGAGACGCTGCGTCGTTAGCATCAAGAACATTTTATCCTAAAAGTGCTCTTATTTCGAAAAATATACTATTATTTCCTAAATAATTCCTTTCTGAAAGTAAATTTAATACTTCGATATGGAAAATATGTTGGTAGCACCTGAGGCCACTAGTGATTTTGACTTAACAAAAACTAAAGTACTGATCGATATTTTGAAAGATCATAATACATTCGATCATGTAAAGGCAATGGAGATGTGTGAATGGTACAAAAAAAATGAATCAAATACATATCCATTTGAAAACGATTTGCATCTAGATGAGAGTCCAAACAATCCGCTTCTGATGTAAGTTTATTATTAAATAAATTAATTATTATCTATATATTGTGGAAAGAGTGCAGCCACTGATGTAAATGAAACTAGGATTCGATCCAATATATACATTTTTTACCAAAATGGCGCCTTGAAAAGAAGTTACATTCAACTGAGACATTCTACAACAAGATCTGCATATTATTCTAATTTTATTATTGAAGAAAAATTAATAAATATTTCTTACAATATTTCAGAAAAAATCATCTATTGCGTTTGTTGGGAGATCATTGTTCTGGTCGAGATTCCCGCATATATTGTAAGTGAATGAGTTGATTTTTTTCCTCGAATAAAATGACTTATAATTCTTTTTATTTATAGATGTTTTGAAACAGAAACAAATGCGAGTCATATATAACATTGGTGCAAGAAAAACCCTTTATGCCGGTTTTCATTTATATAATTCACCAAAAGTTGAAGATGATACATTGAAAACAGTTGAGAGAATTAACGCTATAAGATTACTACAAGAAAGTGCTGGAATATTTGAATATGTGAAAAGTAATTCTCCATCGACATCAAAATGGACTGAATATGATCTACAGGGATTGACAGATCTTATGTTGGCCCAAGCACAAGAGTTACATGTTTTGAAGGCAGTCGAAGAAGGAGTTAATCCAAAGGAAACTGCTTCGCTGGCATTTGCATGTAAAGAATTGTACTCCAACTCACTCAAAACATTGAATCGTTCAAATGAATTTATTTTATTGGGCTCTCACTCAGCTTGCTTTCGAAAGGTTACTGCTAAAGAGGCTGAATTGGGTCTTGTCGCCGAATATTACCAGAGTTTGTTTTGTCAAGAAAATGGTGATATCGCCGAAGAAATGGTTCGATTACAAAAAGCAAGTGATTACTTTAAAACTAGCAGCTTGCTTTTGGATTATCCATTATCAATCAAGCATCTTCGACGTCATCAATTTGCCATCAAACTTGGTTCTTCAATCAATAAACGATTATTACGTTTGGAAAGACTTAAACAAACGCCAAAAGCGTCAGAACTTGATGAGCCAGAGAAAAATCGATTGGTAGAAATTATTCCATTTAACGGATTCAAAAAAATTGTCGATCAGTTTTTCCCGAAGTCCCTCACTAAGTCCTCCACATCCGTCGAAGACTATGTCGAGACCAGCAGCATGCTAATGGATCCAGTAAATTTAGATTTGAAGCGCCCATTTCATTTTGATTATGGTTCTCCAGTCTTAAAATGTGGTACTCCATCCTTCACATTTGGTTGTCCAGTCATAAAATGTGGTTCTCTATCCTTTACATTTGGTTCTTCAGTTAATGAACGATTGTCACATTTGGAAAGTCTTAAACACACGCCAAAAGCATCAGAAATTGATGAGCCAGAGAAAAATCGATTGGTAGAAACTGTGCCATTTAACGGAATCAAAAAATTGGACGATCAGTTTCTCCCGAAGTCCCACACTAAGTCCACCACATCCGCCGAAGACTATGTCGATAAAATGATAAACATCGAACTGAAAAAATTGCGTAAAGCCAACGAGTTTCTGTTAGAAAATCCAATTCTTGAATTTCCTCGTGGAATTTATGTTTACACAGATAAAAATTTCCCAGAAACACTTTTATCTAAAGCCAGAGACATGCATCAAAAGGGCGGATTTGAAGAATTGCTGCGAAAACTGAATGCATCGAGTGATGTCCTTAAGCAAATTGAAGACATGTGGATAAATTGTGATTATATGTTGAACGAAGAGAACAAGGATGATTTACGATTGCGTGAACTATTCAAAGAAAAATGGACTCTTGTTCCATTTAATGAGCAAACCCAAATATTTCGCACCAATGCCGGGAAACTTCGTGAATTTATCAATAAAGCTAAGCAAGTCGATAAAAATGCTCATAAACTATTCAATGAGCATTCGAGCGGAATTGAAGGAATCGAATTACAAATGGCAAGGGTTGCTTATGGTTATCTCAAAAACCGCTTCTCACACGAAGAATTTCTTTCCAACCAAACCGAATGTGATGAACTTTTCAATAAGGAGCTGAACTGGTTACGTCGTGAAATCGAAGAGAACCAAGAAAATCAAAATTACCGAATTACTTGGAGTAAACAACATAGAAAAGATATATTGAAAACATTTATGCGCTCAGATCAATCAGCGGAAAACACAATTTCGAATGATGTCACGTCGAATGAAGTGATCATCAATGGACTAACCAAGGCCTATGACAGTTTTGTCATTCTGTGGAATGACCTAAACGAAGCTGATGAGTTCTACAAAAAATTGACTATACAATTGACCAATTTCGAGAAAGATGTATCTGATACTTGCCTTAAGCGGCAGTCTGAGAAAAATGAACTATTACATTTTTTGGGATAGCCTACCACACGGGTCAGCAATTCTGTGCATTCTTTTTTTCATAATTATTCATGTACTTACTACATTTTTTTCCTATAAAATATTATGTCATTATCATTTAAAAGATCGATCAATTTTGATACTTGTCTAGTTCTTTTTGTTTTACATTGGGCTTTTCTCTCGAACAATGGTACTCAAAAGAATGAAGGTAATTGACTGAAATTCCCATTGATCCAGAAAAATATTTTCAAGCAGTAATTCAAGAATTCAAGCAGCAAATTCCGTCAAACTGTTTAGTATTTCAGGTATTTTAGGTAAGGATTTCAAAAAAAAAACATTTTATAAAGTACGGTATTTCTTATGCTTTGATCTGTAAAAATAAAATTGGTTCAAATGTTTTGTTGTTTTCTTTCATTCATGAAATGTTTGAATTGAAACACATTGCAATTATTTCATCATAATTGTTGATTTTATTACACGTACTTATTTTGTGTCACTTCAAATGTATCTTTGTATCTTTTGTTTCCTTACATTTTACTTGCATTTCTCCATTTTCATCTTCATCTTGTTTTGAGTAAGTCTATATTTTAATGATGCATTTTCATTTTAAACGGTATGTTGTCGAAATACAGAGATATATAATAGCTTAAAAATATTATAAATTTGTATATGTGTATAAGATAAATCTAAACATAAGCGCGGTTTAAAAAAAAGGATTTAAAAAAAAATTATGATAGGGACACAATGAACATCAATTCGATAGTTACATTACAACTGTGTGGATTTTGTCTACTGTAAAAGTTATTCATGATTATAATAATAAAAAATTATGGTTTTGTCGTTTCCATTTGATGTTGTAAACGAAAAAAAGAAAGAAAGAAAAAGAAGTATTCATTCTTTTTTTTATTAAACTGTGGGTTGTTTGAAATTTCAACGATGATCATCGTCATTAACATGCTTTATCTCTTCATCAGACTTTGATAGCGCTCGTTGTGTAACCATGAATTTTCAGTGTTTTTTTTTTCTTCTTCTCCATGTGTGTCTCTCGGTGTATAAGTGTGGTGTTTTGTTTATTTATTTTTCTCTGAATCCATACATTCCTATGTACTATTTTCTTTTTTCTGATGATTTCAACTAAATTCATTACATCCCATTTCACATAAGATGATGTGTGGTTTTCATGCAAATTATTATTTTTTTTTTCTGTTTTCATTACGAATATCCCTAAGAAGTGAATTTAACAACATAATAAATTCTCTACATCAAGCGACAAATTGTGTTGATTTAAATTTTCGATTGATCCATGAATCGATGACACAAATGGAAAAAAAAATTAAGAAATACTTTCTTTCCTTGCGTACACCATTTTACACAAAAAAGATAGTTAGATAGAGAGAGAGGGAGATTGTGTGTGTGTGGGGGGGAGGGTGTTTGTGTGGATGTGAGATATTCGAATAATGTACTCAATGGTTTTAGTTGCTTGCGCTATATGGGTTTACAATCGAGCGTTGCGTCCTCGGCCACGGGCTCGTTGGACTCGTTTCGGTGTGGCAACTTCCTCTTTTGTTTCTACTGGTTCAGCAACCGGTGCTTCAAATGCGGCCGGTGGTTGTTCTTGTTCAACACCATTGGCTGCTACTTCCGGCACTGCCTCGGCCTCTTGTTCTTTTTGTTCTTCTTCTTGAGTTTCCATTGGTTCATCGATCTTTTCATCATCTTCTGGATCGTCTGTGGTCTCAGTTGGATCGTAAGCCTCATCACCTTGCTGCTTTTCTTCTTCGGTGGCATTTGCAGCAGCTTCAGCTGCTTCTAACTTCTTCTTTTTACCTATTTTAAGTGAATAAATAAACGATTGTTCAATATCGAATTGAATGATGATTTGGATTTGATGTTACTTACGTTCAATTTCTTCCAATGCGGCAGCGGCACGCTTCTGGGCAATCTTTGTATCATTGGCCTTTTCGTTCAAGAATTTAACGAAATTACGATGATGTGTTACTGTACGTGTATGAATTTCGGACGTTTTTTCGGTATCAAAGAAACGACCGCACACATAACATTCGTAGCAATCCAATTTATGAATTAAGCTGATGCCAACCTGTCGTGAGCAATTGTATTTTGGAATTCTGCCATCGACTTCGGTTGGAATTTCATCACCTTCTTCATAGTCCAAAATGATATCATCGGGTTCGGCAACTGGTTCAGCTGCTGGTTCTTCTTCACCCTCTTTGCTCTCTTCTTTTCCTTCAACAGCCTCTTCTTCACCATTCTCCTTTTTTACCTCACCCTATCAGTAGAGTCGAGAAATTTACTTTATTATTTTAAATGATTCAAAATAAAATTGATGGACTGATTGAACTGTTTCGAATACAAACCTCTGGTTTTTCAGCTGTATCATCAGTTTCCATTGACTCTTCAGCATCGGTGGCTTTCTTCTCCTTCTTTTTTTCCTCCTTCTCTTCCTTCAAGTCCTTCAATTCGTCATCTTCGGTGTAGATGGTCAATTGATTCTTGCGTTTTTCTGGTTTATTGGCTTTTGTGATAAATGCACGTTTCATGTGTTCGGGCGACAAAATGTGTCCATCAAAATCGATGCGATTTGGAAACTCTAATGAGCAATCCAAGCATTTTGGATGCAAGAATTTTTTCAAATTCAAATGTCCATCGGTTTTACGATGGGCAGTTAAATGTCCATAAAAGTTCAAATCGCACATGGTACAATATTCGCGACGGAAATTTCCTTTGCCTGCTTTGCCCATACGCTTGAGACGTTCAAGTTCGATGCTCTTCAATTGCTCTTCAATTTTAGCTTCTTGACGAATCATGTTCGCTTTCAAGCGATAACTTTCTTCGACACCTTCACGCATCATCAAGTGAGTGCGTCCCTTAACATGGTTCTCAAATGAGGTGGCATCCCACATGTGTTTTTTGCACATGTGACAATAGAACATGACATTTGGAACGTCTGCGTATTTTGATTCCTTTTTGTTTGCCTCCTTGTTGGCTCCGGCATCCTTGTTGTTGGACTTTGCACTGATTATGGTTAATTTTTTGAATGATGGCGATTGTGATTGTTGATGATGATTTTGCAATGCGCGTCGTCACGAAGGGGGGAAAGAAAAAAAAGAAAAAAAAAACAAATGATAACAATAAAAATTAGTGACATTTTTTTTTTTTCATTTGACAGATAGAATCGTTGATCTATCATTAAATTGAGTTTGCGTTCATTTCACAAGTGATGAATGAACAATCACTGAATGGAACGGGTGATAGACATTTGTCTATTTGGACCGGTCAGGCGTGTGTGCCCTATCACCCGTCCCAACTAGAGCGGGCAACAGGTAAAACAATTATTTACTGCTGATTTCAATGCTATCGATAAAATCCATTTTCATCTTATAGTTTTGTCAAATTGAAAAGTGACGTCAATTTATAATTCGGATCATATTGAATCAACACTTAATACCATTTTTGTTTTGGGTGTGGTGTGGGGCCATAATTGTTTTATATCATATAACAACAAAAGTCATAGCTAATTTTAATTTGTAACTAGTAAAATACTTTTGAAAAGAAAACTGTACAGATTTCTTACAATTAGAGATTCTTTTTTTTTTTTTTGGTCAACAATAAATTTTTGTTTGGTCGAAACATAACAAACACGAACATTCAACAATTACACGTGTGGTTGCGATATATATATATATATATATATATATATATATTATTATTTTTTTCTAATGCATATATACAGAGAGATACAAAAAATTGAAAATGAAAAGAAAATTAATAATCGAAAATTGATTAAGCATATAATTGTCTAGAATTTTTTTTTTTTTTTTTGGTTTTTGTATGTTGATATTGGAATATAGAAATGTAAAATTCTAAAAGAAAAATTAAACAGAAATGTAAAGAAACGAAAAATAAAGAAAGAATAGAATGAAAAATGATAAAGATTATTCTCACCTCGTTTTCGAATTATTAGATTTGCGGTTTTGATTTTTATTATTAAAATTATTGGCATGCTGTTTTCCCGGCATACCATTATAATCATTAAAATCAAGAAATGGAGTTGGACCGCGAAGTTGATAACCTTTATTACCCTGTGGAAATACAATTGATTTGATTGTGTGAAACCTAGCTGTTTGTTAGAGCCTTTTCAACAAATTTTTTTTTGTTCAAAATATGTTTAATTTTTGAATGTTTTTTTTTTTTAATTTGAAATTTGAAATTTGATTTGGATTTTTTTTAATTAATAAAATTCTAAAAACGGCCACAACAAAACACATTTACAATAAATAACTTAATGTTTGGCAAATAAATTTACAATCAAATGAAGAAAATTCATTTTAACGGAAATGAAACAGTTTTTTTTTCTCAATAAAATAATATGAACAAAAAGTGTACGGAATAAAAAAAACTTCGTTAGAATTTATTTATTTTGTAGAGAAAAAAAAGAATTGGGATGTTATTATTTCGGGATGTGGTAAAAAAATGTGTTTTGTAAATTCTATTTTGAAAATTTGAAATGAAAAATATTTCGAAATAATTACTAATCTATTGTGTAATATGTGTCGAATGAATATATTGGCTGCTCGTGCCTAACACTCTATTTTGCCCTGACTATCTCTGAACCTCTTTGAAAACTATTTGGATCTGCTGTGTTTATGTTGTTGTTGTTGTGCATTTTGAATTTCAATCTCTTTTTGGTTGTTGCATTTTGATTTAAAATTATTATTCAATTTCACTTTTGTTCATAGGACTTGAGTTTGGATTTGCTAAGGATAACCCCATATATCACAATAATGTCGAAATTTAAAAGAGAAATTGCCGTATTCGGTTAAAAGATAAAACTAAATAATTAAAAAAGTTCGAATGATGAGAACCAAATCAAATGATAACATAAATGAAATAATCGATTCTGATTCGATTGAAGAATTGCAAATTCTTCTTTGAAATGGTCTTCAATAACATTTTAATATTGCTTCCACATCTCTAAATCTTGCCTGACAAATAAATTAAATATTTTCCGTGGTTGTTGTTTAGTGTTTAAATCCCTTTAAAAATTCCTTTTTTTTGTATTGTTTTGTTTTTTGTTTTTTTTTTTTTTTTTGTTTTTTGTTTCAGCTCATACAGAATCACAACAAAAATAAATATTGTATTTAATTCCAACTGGATGTTTAAGGTCATCAACTTTTGTCGACGGATTTTCCAAAGTGTGTGGTGGTTTCATGTGGGTTCGGTGATGTTCGCCTAAATAGAACCATCGAACCGTTTTGGCCGAAAAGTACATATAATTGTACATATATGTGGGAATATGGTGAGAAATATTCCAATAAAAACACAAAATCTGTGGTGCGGCCATGCGAAAAACATAAAACAAGATACGGTGCCCAATCAATGGACTTGTTAAATATTGAATATGGCTAATTGAATATTGAGGTTATTGGCATTTGTTAATCATTTTTCAAAATAAAAATCAAATGACAGAAAACACAATGGAAATCATTACAAAAAAGCTAGCGAAATCCACACACACTCACACACAAAATGTCCCACGAAATTGCATAAGATATGACCCAAAATGGTAATGGTATATTGTGAAGATTCCAATGATTTGTTTTATTCGTTCGTGGTGTGAATATTTCGAATGGTTTGTCATTTATTGCTATTGTAATTATACAAACCTGGAAAAAGTTGTAATAAATTGTTTTATCGGCTGTTCGTAGAACAAGACCAATTGTTGCAAAATCAACTTATTTGTTATTAAATAAAATGAATATCTACAAGATCACCTACGGCTAAAAAAAAAACGGTAACACGCACACACAGATACACACATATCTAGACATTGTGGAGTTCGCCAAAGCAACGACACTGTTTTAATGAATGCGTATCAATTGACAGCTCAGTGGCGTCCATCAGACGCGCATCGAACTGAGATCAAATTGATTGGCATGCATAGACTGTATATCGAATCGTTTTGACTCCTCCAATGGTTTTCCTTATCATTTATATAATATTATCTTTTTTTTTTAAATTGTTTGCAAACATATTTTGCGCTTAGTGTAAACTTTTTTGTTCTAAAAAATTCAGTTCATGTCATTAAAGTTCATTTGTTTTCAGTGGTTTCGATAAAGTTTGGCCCATTCGCATCAACATAAAAATTGATCGAACTTACAAACGTTTTATCGATTTTACATCGTTTTCATAACAAATAGCAAATTGTTTTTCATTTGATTCTCCTGCCAATACAAAATCATATAATGACTGAGGCCAGCATGATTTTCTATTAGACATACGATACAATATATCAATTACTCAAGCATTTTGCTGAATTATTTCGATGTTTCAATAAAAATAAATAAATATTGTACACTCCATTTTGTGTGATTGTGGTTTTAAACAATCAGAAGTAAACATCGATGTCCGCGCGCGGATATTGATTTTGCTTGAAAAGTTTCAATTTTTATTTTGTCTTATTCGCATCACCGTGTGTCAGTTGATCCGAAACCGGGTGTCGTTTCGATCGATTGAAAATTGCGTTTTTCGCGCACCAGTTGTATGGTTGTGTTGGTAAATTTTTTGTTTCATTTAAAATATACATTTTTGGAAAAATTAAAAAAATCGAACAGAATACTATAAATTTTTATTTTTAGATGTTTTGTTTCTTTTTTCGTTTATCGGTCGCATGGAAAAATGGCAGTTTTGATACGAAATGAGAACAACAATAGTTCGTTTCGAATAAATGGTGTTTGGGTCAAATAAAAATTGGTCCGTTAATTGAAATAAATTTTTGGTCGGGTTTTATTTGACGGTTGAATATTCAGTATTCTGTTGAGCGTATATTTGTATAGGTATAGTATATAGCATAAATAAACGATTTTTTTATATTTTTCTGGTTGGTAAAAAAATGTTTGGTTTTTTGGTATTTTGTATTTGTTTTAAAAAAATTGTTGTTGTTGTTGTTTTTTTTGGTGAGAAAGACTATAAAATATTGAAGAGTTTTTTTTGTTTTGCTTTTGTAAAAAAACAGCTTACCTCTCTTTGGGTTTTTCATTTGAATCAGCTGGAGTATCTGGATCTTTAGAAGCGGCGTTCTTAGCAAGAACTTTCTTTGCGCGGTCAACAGGATTGCGTTTACGAATGCCGCCACCTTTAATAGGTCCGCCAAATTTGGCATTATTATTACGTACACCTTGTCCAGGTCGTCGATTATTACTGGCATTGCGATTGCCCATCTGAATATCGCATTCGTTTTGTTTGAAGGGGGAAGATGGGGTTTCAATTCAACCAACATTTTTTTTGTTTGTTTGTGTGTCGCACAATGTGTATCGGTTAGCGTTCGATGGAGTATTTTATTCATTTCGATTCAATTTCAATTTGGCGAGTGAACGGCGTGTTGAACGTTGTTTTGTATTTCATATAAATATATATACACATATATATTTTATGTATGAAATAGTGTCATTTTGTTTGTATTGATCGATTGGATTTTCGAAGCGCATTTCAGGGTTATTTGTTTGTGTTTGTTTTGTTATATTCGAACACAGCACCATTCGTGGTGTGTTTGTCGTTTATTGGAATGCGCGAATGGATTTTATTTTGACGAAGGATGGAAACACCATTCACACACATCGACAACACAAATCAACCCAATACACAACGATAACACATTTGGACGTTGATACACAATGAATGTACGTATGATTTTTTTGTTTGACCACAATCAATTTGATAGTAAGAATTCATGAAGAGAGAAGAGAGAGAGAGAGAAATAATAATTGTTTACGTTAGAACTATTTTGGTTGCTGTTGTTTTTTTATAGATTTTTTTTTTTTAGAAAATGAACGATTCTTATAAAATGTATAAATATGTATAATAATTTTGAGTAATCTACTAAGTATAAAAGCAATAAAATTAAACAAGATTTATTGGAAACTTAATCTAGAGTAAAATATCATCAAAGTTCGTTCCAAGTGAAAATGGATGAAATCATTTGAGTTGTTTGTTTATTTTATTTTTATATCAGTTTATTTGTTTCGTTCTTCGTTAGATTCGCAAAATGTGACATGTTTTATGTGTATTGTTGATTACATGTCATGTTCATTTATTTTTTCACTATTTTAATTTTGCAATTGATTGAATTACAAAATATCTCAGGTCTTTTTTATATCGAATGAAAATTTTGAAATAAAATATATGGAAGTGACACGTCATATATTACGGAAGGAATGCCTGAAAACATATGTTGTATATAGCAAAAAAAAGCCACACATTTGCTTTTAGATTGTTTCGTTTGATTTTATTCAGTTGGAGTGTGTGTGTGTTTTGTTTTAATATTGTCTTTATTAAAATAATGAAAGCGTTTTGAGATCGATAATAACCAAAGCTTAAATAAAAATCGAAACAAAAATATTTTCAGTCATTTTTTTTTATAAAAAATTGAATTCAAAACTTAGAATGCGGTGCCCTAGCCTAGAATTGTGATAAATGGGGAATTGGGAAATGTTTTAATGAACGAAAAAGAAAATGTGCTAATTGTTCATTTATAATAATTTGAGAGAAAGAGAGATTCAATTTATCTATGTTTGTTTGTTTTTTTTTTTGTCTAAATGTAATTAACCGTTTTTTTAATGGGATATTTTGTGTTTTAAAATGCAAACGAATTTTGGCCGAAAAAAAACAACAATCAATATAAATAATGTATAACACAAATAATATATGCAGTTTCAAGAAGATAGAAGAACAATTGAAAATACAGCAAAATGGTACACGGTGAATGATAACCCTATATATTTTATTCTATTTACTCATTATTCGGATCAGATCTATATGGAAAATGGTTCCGTTTTTGAAGCAGTTTTTTTTGGTAATCGATGAATAAAAAAACAAGTAGGCAAATAACCAGAGAGCCTAATCTGTCTACATGATAAATATCTCGTGAAAAAAAAAAACAAATTCATCATCTTGCAAATTATGTGTTTTGGGATAGTAAAGAGTGCCCTTTAAAGAGAATTTAAATGTAATAGATCTGCTAACAGAAGGAATAAAAAAAAACAATTTCAAAATTGATAAAGCGAATGGTTCGTTTCTTTTTGTTCATAAAATCTCTAAAGCATACACTTTCCATACGGAACAATGCAAAACAAAACAACCAAATAAATGAAACGATTCTGTGAAATATTGATGATATGCTAAACTAAAATGTAGCTGCTGTAGGTATTTTTTTTGCTGATGTTTCACTTGCATGGATACTTTCAAAATAATTGTTTGCTGTGTTTGTGTCAATGTAGAAAGAGCTGGCTGTGCCTACTTTTTATTGTAAAAAAAAATTCCTGCAGTCTCAATCTGATTTTTGCTTTCGTCAAGACGATTAAACATCCGAATACTCTCTAAAGACGTTCAATTATTGATTCATACGCAGTCATATATTTTCTTTCTTTCTTGTGTTTCCTTCAATTTTGTAAGTTTTTTTTGGTTTTTTTTTTTCAAATTTTTAATATAAATATTTGTTCATTAGTTTGCTTGTGATACGTATGTAAGATTTGTATAACAATTTTAAAATATCTAGATATAATTTCAAGATTTGATATATCAAAACCAGAAAGTATAATATAGAGTATAATAACAATAATAATAATAAAATTTAAAAATCAAAAATAAAAAAAATGTTGTATATATATGGATATACGGTGTATAAGCGATAAGTAACGAGAAGAAGAAGAGACAAATAAAAAAATAATAATGCATTAAATGGTACATACCCGTCCATTTCGTTCGTCAAAACGACCAAAATTCATTTGGTTACCATAACCAGCTCCACGTTGGGGTAAATCCAGAAGAGATGGTGGCTGATTTCCGCGAAGAAGATTATTGACTAAACTATTAGCCAGAGAAATAACGTCGTTATTAACATTGCCGCCTCCGCCACCGCCTTGGCGAAAATTGCCACCTCCGGCATTATTGTCCCAGGGATTGATTTGACGATTAACGCCATTTCCATAACCACGATCAAAGTTTCGGTTGTTATCATTGCGGCGATTGCCACCACCGTTCATACGGAATGCCATATTCTGGAAAAGATTCGATTTGTTTGATGAGAAAAAAAACAATGGAACTAAAATTTTCACAGCCAAAGTTTAATATACACTAAACAGTACTTTCATTCGTATTCACTGTAAAATACTGCAAAATTGATGCAGATCACATTCAATCATATATCGTCTATATTCATACCTCTTTTGATTGATGAAAAAATAATAATAATTTACAATCAAAACTGTTACACACACATATACACACAAACAATCTTTGTTTGAGTTTTCAACAAGGAACACACAGAATTATTACAATTAAAGAAGAAGGAAAAAAACGAACAGATATCTATTAAAATGGCGGCTTTTTTATTCCACAAACAGATCAATGTCCTTTTTTAGACCAATATTACCTTCAATTCTTTTCAACAAGAAACTTATTTCATGTACCGATTCTGCGCAGTATATCACAAATGTATGCACGGAAACCAAAAAAAAGACAAGCACACACACAGCAAGCACTTGGAGCTCGATTAAAATATAGGAATGTGATGATTGTACTTTTTTTTCTTCTTGTCGTTTGACAGAGACACAGAGAAAACGAGACGAGATTTGTTAGAACAATTTGTGAAGTGGAAAAAAACGTTGGATTGAATACGAAGAAAATTATTATTTCACGAGAGAAAAAAAAATTGATAAAAAGCTGACTAGATACGTAAAGGCAACAGCGTTTATTTTTTTTGCAAATTGCCGGGTTTTCTTCACTTTTTAAAACGCTTGATGCATTTTCTGACAAAATAAATTCGTTCTTTTTTTAGGGGGTCCGTATGTGTCTGGTTCTTGTATCTCTCTGTCTTTTTTTGTTGTGTGTTAGTGGTTAACGGCTAATTCGAAGGGCAGGTTCACATGCTCAAAATGCGATCAGAAGAGTGAATCTTCTAGCGTCATTACCAAAATCGCACTAATACAAATCCACAAAATATGGCTTGTTTGTTCCATTTGCTTTTTTCGGTGACTGTACTATACACATTGGTTGTGTGAACAAAGCATGCTATAGAGACTCGTCTATAACCGGCATGTATTAATGCGTATACGTATGAATGTGACTGTATGAGTGTTCGGTGTCTCTCTTTCTCACTCTCTCTCTCTCTCTCTCTCTCTCTCTCTATATGTGTGTGTTTGTGTCATATATATGCCGAATCTATATGTATATTATAAATGGAAACTTTTTCGCTTCATCGATGATTTTTCGCAGTGAAATTTTCATGATAAATACGATATAACAGTAAATTGTATTGCATTGAATGAAATTTTCCAATGAAAATCGATCGAAATTCATTTGGTTTACGATTTTTTGCAATTGAAAAATGTGCAAACAACAACAATTTAAATCGTAGAATAAATGACGCGCAAACTACCAAATGTACGAAAGCTATCATTAGTTGAATAGCCGCCATTTAAATTACACTACGAACGAGTCAAGAACATGAACGAAAAAAAAGAGGTGAAGAGAGAGAAAAAAACCGAAGCGAACATTGCAAAAATGAATCGACTGTGAGTGTAAAGGAAAAGTTGATATGAAAAAAAAATTTCTACTTACAAATTTGGGATTTTTTTTTTTTGTATTAAATCACGAAGCACAACTGAACTATTAAATTAATTATACACGTTAAATTGTCTGCTGAGATGCTGACGCAAGTTTTTATCGTTTAAATTCGGTGTAAATTAGTTGAAATTTCAGCAATGTGAAAATGATAAAAAAATTTCTTTTCAAATGTTCAAAGTGAGGCAGCTTGTTTGTAGAAAAAAATTATGCTTATGACGGAGCATAAATGAGAGAAAAACCGTTTGGTTTGCACGACAAAAATGAACTGATGTGCCTCGCTGCGTTTCTTTTCAGGGCGTATTCATTGAACTACTTCGAGAAAAAATGGAACGAGCTTTAACTGTGCACGCCATCTCTATGTCGCCCGTTCAACTTACAATATTCACTTTTATTCATGATTTTTACACATATTTTTAATGTATTTTATTGATTACAATCAATTTTAGGCATATTTAAATGAAATTTCATTCAATACATTTCCGGCACAAAAAATAAAACAAAAAATACGACATTTACGTCGATTTGGTTCGCCTCGAATTGTATTGATTTCAATGGTCAATAAAATAGCGCCAACATCGAGCAATACCGAAAACATCAAATGGAGACTTTAGATGGTGCGAATTCGCCAATACAACAACAACAACAGCATAGCGAAACACACTCACAAAGTCTACACAATATTTTTTTTTTTTTTTGTAAAAGCACCCGAAAGCAGCTAAAGTGGTGTAGTACCAAGTAACCTCAACTTATCAACATCGTGCGAGTGTTTTCTCTTTCATCTGCATGTGGTAGATAATTTTATTGCAAAGCAGCAACATTACAATTTTTTTTTGCGCTCACCAAATAGAAAATAAATATATAAGTAACTCTGGAACGTGTTAAGCATTTAAGTGAACACATTGTGCTCTTTGGTTGGTTTTCCACACACAATAACCGATTGAAGTTTAAGAACAGTCTTAAATATGCGGCCAAAATAATAAAAAATTCTCGCAATAGCTGACTGAAAGCAGCGATCAATTTTCAAATTGAAACATTGCATCGATTTGTGTTTGTTTGCGTGTGAGGAGGAGAGAGAGTTTATAATTTTTATAATTTTGAATTCGGCGAACTCGGAATTTCCAACATTCATACAGCATTTTTTTACTGCGTTTACTCGATTTATAAATCCGTCGTCGTTGTCTACTATAATCATTCGTTCTTTCTCTTTTTTTCCTACCTTGCTCACAAACGCGCGCGTCTAATTTTGTATACACAAAATAAATAAAGAAAATCAACGAAAAACACAATTTTTAGTTGGCATTCGATCATAAAAGAAGAATCGTTGTTCATTTTTGTTTTTTTGTTCCCATTGCGAGTGTAAGCGAATAAAAGTGGCCAAATTGAATTGTGTAAATAGTATTCGATATACAGTGCATTTTCACGTGAATTAATGGGACCTAAAATGCCAACCGTATCGCTGGTCTGTTATATGAAAGGTAATTTTTGTTTACTTTGTGTGTGCGCGCAATTTATTACGTCCGAAAAGAAAAAAAAAATGTTGAGTTAAAAATCCGAAACGGAACCAAGTCATGAACGAAAGGAATCGGCATGGCTTACAGTTGTCGTTTCTCTATCTGTGTGTGCATGCATTAAAAGTCAATAACACAAACAAATCATTGTTCATTGGAAAATCAACTTCATCAGAAATTTTTTTTCTTCTTCGTCAATCGCAGATAAACAGACGGACGGTGACGTTTCGTCGGCAATTCGAAACACATTGTCGGCATCTTTGAATAATGGAACACATAACGGGCTAAATTCATTGTCTGGCGATCCAAATAGCCTTCAAAATCAATTGGTCGCATCATCAAAACTAGCATTAATCTCACCCGTCGACTATGAGGAAGTGAACAATTTCAATAATCCCGTCCAAGATCTTAAATCAAAATATATTGTGTTGAAACCACAATCATCGTCGTCCGGATCTAATGCATCGTCAACAATCACATCAAATGGTTCAAGTGCCACCAATGGTAAAATTCTGGTCAATGGATCTGCCACAGATAAATCCAGCAATGGAACAGGTAATTTGCCATTCGGTCACACAAATCATCATCCAGACAACATTTTTCGCTGTTTTTTTTCTTATTTTTCATTCCACTTTTATTTAAATGCAGAAATGTTGCCTATATCGCTCGCTAGTTTTTCTCGTTTCATATGAAATATTCGCATCTGTTTTTTTTTTGTTGCTTTAAAATATCGTGTTTGTGTGTGCGGTGCTCTCTTGTATTCTCATTCGTTTGTATATTATGACTTGTCTTTTCCGCCATGTTATAGAAACAGTGTGCGATTGTTTTGATAATTCCTTCGTGTTTTTGCCATTATGAAGGTATATGATTTTCTTCGCGCAATATTTATCTCGGTCTGTTTTCTCAATGCTTTTTCAGAACGATTAATGTCGTGATATTGTGCGCTGTTAATTTGATTAGTAGTTTTTTTTCTCTTCTTTCATTCATTTGTAAGAATCTGACATTTATCAGATATAGTGAAATTGCTCACGAGAACAGATTTCATGTCAATTTTCTGTGTTTAAGCATTTTGTAATTAATTGTTGTTGTTGTTGCTGCTGCTGCTGTTTGCTGGTTGGTTGGTTAGTTGTTGTTGTTTTTTTTTTTTTGCATTCGAAATGATTCGTTTGAGCACGCATACGGCAAAATGCGGCGTTGGTGTTAGTAATTTTCATTTATCGAATGTGAACCATTGAAACAAGGGGTTATGTATGGTCATATCGCAGAATCCATTGACATTTTTGTCAACTTAACTGTAAATTTTTTTCGTAGTAAATTTATCGTGGCAATTCAGTTTTGTTTTCTTCTTTTTTCCTAAACCAACTACAACCAAATCTCAATGACGATTCAAGTAAATTAAAAATTGTCATCTCATATCAGTGGCATTAGCAATGCAGAGTCGGCCACACAAAGTGAGTAATTGAGATGAAATTTTTGGTGAGAAGATAGCAAAATTGCATTAAATCGTACACGTTTTTTTTCGGTGGTTTTGCTTTTTTTTCTCTGATTCGCCCCTTGCACCAAGACCAAGAAGTGCACACAAACCAAGTATGCATGTATACATCACTGTGTGAATGATAGTGGTGTGACGGAACGCGTCTTTATATATTATTGTCAAAGTGAATGTTAACTTATTCGAGTGTCTTTTATGTGATTGCTGGTTTTCATTCGGCTTTTCATTCGGTGCCGACGAGTGATATTGTGTACGAATTGTATGCACAAAACTTGTATAATGTATTCGGTTCACTTGTTGTATGTATAATTGCGTTTGGTTTCTCTCTCTCTCTCTCTCTCTCTCTCTCTCTCTCTCTCTCTCTCTCCCGCAATTCTCTGTATGCACCGGAGCACCGTCACATATCGTTTTTCCAGAGTACATCGAACGTTCTTCGTTTATTCTCTGTTGTTGTTGACGACGTCGTCGTCATCGTCGTCATTTTTATTTCGGTTCGTCTCATTGAATCCAATGAAAAAGAGAAATGAATGAAATACGAGAGCAGCGAAATTTGTAATTTTGGAGCTTTTATCATATGAAATGCGGTTGTCATGTTATTTTCTATGTACGCATACTAGCCACTATATGCTTGTTAGAAAAAAATCGATTGCCATTACCCATTTATTTTGTGCAATGCAATTGAGTTGATTCCATGCAATTTATGTGTTTTGTCATTATTTATGTGAAATATTTTCAGCTACCGATAAAAAGGGAGCCGAATTACCAACACCAAAACATATTTTATATTCACGTGAAAAGGTTAAAATCGGATGGAAGGGTACGGATCGAAAATGGGCGCCAGGAGCTGGTATGATAAATGTTGGTAACACTTGTTACTTAAATTCAACATTGCAAGCATTATTTCATGTGCCTGCATTTGCCAATTGGCTTATGTCCGACTATATGCATCGGGAAACATGCGAAGAAAAAAGTGAGTATAATTTAATTTGTGATTTCAAGAAAACAAAGTGTCACCATTTGTAAATTAAATAAATATTTGTACATTTTTTTTGTTTCTCGAAATGTTTTAGCTGGAGTTCAGGGTGGATGCATCATATGTGCAATGTCGAAAACGTTGATGACTTCACAACAGAGCAATGGCTCGGCAATTAAACCGTATTTGGTCTATAGCAAATTAAGAATAGTATGTAAGCATCTTGTACTAGGTCAACAGGAGGATGCGCATGAATTTCTGCGCTATTTAATGGAAGCAATGGAAAAAGCGTATCTGTCACGAATTCAAAAAAGTTCACAATTAGATCAATACAGTAAAGAGACGACGCCAATCAATCAAATATTGGGCGGCTACCTCAAGACATCCGTACGATGTTTATCGTGTGGCCACGAATCGGTTACATTTCAACATTTCGAAGATTTACTATTGGACATACGAAAAGCAAATACATTAGAAGAAGCATTAGATTTATATTTTGCACGTGAACGTTTAGAAGATATGGGCTATAAATGTGAAGCGTGCAAGAAAAAAGTATCGGCAACAAAACAATTTTCACTGGAACGAGCACCAATATCGTTGTGCATACAGTTGAAACGTTTCTCAATTGTTGGCAATAAGCTTAACAAACACATTGCAATTCGGCAACATTTGAATTTTTCAAAGTATTCATCGCGAAAAAATTCCAACGAAACACTTCATTATCGTTTAGTATCAATGGTTACACATTTGGGTGCATCACAACATTGTGGCCATTATACAGCAATCGGTCTAACCGAAACCGGCAGCTATTATCAATTTGATGATAGTTATGTTCGTCAAATTCCCGTATCAAATGTGTTGAACACAAATGCCTACATCATATTCTATGAGCTCGATACAAATGGCGACAAAGGCTATACGCTCGGCACGCTCGCCGATAGCAATCGATTGAATGCAAACGACGAACGAATTTCACGCACTTTTATTGACACAAAAGAAACATCAACGTCAAGAAATAATATAACGACAACAGTGACAAGTGGCAGTAGCAATACAACAACAAAACCATTCATTGGACCGATGCTTCCAAGCAAATTGAACACAGAAACCAATTCAGACAGTTCACATACCTCATACGCCAATGATAATACAATGAATGAGTCAATTTCATCAAATAATAAAACCACCACAAATAATCATAAGAAAATTGAATATAATAGCCCATACACTAAATTGACAAGCAATGGTGCTAGATATGTTACCAATCATACCAATCACGGTTCGGAGCATAAAAACGGTTCCGATGATCACAACACCGAAACGTCTGCCAATAGCAATTATGTACAAAACAATGGATACCTGCACAGTTCCAATTCGAATAGCAAGGGTGGCAGCGGCGGCAGCGGCGATTGGACAGACGAAGACGATGACATTGATAATGTTGATTTTAATGGTGATGACCACAACGATAATAAAAATCGACAAAATAAATTTTCATTATCGGTAAAATCTGATAGTAATTGGCGTACACACAAAGAAACACTGCCTAGCATGCCGAAATTGGAAACGAATGAAACCACCAATCATAGCGATAAACACTTAGATAGCAATACATTTAAGGCACGACCACTTGCAAATGGTACGTCCAAACCGCAGACTTATACAAATGGCAAAGCAGGCCGATCGAATGGCAATGAAACGGACACCAACTCATCGGATGATGACGATGATGCGGATAAAAATGGTTCAATTGTGAAAAAGAACACAAAAAATACGCTCAAATCGATAAATTCAACGCCAGTTTTGCTTGTAAATGGTACCAATAAATTCACATCGAAACGTTTGGTTCCGTACGATGACTCAGAATATGACAGTGGCCCCGAATCGCCGCCCGAAGTCAAAACGAAAGCTGGAACTTTCACAGTGACAACAATAAATACACCACCAGTCGTATCATCGTTTCTCAAAAATTCCGTTGAACGATCACAATCAAAAACACCGTCACCAGCCAGAATCGTTGTTCAAAATCATGGGCTATCAAACGGAGCAAAACTGTTGTGCAATCGACGTGAAAGTGATAGTAATATGGTTGTTAAAACGGCCGCCTCTACAGTTAATTCAAATAAACGACCGAACGAATGGCATGGAAACGAAACCACACACAAACTCATGAAATTCAGCCATCGTGGATACGGTGCTTCGGTGTCATCGTGGAACGGTCAAAAAAGTACAATGGAAAAAGAGGTAAGAATCGAACTGAATTATACCTTTATAGATCGAAAAAAAAAATTATGATTTCTTATGCAACGATGCGTTTGTTTTTTTCTTCTCTTTTTCTTACATTACGTTCTTTTATATGCTAGGTGGATGAAGATAAGAATGAAGAATTGAAGCGTCAAACATTGAATGCCGGCGATGCCGAAATGGATCGCGGACATAAGAAGAAATTAGGTTCAAAATTGGTATTTGGCCGTGACAATCCTGGCTACAATCCATTCCAAGAGCATCAAAATCAACGAAATCAATGGACTGTTTCGAACGGTAATAATCCAACGGCACGACCATTTAAACCACAAACATACCGACAAAATCCAAAACATAAATTCCATAAACACAATCGAAATGGAAACAATGGCAATCGTCATTTTGGAAATGGTTACAGACAACACAATTTCAATCGACAACAAAACAAATAAGTACCCGTTTCCTTTTACCCGTCCCACTACAGCATTGGCCAGTGAGTGACTGCTATTATTAGATAGATAGACAGAGAGCGAGAGAGAGAGAGAGAGAGAGAGAGAGAAAGAAAGAGAGAAGAAAACACAACATAGATTTTTTTTACGCAAAGAAGCGAAGAGAACATCAATTCATTTTCAAAATGCCGATCGTAACAATGATTTGTTGAATTCTAAGTCTTGCGAAACAAATAATAAGAAGAAGAAGAAAGAAGAAAAACGAAGAAATTACCACAGAATGATAAATATACCCAATTTAGTTAGATAGACCGATGCATTTCAATTATATGTCCCCGACAATTGCATTTAGTTTATTCGATTAGCAAAGTTTCACACACAAACAAACTCATACACACATACAAACAAACTAATCAATGTAATTAAAGAAATCATAAGGTACAAGAATTTCTACGGTATGACGAATACTTCTAGACAAAATGAAATTAAAAAAAAAACATATTTTACCGTAACATTCAAATAAACCAACATTTTCATTAAAAGAAGACAAATTACAAATTACTATGATTATTATTATTTTTTCCATTTCATTCTTCTTCTCCTCTCAAAAAACCGTTTTTATGTTTTTAAATTTTAATTTATCGATTATATTTTTTTTAAATGGTTTGATTTCAAAGCCAGACTATTGTAAATATTTAAAATAACAAATTATACAAGAAAAAACTGTTCATTACAAAATTAGCGAATAAACAAAAAATGAAGCAAATTACAAAATGAACAAGTAATTAGGATAAATTACAAATTCAAATTAAGCGGATTAATATTACATACATTATTGATATATTTTATACGGGCGACACTGATAAACACTCTTCTCCTCTGGCAAGCACAACGAGAATATATATATTTAATTGTATATATATGCATCTGTCTTGCCGGGACCTATACGAAATGTTCAAATATAGCGTTAAAAAAGCATTTATTGCAAAACAAAAAATGAATCGGAATGAATTTTTTTTTGTTTAGAATGGAAAAGCATAATTTACATAAATAACAATATTTATCTTAAGCATTGCCTTCTAATTAATCATAAACATATTAAAAGGAGATGATAGTGAAACAGGAGCATTAATGAAACAATGATTAAATTTAGTTCGTTTTTTCCCTTTTTTTTCGTTACTTGCACATTTTTTTCGTAAATTTATATGTAAATATCAATTTTTAGACGTTCAAATACAACAATAATAATTATAATAATAACTTAAATTAAACTAAAAATAAATAAATAAATGAAAATATAAACTGGATTGCCGGTAAAAACTGCCAAATCCAAGAAAGCTATTACCTATATACAAATAAACACATGAATTTTATTACAATGAAATCAATCGGACAATTTCAATTTGATTTTTGATTATTTACGGTGGAATGATTGATTGATTTGCGTGTCGAATATAATTTCCTGAAACACACACACACACACACACACGAAAAATAGAATAAAAACGGTAAGAATGGTCAATTTTTTTCTGATTCAATATTCATTTTTATTTCAATTTTTGTCTTGCCATCTCGTTTCAGTAGTAGAAAGTCCTCTCTAATTTCATCAACCTTGCAAGTCGCTTGCATGCAAACTAATTATGGCCTTTAATGAACAAAATTCAGGCAACAATAATGCATTCACAAAATAAAAATTTCATTCGACTAATTTAGTTGAATTCATTTTCAAATTAGTTGAGTATAATTTGTAGTTTTTTTAATTCTTCTTTATTTTTTTCATCGATCAATATGTCTCTAACAAAAAAAAAGAACTAATGAATGTACAGAACAAGCATTTTTGACTTAACGTCGATGACTGATTTTTTTTCTTCTATATAATTTAATTGAATTAAATATACATATATGGCCGAATTGATTGGATTTTAGAATTGGGGCAGCTTTGAATTTATTTTATTTGCAAAATTAATTGAATTTTGAATGCGAGATGAAACATAAAAAAAATTAATAATTCCATTAAATCTTTATACAAAATAAAGAAAGAAAAAAGACACCTTAAACTCTAATATTTTATTTTGAGTGTATTTGATCTGTGCGATTTCGGTTCATCTTAAACGTACAGTTTTCATTCACTTATAATCTAGAGAAATGGAAAAATGTTTGTGTTTGCTTTTATGTTTGCTTTTTCTTTCGTCCTGTTCGTTTAAAACTTTGTATTATTCGGATATTTTTCTTGAGTAAACCTAATTAACTGACTGGAAAAATTTTCGGGTTGATTTAAATCACGATGATATAACATTGTCGCCTGCGCCAGTTCTTTATTATAAAATTCTGTTTTCAGCACTTCGTTGCGATAGATTTCCGTTTTGAATGTATCAGTTTTATAAAGGTTGGACGTTTCGAAATTTTGATTTTGAAACGGTTCACTGTTATTCGGATTGAATGCATGATCAACCGATTGATGGGGCGATGGTTGAGCTGATTGATGTTGTTGTGGTTGAGGCAGTTGTGATACATTCTTCGTTGTTTGCATATCAAAATTATTTTGATCCGATTTTGATGATTTTTCATCTACATGCTTTATCATATGTATTGTTAAATTGCCTGAGTGACTGAATTCTTTATTACAGAGGTCACATTTGAATGGCTTTTCACCTGTGGAAAATAAAAATCAACAATGAAAATATCGCTCAAGATTGAAAATTGATCAAAAATCAAAATAAAAATGTTGACTGACCAGTATGCTTTCGCATGTGGATGGTCAGATTTCCTGAATGTGAAAATTCTTTTGAACACACGGTGCATTTGTACGGTTTCTCCCCGGTGTGTATTCGCATATGGATGGTCAGACCGCCAGAATAGGAAAATGTTTTTTGGCACACTTCGCAACGGAACGGTTTTTCACCTAAACAAAAACAAAAATTCTCATAATAATGCCTCTCGTACTATTTCTGTTGGCTTTGCATTTTAGTCTTACCGGTATGTTTTCTCATATGAATATTTAGATTGCCTAAACAAACGAACAAATGAAAATGATTAAAATTAATTCGATGACAGAATTTGTGCGAATGGCTTTTACCGCTATGACTGAAACTTTTGTCGCACTGTGTGCATTTATATGGCTTTTCAAATGTATGCTTTCTCATGTGAATCGTCAAATTTCCTGTAATGTATTGAATCGTCAATGTAATGTTGTCTGAGGAACAATTACTTAATACATACCACTATGAGAAAATGTTTTACCGCATACATTGCATTTTACGCATTTTTCACCCGAATGAATTCGTTTATGAACCGTTAAATTGCCACTGTGTAAAAATTCTTTGTCACAAACCTATTCAAAAGATTTAAATCCATCAATTTGTAGATATTTAAATATTTATTCCATTTTAAAGAGCTTACATCACATCGAACGGCTTTTTCGCCGGTGTGTATCCGTTTATGAATGGCTAGATTGCCGGGTGTTGAGAAATTTTTGCCGCAATCATCGCATTGCACCTTTTCATTGTCGGCCGTATGTTTTTTCTTGTGTATGCTACAATTGCCGGGCGTTGAGAAGACTTTATTACAAATGTCGCACCTTCGATTTGCATTCACCGCTGCCGATGGCATATTCCGTGGTTGTACAATATTTGGTAATTGCATCTGTACTTGCACCGGAACCGGTTGTGTAAATTGTGGCAAATAGAAAAATGGGCGTTCCACCATTGAATGCGACGATTGATTCATCGTACCATCCGATTCATTGCCACTGTTATTGCTTTTGGTATTTTGCATGATTTTAGGTGAATTTTGATAAACAATGTATGCCTTGAATCGAATAAAATATCACAATGATAAATGGAAACGGAGTCGAGCAGCATCGGTATTTGATTTATTCACTTGCACCATCGATTTTAATCAATAAATCTGATAAATTAGAATAAATAACAAAATGCACATCAGCAAATAAGGTTAGCCAAAATCAATAAAATTCAAAAAATTTGAAACGGTATAATTCACGTGCAACATCATGCATAGGTCAATTCATCTGAATGCATATCAAAACAATCAATTTGTTTTATGGACATTTCATCGATTTTAACAAACAAAAAAATTTTGCTCTCCGATTTTTCCAATTGCATCGAATAAAATTGCAATTTCGTTTGCCGAAACAGAGACCAAATTCAATTCAGAATTGAAGTGTATCCAACAAAGCACAGTAATAAACATTAAATTTAATGGGTTTTTCGTTTATGATCTGGGCTTGGTTGCATTTGCACTTGTTTTCTCACATACCAGCAATGATTTTATCAGTGTTGAATCGAATGAGAATATTCTCAACACCAATCGTCAATACATTATTTCATTTTAATTGTAACGAAATTCAATTTTAAACCAATTTTTATTTTCGTTCAACTCAAAAATTCGATTCGAAAAAATATGAGAATCAAAAATCCACTATGTGTATATATGATATCTATGTATATGATGGCGAAATGTTGCTTTTAATGACATTCGCCAAATTACAATTCGCCGCACAACAAACACACAACACTACGTTGCCTAATATAGAGGTCAGCACATTCTATGTCAGATTCTTATTTCTTTTGATTTTTCACAATTTTTTTTTTTTATATTTTGAAGCAACTCTTTTTTGGTGTGACTTGGAATCATTTTCGAAGAAAATAATTTTGAAAACTTAAAATTAATTCATTGACCAATGGTAATGATTGATACTGATTTCATTGACGCGGTGTAGCGAAGTTAGAGCATATGTTTTCGGCGAAATGGAATTTGGACAGCGGTTGTCATTGAACTGGATGAAAAGTTGTTATGATAATTTGTGGAGTTTGTATTGTAGCAATGTTTTGTATTCAAATAACCTGTTATCGAACGTATCAATAGGTTTTGGTTACAGTTTGAATCTGTGATAGATTAAAATGGGCGGTTATCGATTGATGAGAGTGAATGACGTTAAAAGAAGTGGAAATACCTTAACAATTCTTTGATATGCTCTGAGGAATTGTCAGAGATTCTCCTAGAGCCGACATTTGTATTTCTACTCAGAAGCCAAAATCCTGATACATCACCACACCGAATTTATCATCGATAAATTTGGTTACAAATCAGCAAAAAAAAAACAAACTTTTTTTAAATAAAAGTCGATTGTATGATTTCTTAAAATACTTTATTTGCAATTAAAATCCAAAGAGCTCATAAATTGAGTTTTCTGTCAATAATATTCATCAAATTTTAGGCACTTTTCAAATTATATACAAATTCAATGTTTTTATAGTCAAACACGTGGCGTATTTATATATTAATAATATCAATAAAAGTGAGCTAAATGTGAGATAAAAATTGTATCAGTCTCAGTACAAAAGTGATGTTGGTAAAAGTTTTTGTTTGGCAAAATCGTTGGCGATCTTAAAAAAACGGAATAAAACATTTAACAAACCAAAAAAAACAAGACGAGATAAAAAAAAAACTGGATACTCACTTCTTCTATGCTTTCTTGTGTGAGAATCGGTACTTTGAGTCGATAGCCGGTCGCTTTCAATTTTTCATTGGATAAATTCAAATGGCAATGTTGTATTAGCTCGCCATCCATGAACGGCGATAGTGGTGTATTTTCGCATTTATCTCTCAGACAAATGTCAGCCCATGGCGCCATATGCTTGTCATTGATTTCTTCAACAATAACCGATGTTGGAATTTTCAACTGAAAAACAAAATGCATCAATGTGAATCCGTCCCATTCAAATTGTCTTTTTTTTTTTGTTTTACCTTCGAAAAATTTGAAATTCCTTCGCCCCAATAATCGACTTTAATGTTAAAAATGTTTGCCAAAATTTTTGAAATGCTTCCTTGCGTCGATTGCGAATCGTCAACAATATTGTAGCACTGTTTATTTGCCAACGGATTTTGAGCCAATGCAAATGCAGCCGCAACAACATCATCAACATGCACCGTATTCATTTTCATCGATTCATTCCATAAAAGTTTCATCGTTTCGTTCATATGCTTGTATAATGCAGCTATAACCAATCGAGTAGCTACAAAAATGTCAAAACCAAATCACATACACCCCCATCATTATCACCATTTATGCATTTTATTCTTTTGATTTTTTGTTTTGTTTTGACCAAAAATGAAAATATTAATAACGTACCTAATCCTTTGTGATCGCCGGTTCCGTAAACTAATGGCAAACGTAAAATGGTATAGTTTAAATCATTGCTACGATTGTCAAGCTCGTCTTCAACGCGTTGCTTTTGTTGTGCAACTTTTGACCACGGTTTCTTTTCGCAATCCTCTTTGATCGGTTTTTTCTCACTCGACAGCATATTACCTGAACTGAATTCAATATATCGATGCACATTCTGTTCAATCGCCTCATTTATACAGTTTAAACTCAATTTGTAAATGCCTTCCTGATAGATTCCATCACTTTTGCCTAGACGCGTTTCAGCCGCACAATTAAATACATAATCCCAATATGGATAATCACAGTCATTCGGTGGTTTAAATGCATTCTTACACGATGCTATTGAAAAAACACACAAATTTAAAGCTGAATTAAAAATTAAAGGTGAACATGATCAGAAAACTGATTCCATATAAGTCGGAATTCCAATTTGAATACAGTTTTCCTTTTGCAGTTTATTCTCCATATCGGAATTTTTGACAATTTTCGCATTTATATTTTTTACATATTTTGGAGATTTAACTCTAAACGAGTTGATATATCATTATAATGATAGAAAAAAAAAATCCAACTGATAACCGCAAAAATAGTCACATGCACTGATGTGAAATTGAAAAAAGAAAAAACAAATTCGTATGACTAATGCAAGATGACTCTCACGCTCTCAACCATAAATTTCATTAGATAACAATCAAAGTGGAAACCAGTTGGAACGGATACACCGAATGAGTCACACGAATCGAATTTATCGCTAAATATATATAATTAACTATTGAATTTTGAATGCAAAAAATTTTCAATGTTTTTGTCATGTTGATGTGTGAGCGAAGCGTGTGATTATTATTATGCAAAATATTAACGTAAGCTTTGCATACGCACCACAAAAACCAAACAAAAAACGGCAGCAAGTAGTTGCGTCACATTCTGTTTACTTATGTATGTATCGAATTAATTCATATAGCGATGTGACACTGACCTTGATTAATTAGATTTGCACTGCAAAATTCGACAGCGTTATCGTTGAACGCAGCCATGTGTTGATTGTTTAGCCATGCCAAGAGTGGCGGTGTTTTATCAACAACACGTACAAGCGACACTAGGCCGTTGTTTATCAAATACGAAACCAAATGTCGTCCAATAAATCCGCAACCTGTTAATGAGCGCAAAGAAATGAACGTGAGAATGAACACAATTCACTAAGGAAGATGCCTGATAAGAATCAAGTGTGTGTACAAAGAACGGAAACCGCTTTTATCTGATTGCAAAGCAATATGACATGAAAAACAAAAGCGAAGAAAAATACGTTTAACCGCACGAACAAACGAATGCATGCCCAAAGAAGCAAAACAAATCCTAATGCGAGAAGAGAGGAAATACTTCAGGAACAAGTTCTTTTTTTATTCACATTTAAATGAGAAAATACTGTGAAAATGCCATTAAAAAGGAAAATACACAACCTAGCGCTGTTAAACGTAATTAAATAATTATCTTCTTCTCTTCTCTTTCATCTACACTTTTCTCCCCATTTTTTTCTCTCTAGACGCTATTCACACTTGATTAACTTGTTGTGTAGACATAAAATCAAGGAATTTAGGCATATAAAACTCGATAACTATACAAACGAAAAGCAAATTCGCAAAAAAGGGAGAAGAAAAAATATGTTTTTTTTTTGTACGTTACCTCCAAGAATTAGAACTTTTGGTTTGTTTGTCATTTTTAATTCAAAGGGACGAGAATATTGAAAACAAAACAGAAACGGTGCAAAAAATTTACTTCACACGTACTGCACAATCGAATACGAATTACAAGCAGCCGAAAATAGGTTTTTATTTATCTTCTTGTTGGGTTTTTTTTCCTTTCTTTCTTTATGAGATCAGGACCGGCACAACCTTCGTTTGTCGAGTTTTAAATATTAAGTGTTCGAATACGACTGGAAGCAAGTGTTGCATTACAATAACATTTAAATGTTCACCACTGAATGATTCTCCATTTTACACATTTCCCCTGCTAATCTGGCGCTCACGTATGTATGCTCGTACGGCTCCGCGAGAATCGCATTTGCTTGTATGAGCGTGTGTTGTTTGTGTATGTGTGTGTGATGGTATTTATTGTGGTGGCTTTCAGTTGATATGCCACATACATAACCTCAAAAATATCATAACAATGAAAGTTTATCTGCAATGAGCTAGTTTAGGTTTCCGATTGCATTCGTTTTTTCGTTTTCCACGATTTTATTTCAAACTATTCCTTCTCTCTTTTGTTCAACTTTGAGTTTTAGTTTTCGTTCTCATTTGTTTTTGTATTTTTTTTTTGTCATCCGTAGTTTGGTGAATGTGGAAAAACAATTAAAATCATAAATTAATAATATAGATTAATAAGGCGAGAAATTCCAACGTTTCGTGTGGGCAATTGAAGTAAAAATGAGCACACTCAAAGATGTATCGATTATTGTCAAATGGAATGGAAAGGAATTTCCGATAACGGATCTCAGCGATCAGGTGATTTAATTGTCGTTTGATAGAATGAATGTATGATTAACGAATGCTTGATGTCTCTTACTTTATGCAGGAAACTGTAGCGGTGCTCAAGCATGAAATTGCCAAGCTCACAAATGTGAAACCTGAACGACAGAAATTACTCAATCTCAAATACAAAGGTATTTATGATTATCGGTCAGAAAAAACAACAAAAACATAGAAAACAAGCGCAAAAATGACACACTAATGGCTTTTTTTCTTTTTTTATTGCGAAATTTTCTGTCCGCAGGTAAATTTGCGACCGATGAATTACGGTTAAGCGCATTAGAATTAAAAACGAATTTCAAACTGATGATGGTTGGATCCCTTGAGGCTGATATTCAGGATGTACAGAACACAATCGATAATCGCGATGTCATCGATGACTTTGATGATGACAACGAAGAACGTACCTCATACAATTTCCACAAAATGGAGGTTTGTCTTTTTTTTATTTACTTAGCCCAAACAGGTGTGGGTTGTCATTGTTTAATTTGTGACAAATATTTCTTATGCTAAAAAGAAACCGATGCCGTTTTTATGAGGTATATTAATTTATTTATTCATCGAAAAGCAATTATCGTCACAATTAATACCAGACTTAATATCTATTCTAACAATAATACAATGATTGGTCATAAAACAACACATTCAATTATTTGAATTAAAATCCCAAACCAGTCCATGCAAAACCAAATATACAATTTGATTTATTTATCTTTTTTGTCTTCGGTGCTGATTGTATGTGGATTAATTGATGTTTCACCATCGGTGACCTCGGTTTTATTCTTTCGATTGAATACACACGTTCCGCCTGAACAATCGATTGGGAATTTTGTATCTTCCGGTTTACCAATTACATTACCATCGGCATCTTTTTTTGCCCATGGATTCCAATACCGCAATACATACGGTTGAATGAAACGATGCCAAACGAACAACAGCACTGGAACAATGAAACATGGAATGCAAACCATTTTCGTTTCGAATACTGAAACAATGCAATTATAAAACCAGTTAGATAATTTTATTCATAATTTTTTAATATAGATTTTCCAAAAGAATTACTCAACAAACCGAAATGTGTTGGGAAAATGGTATTTTAAAATTGTCAATTTCCGGGATTTTTTTTTTCTTGTGCAATTTCAAGTCGCAATGGAATCATATAAATAATTGATAACAACTGTGCATAAAACTACAATTCATGTTGATATATATGTCAAAGTGACATTTCGCTGCGAACAAAGACGTGTATTTCAACACATACACACAAACACACACACACACATACATACACATTCATAGAGCGAATGGGGAATATTTGTCACAACCGCGAAATGTTTGAATATAATTTACGATAAATTAAAAATGATTTTAACTTCTCTTTCATTTCCAGATGTATTTGGCGAAAGTGGAAAAACGTGTTCGTTCGTATAAAATCCAAGAATTGAATCCGCCACGTGAATCGAAGCGTTTACTAGTGCTAGACATAGATTATACATTGTTTGATCACCGTTCCTGCGCTCAATCGGCAGCCGAATTGATGCGACCATATTTACATGAATTTTTAACATCAGCTTATGAGGATTATGACATTGTTATATGGTCGGCCACCGGCATGCGATGGATCATCGAAAAAATGCAAATGCTTGGCGTCGCCACAAATCCAAATTATAAAATCCTATTTTATTTGTGTAGCTCGGCCATGATCAGTGTGTATCATAGCGAATTGGGAGCGCTGGACGTTAAACCGCTTGGTCTTATATGGGGCAAATATAAACAGTATTCGGCGAAAAATACCATCATGTTCGATGACATACGGCGAAATTTTCTAATGAATCCACAGTCGGGTTTGAAGATTCGTGCATATCGGCAAGCACATCTCAATCGCCAAAAGGATAACGAACTGGTCAAGCTAACGAAATACTTGAAAGACATTGCCACTCATTGTGATGATTTTACACAGCTATCACATCGCAAATGGGAAAAATATAATCCAAAATCATCTTAAGCACAACATAATTCCAAACATACATTACCGAATGCTTTCAGGCTTCAATTAAAATGTTATTCCCTCTCTCTATTTCTGCGACAAGCACAAAACAATGTATTAACATTTAAACTACAAGCGTTCCGTATTATTATTATTATCAGAAAAAAATAAAAATAAAAGAAATGATCTGTGAAATGAACGAAAAAACAAAACGATTTTAAATCATCCGTATATTATGTTTTATTTATGTCAACTGTGTTGATTTTCTTTATATTTATAAAATGTGTATTCCTAGAGGATGAAATTTAAGTCATTTTGTAGCTTTGAAAATGTAGGCTTTCATTTTTGATGTGTGGTTTGTTCATTTAAATTGGTAATTCAGCATTTGCAGTTGTTGGTTCAGATTCATTGATGGGCTGCATTGAAGTGGCTACATCGCCTTTGGTCGAATCAGATTGTGTGGCGGCAATTTCGGGCAAAAAATCGTTGTAATCAATTTCAGGTGTGGCCACCAAACCATCTGGTATATCGGTTAGAGTGACAAAAGTATCATTGGTTGTAGAATTGATAATCGATTCATCAGCATTCGTTTCATCATCAATTGCAGCCAAAGTGTCAGCATTATCGGTGACAAGCTGAGATGAACCACCAACAAACTGGCAGGCATCGAACTGCATGTTGGACGAATCAACTGGAATATTTTCAGTTATATCATCAATTTGTGGAATTATTTTACTGGCTTCCTCGTGCACCAATTGTTCGATAAAATTCAAACTGTCATCGTTGTCATTGAAATCAATTGGTGAGATATTTTCGTTGTTAACAACCACGTCCAAGTTATCGTCGTTGCCAATTAGTTTTATGACATTCTCGTCATCATTCGTTTTGGCATTCGAAATGCTTTCAAGTTCTGCATTCACTTCAATTATATCGGTCGATTGTTGGCATGTGTCGTGGATATTTGCATAATCACTTTCGTTTGCCACAACATTTTCTAGTTCGGCGATTTCATTTTCATAAATTTCATTATTTGTGACATCATTGCTATGATTTGCAGGAACTTCATTTAACGGGGATACCGTTTCGCAAGGATTTGACGGCGGTACAATTTCGTGTAAAGATTGAAATTGACCCGACTCATTTTCGGAGTTTTCAATTTGTGGGTGAATTTGTTCCATTGGAGACGAAATTTTATCTTGAATTTGTGGATCCGTTTGAGCTAATATTTGATTGGGATCCGCTGCCAATTGGTTTTCAATCTCATTTGGCGGTTGCATTGAGTTTGTCTCGTCAATTGATTCAGATAATTGTTCGTTAGTTGTGAAATTTGTATCATTCGAAACCGGTTGAATGGTCTCTGAATCAACATTATGGTCATTTGAAGTTAATTCATTGGAATCGTTAATGGCATCAACAGTTTGGATAGAACAGTTTTCGGCCTCTGTCACATTTTCCGTTTGATTTTCTTGTTCGATTGTCACAGCTGCTACATTATCGATTATATTCGTTTGGAGATTCAAATTGTCAAATTCATGTAATGAAGTATTTGTATTATCACATACACTATTATCAGCGGCTTCTTCATTCGGTTCGTTTTCAGTGTGGATTTCTTTTTTAATATTTTGAATGGGTATCATGCAATCGGTAAGCGATGTTGTATTTGTCAACGGTGTGGGGGTGTCAATAAAATTATCACCAGCATCAATTGGCGGTGGTGTCTTCGGTTCGCATTTAATGCGAATCGGTCGAAATGGTATGCTATTTGTTGTTGAAATGGTTGCAAATGGATTTGGTTGTGGTGCTGCATATGCCAATGGATTAATTGTTGGCGGTTCAAGTACGCTATGAATTTGTGTGATAATTGGCAATGGATTTGTTTCAAATGTTGATTGATTCGTTGGCATTGTGTCGTTGAAATCGTTTGTTGGCATTGAATAATCCGGATAGAAATTGTCAGTTTCCTCTTGTTCCATTCGTTCTTGTTTTATTTTAATTGCCAACAATGCTGGTTTTTTATATAATTTCTTCTCTTTGTCACGATGTTTTGATTTCTTTTGACTAATCTTGTGCGTTGCGCGTGAAGTACTAGCCAACTCATACGATTCATCAACACGTTCCTCTTTTATGTTTCGTGCCAAATTTGCATCGAATTCATCACCGTAACCGGGTCGTATCACCTCTTTTTTAATGCGAATTGTGAGTGGAGGCACCATTGGCCGTGAGATCACCAGTGGCGGAACAGTCAGTGATGGCGGTGGTGAAGGTGTTGGTAGTTTAGATGGTTGCTGTTTATCGCCTTCTTCTTCTATGGTTGGTTCATTTATTGAAATGGATGATGTACTAAAGGCGTTCATATCAAGTGGTTCCAATTTAACACGACATTCAAGCAGTGGTTGATTTAAATTTGTACGTATTTGTGTGTTCGAACCCAAACTTGTGCATGTCGTACTTTTTCTCGCCTTCGAGCAGCTCGGTGTACTTGGTCCTTGTTCATTTATCGGTAATGTTGTCATAATACTGTCATTATACTGTCCATCAAATTCGTTGTCACTATCTCCAAAATGTGTGTCCATATAACTATTATCCATATCTTCGTCAACATTATCGTAAGCATCGTCGGCTGTTTCAATTATGGTTTCCGGTTCTAATTTGAAACTATTTTGCGGTTGTGTGTCAGTTTTTGATGGTTTTTGTTTCTTTGATTTGGGGCCAGCCTTTTTCGGAACTATTTCAATTGGAACAGGACCGGGTCCGGTGCATTTAAAAAAATGCTTCATTAAAATATTTTTCTTAATAAAAACTCGATGACATTTTGGACATGGTGAATTCGATCCAATGAAACAATTATGCCAATCATATAAATTTTGTGTTTCGAATTCTTCGTTACACAATTCACAATTAATACTATTTGAGAATGCTGTCATCGTTGCATACGATGGATGAATGCATGCCGAAACATGGCGTTGAAATGTGATAAGCTTTTCAAATGTTGCACTGCACATCACACATTTATGTGGAACATGGAACATTGAGTGCCATTCGTGATGTGAGTTATATTCGGCAACGGTGATGAATTGTTCGAGACAACTGGAACAACCGTATTCGGATGTCATTGGACGATGGCTTGCAAGCATGTGTGCATCACGGAATGAATTTTTTTCAAAACGTTCTTCGCATACCAAACACGATATGCCCGGCTCCTTTTTTATCTTCTTTTTGTTAATCGGCGGTTTTGTTTTTGTTTCGGCCTTTCGTTTCCTGCGAAAACAGAAACAAATCACCATGAATATTTGCCACTCAATAATTCAAATTGTCAACACTTACATTTCTTTACGCTTTTGTTCAATTTCTCGTTTGCGTTCACGTTGATTTGGTTCTTTGGGTGCGAGTAAATCAGTCGCTGATGCCTTGGTTTTCTTTTTCTTACCGTTTTTCGTACGACCCGTTGCAATCTTCTTTTCTTCTTCTTCTTCCTCTTGTTTGATTCGTTCAAGTTCCAATGTTATTTCTATTTCACGTTTGGTCATCCCTATGGTTATCCAGTTATATACAAGTTTAAAAAAATAAAGTAGAAGAAAAATTTACTTGGTCATACCTTTGAAGCGATTTTCACTTGTTGTCGTCGCTGCTGCACCTGATGTTCTTTTCGATTTCTTTGCGGTTTTTTGTACTGGTTCCGCTTTTGTTTTAACATCCGTATCAACAATACCAAAAATGCTCTCAACTGCTTCATCATCGTCCGTTTTGATTGTGACCTTTTTCGGGGGCTTTGCTTTTGCTGGATCGGGCAAGTTGAGTAATTTTCGTGTTTGAACATTGGTCGCCTCGCACATTTCTCGAAATTCATAGAAATCATTGATTTTATCTACGCACAATGCACAAATACGTTGCGGCATTCGATCGTTCTTCATAACCTGCGCATAGTCAAGGTACAAAATTCGATGTACATGGTGTAATTTATTATCATCAGTTATGATTCATATTTAACTGCGTTGAATTGCATAAATAGAGTATCATACCTGTATGCCAACACAATCGGCAATTTTTCGGCTTAATGTCACCTCACCGTCAATGGTCAAGTCAATCCATTCGGCTGCATTGAGAATATCAATTTGATTTGGATTATCAATTCCACATAAACGACACAAATTTTTTAGTCGTGCCTTCACCGACTTATCAATTTTGATTGCAAAACGTTGCATTTTGCACACACCGATATCAATATTATTAAACAGAGAAATTAAATTGGTTTACTTTACAATTGGACAAATTTCATGTTTGTGCTTTTTTTATCGGTTTACATTGATATGACAGAGATTTCGGGTTTTGTTTCCAAACCAAAAAAAACGAGTGTATGTTACAGTCTCGCTTCTAGTTTTTTTTTAATAATAATAAATGAGAATGATGTCGGTTTGACAGTTTACATTTACAGTAAACACTTTTCCAATTCTAGCAGATGCGAATTGTCAAAAAATATGATTTGGATATGATGGCGACCGTCTCCACTATCATCGAATCCAAAATAAAATGGTATACCAAATTTTTGTTTGTTTTAAAAAGTGTTCGGTAGGTTTTTGAAATGAAAAAAATCGATTCATTTTGATTTCTTAATATATATCTGCATATAAATTTATTCTTTCGTTCTCTTTTTTTAATTTTCACAAAAAATATGTATCAATACAAACGACGACATTTTCAATTCATTCTTTTGATTAATTAGCTCCGACACGTGAGAGATGTGGGTTTTTCTTTCTGAATGTTTTTTTTTTTGTTTCGAATTTTATACATATAATATGACGAGAAAAACGATGATTTTACAATGATTTATGGGCATGTTGATGATAATATGGTTTAATCTCGCGTACGAAGACCCCAAATCGATGTTCGCCGACTTCCTACGGTTGGTCTTGCCACGGCCGAATGCTTATATTTATTTACTCCAATGTGCGGAAACTTTTCACTCAGAATCGACAGTGCTTGATCTGACAATACACCAAATACATCGATAAATTGTAGCGCTTTCAATTGATAGATTTCCCTAGAGCATCATGGAATACAAATGTGATTAATGAATTGAATTGTTTGACCAATGTTTGACTGATGCGACAAGTGCATGAAACAAGAATATAAATTACTTACAGATACGCAGACACACTTAAATTGTAACAACGGGATAATGACAAATATTCCAAATGTTCCAAATTGGCAACAATGCCAATTGTTTCCGACGTAAGTGCTGTACAATCTGATAAATCTAATTCACGTAATTGTGGACAACGAGATACAATTTTTTTCAAAACTGAAAAATTGAGGAAAACAATTGTTTCATTGCGTGATTCAAATATTGATTGCAATACGGTACTTACTATCATCAGTCATTGTTTTTCGGCATCCAGCGATATTCAGTCGTGTCATATTATCATTAATATAATGTGCGAATTCACGTAAACTGTGCACCTCCAGCGATGTCCACGAGATATTTAATGTGTGTAATCTGAAAAATTGAAAAACAATCAAGAAATGGCATTAAAGCTCAAAAATAATGTGTACCATACCCTTTCAATGAGCCAAGTATTTTTTTAACGCCATACGGATTGATGCCAGTGCACATGGACAAATTAAGCACTTCTAATTTTCGATTTTGTGCAATTGCCTTGCAAACGGCATCATTGACTGGCACATGCTCAAGACTTAGTTTACGAAGTTGACGACACTTTGTGAATAATTGAACCAATGAATCGGTTGAAATAACTGCCATACTTAAATCCAAATATTGAACTTTCGTGGAATAATCCTTTTGTAATCGAGACATATCGAATATGGGCTCAAGAATCTACAATCAAAATAGAAGAAAAAAAAAAAGATTTTCAATAAACGTTCGTCCGTCAAGTACAATAACAAAAATCAATGCATCAAATCGTTGTTACCTTGCTTTGTGCCAAGCGTAGAATAATGGCGCCACGCACTAGTATGCGGCCCAATGCATATGGTTGAATGGTTTTTCCGGCCAAATCCAATCGTGCCCATAGCGATTCATCTTGAACAACACGACAAAAACGATGATTGACCAGGCTACAACGGTTAAGTGTTTTTTTCGGTAGCCATTTGAAAATCAATAGTAAAACTTCATCGGATAATTTTGTAAAATTATCTTCGCCAGTATAAAGCCGTGGATCACGTCGTTGATACATGAAAAAACTGTCACCATTGTTTGCCGCTTTTTTGATGTCATCCAAATCGGGCGATTGAATTGGTGTTGCATTTCCAATTGTTGCCAATGGACTGCGACCTTTATGCTTCATTGGACTATCACATACGGTATTTTCTTTTTGAATTTTTTTCATTGAATTACCAAGAATTGCCCGTCCTTCCGGTGGATGGGCAATTGTTTGATTGCCAGCAAATGATGTTGATTGACCGCTGGTGCTGCTGCTGCCGTTGCTACCAACATTTTCTTGTTGCTGCAGAATGCCACGGAAATTTGTTCGATTGCATGGTATAAGTGTGGCCGGTGTAAAATCATGATTCGCCTGCATTTCAGTTGGAAAATTGCTGCACTCATTTTTCGATTCAGAACCATTTAACGTGGGCAATGAATTTGCTTCGTTGGACGATAGATGCACGTCGCTCATTGTATTTTGATCTAAATTACTTTCCGTTTCGCTGAACGGTTCCGCCAAATCCGATTCATCAACGATCGAATCGTTCGATGTGTCCGGTGGTATCATGCTAAGCGCTGAACTTGGCGGTGCAAACGATGCAATTGCACTGCTCACAAGTGACGATTGATTTGATTCATCTGAATCTAAAACACCGAAACCCATATCGCTCACCGCAAATAGCGACGAGAGTGGTGATGATTTTGATGCACTTCTTAGATTTGCGAAGCGAATATGTGACGATTCACTTTTGTCAACAGATGATGAGGGATCCAAATTTTCGTCAGTTGGAGAATTTCTTTGTCGTTTATTGCTACAAGGGAAAACAAAAATGTGCAGAAAAATAAGAAATTCAAATAAAATTGAATGCAAAGACAGTTTCGTTCTATCTTTTCAAATCGAATTGCATGCATGAGGCAACAGTGTGTAGACATACAAAATGCACACCTCGACACAAATGCAATGTTCGTTTGGTTTTATAAATTTACCTTATGTATGAGTTTTCATCGTCTGTATCACTTGTATTTAATTTATGTTTCGAACCAGTTTCATCCATAATGTAACAATTTTCCGACAAATGAACAAATTTAATTCGTTGCGTTTAATTTGCAAAGTCATAAATATATATATATTTCTTGGTCTATGTTGTTTTTTTTACAGTATGTTGAATCGTTTCTTTCGTCTCTCTTTTGGTGCGAGGTTCGGAATCTGTCACTACAACCAGATAAATAACGCGCAAACAAAACTGCTTGAAATTCTAGCAGAATTTCAGCCGGTAAAATAAACCGAAAACTGACTTTTGCCACTTTTAAACCGATTTGTACCGTTTGCATCGAGCTGTCTTGTTAGACTTTTACAATAACAAATTATGAGCATGTACATAACCAATAATATTGAAAAGAATTCAGATTCTTTTTATTTTTGTTTTTAAAATTTCCAAAACAAAGTATGTAAATTATAAATTTTTTTAATTAAAAATTGGATTGTGTATACGTTTGTCTGGTGTATCTAATGTTTTTTCTTAGAAGAGCTGTGATTGACATCGGCCGAAAATCCGTTGGATATGATTTTCGATTGTATTGTAATGCATCAAAACAATTTAAAAATCAAGGTGGCCGATCAGATGGTGCAAAAAGTTCATTTGAAAATGATGAAAACAAAAGTGAAAATAAGGAAGAAGATGCAGACAAACAACAAGAGAAACAGTACAATAACAATAATGAATCATTCAATGAAAAAGATCTAATGATACGCGGTCAATTTCATGAACTGGCCATAAAAAACCGCGAAACATTTTTAAATATGGTGCATATGTTTGTCGAACGTGATAAACATCGTCGGCATCATGTGGAATTCATTTATGCTGCACTCAAGCATATGGAAGAGTTTGGCGTTCATCGTGACATCGAAGTGTACAAAGAGATTCTGAATGTTATGCCAAAGGGAAAAATGATAGCAACAAATATGTTTCAAGCGGAATTTATGCATTATCCAAAACAACAGGACTGTGCCACATTTTTATTGGATCAAATGGAATACAATGGTTTGTTTCTTTTCTCGATTATAATTTGAGAGTGTTTTTTCTCATATCTTTTTTTTTCGTTATTAATATAGCCGTGATGCCTGATGTGGAATTGGGAGATTTAATTCAAAATATTTTTGGACTTAGAAGTCATCCGTACTATAAATACGGGCGTATGATGTATTGGATGCCAAAATTTAAGCATCTTTCACCATATCTATTGCCCGATCCCGTACCAGAAGATCCACTTGAATTGGCCAAATTGGCGGTGCGACAAATGTGCACCGTTGATGTTGAGTCTGTCGTTGATGTGCTCAAAACAGAACACGTCGAGAGCAGTTTGGATAAGACATGGATTGTGAGCGGTCAAAGTCCGGAACAGAAAAATCTATTGGCAAAACATTCAATTGAATCACCGCTAAAAGTAAAGGGTCCGTTTGCAATTTGGCTTCGAAATCGATCGATAAAGTACTTTACATTAGTTGGAGACGCTGAACCCGATGACAAATTTGCACCCGAAGAAGATGAAGATGGTAAGCGAACATCGATTGCCAATCGTATTATTTCATATTGTAATTTTGAGTTCATTTTAGATGTTAGCAATATGCCGTTACCGAATTTTTTGAAATTCATGTCACCGAAAGAGACACAAGTTGAAGTACGAAAACCAAATCGTTCAATTCACCAACAAGACGACGGTACAATTTATGGAATTTGTGCAACAGGAACATCAACCAAAGACTCACTTTTATCGTGGATTCGACTGTTAGAAGTGAATGGAAATCCAAGTTTAGCGCACATCCCAGTCTTATTTACATTTAGCACACCAGTTGATGATAGAGCATTAGTTGTATCAAATAATCATGAAAATGTTAACGCCAAGAAATGATTCGAATGATTCGTTTGTTTATAGAATGGAAAAAATTGTCACATTTTAATAAAACATTTATTCAAAATCACAGAAAAATTCTTTTCATTTATCCATTTTCATATATAAATATATACTTCATTTTGTATTTCGTTTGCTTTGATGGATCAATATCAAATTGCAGTAGGTAGTTAAAAAAAATGAGTTGAGAGAGAGAAAAAAAAGTCTACATAATCGGTTATCATAAAATTTAATCACACACAAGCGATTAACTTGAGATACGTTTTGTTTGTTTGTTTTAAATAAATATTCAGGATAATTAATAATTATAGTTATAATTAAAAGTTGTTGACGTCAACCAGTGAAAAACCAAAACCGTTTTTAATGCAGCATGTTGTTGTTTGAGCACTGTACATTTAAAAAAACAGCATCATTTAACTTAAATGATTTAAGTATAAGCCATTTTGTATTTTCGTGTTGTTGTTGTTTTTGTCCTGAAACCGATCATATATACTATTGCATCGTTGGTTGACCTTTTAATGAATGTTAAGAATCAAACTGACTAGATTCTGAATCGGAGAAAAAAAAAATTATTTTGCACGCTGTGTATTAATGGGGAAAGCTTGTGTGACATAGCCGATGCCTTTGTTTTTTCCCTCTCTGAATAGAATGCGTTGGCCAGGTATTACGTATTCCGGATGGCACATGAATCGAAATAGAACTGAAGCCTGTTCATTCGTTCCAATTTTACCGCATCCCATGATTCCCTCGACGACCGCCGTTTGTCGAATGCTTCCAATATGCACGGTTGTTTGAAAGCCTTCATAAATTGCTGTTGCATGATACAAAACCGAGATTTTCGCTTGAAAGAACCAAGATCCATACGGTTCGACAACATCAGCAGCACTGGGTGTATATTGATCTGAATGAAGTAATATCATGCCTGACCTAAGTGGTGGTAGATTTTCATCTTGTACAAATGCCAATGATGAACTTTGGCCTGCCCGAACCATTCGACACGGTGCCCGATTTCGATGAATCGATTGTACCGTAACCGGATAGAAAGAGCCATCTTGTAGCGGTCCAATTTGCATTTGAGTATCTTCTGTGAGAACACCTTTCACCAACAAGCCACCGACAACCGAACCAATGCCATTAATTTTGAAAATTTCATCAACAATAAATTCGCATGGTTCTTGTTCCAACCGCTCTTTTTCGGCATTGCTAATGCCGGGCGATAATAAGAATAAGAAACGTGTCAATAAATCCAAACCTTCACCCGTCACATTTGATACATAAAAGATAGGCACAATTTGTTCGGGAAATTGTCGTGCGCCAGCCGTAATGACATCATCATTTGTTTGTATCAAAAATGGCATTTTGCGACACTCAACCGATCCAATGATTGATTTCAGTTTGGTCAGAGTGGCATCGGGCGAAATGTTTTCGATTTTTGTCACAACAATGAAGTAAGACATGTCGAGCGCTTGAATTAAATCCAAATGTTCATAAGTCATGCTATTGATACCTTCGGCACTGACCACCAACATTGAAAAATGTGGATGATAACCAGTTAGTGCTTGAACCGTTGTTTTCAAATATCTTCGATGGCCGGCCAAATCCATAAATGTGACCAATTTGCTTGAGTTCTCGGTTATTTCTTCGGCTGTCATCATATCCATTGACAAATTTATAACATTTCCCTGCGTATCAAAACCAAGTGATTCGTGTGATATGCATGATGTTCGGCCCGATTGAATTTCATGCCGATGACGGAACATATTTAATCGAGCCGATCCTCGTCCATTATCCAATTCACCTTGCGTTAAAACGCCCAACAATGTACTTTTGCCTGCGTTCACACCGCCCACCACACTGACACGTATTTCAATGCTGTTCTGATCGTCAGGTATTTTTCGGACCAGAACTTCGGCCACCGAACGCTTTGTTGACACGACTTTTCGACGAAGTATTGTTGTCGTTGCGCCCAATTTATTGGCCATTTTTTTCAGTGTATCCAACGACGCTGCCATATCAGCATTATTCAAACCATGTAAAACACCCGAATCAAGAACACCAATTTCGTAAACTGCTTCACCTTTACCCTCTCTCAGTCGCCATTTCATTTGTGTCACCAGATGTTCGAAGCGCTGCGACGATGTATTGATCAATTTCAATTTGTATTCAATATTACCGAGTTGAGGTTCTGGCGGCAATTGATCTAGTCCAAAATCTAATACAATATTTACATTGTCCTCGTCTTGCTGCAATTGATCGGTTTGCTGCTGTAGCGTTGCCTTCTTCTTTTTGTTCTTTTTTCGAAAAGTCTTTTTGCCATGATTGTAGCCATCATTCTTTTGATTGTTATTCGACTCAATCGAATCGTTTGGATCAAATAAACTTATGAAATCCATCAAATTTGCGATACTTTTTATCTGTAATTGGAGACAGAATGAAACAAATAAGTAACTATATTAAAAATCGATACATTTAAATGTGTTTATAAACACAGACCATAACATTGATGCCAAAAACTTAAAATATACCATACGCAATTAGTTCAATCCAATTATGTAATGAAATGGAAAATTGTTATTTAAAAAGAAAAAAAACGATTTTTCTGTGTGCGAACAATAATAAGAATGCAAACGTAGACTGTTCTTGAGAATAAGTAAACCAAAACGAAACCCGTCCACAAAATACATATCGTTTCGACAATTTGCAATAATCAAGGTGATATCGTGATACAAATCAATTTGAAAGGTAATATGAATGCCATTACGGTTTCACGGGTGTTGATAGATGTGTATGGTTCAACTTGAACGAAATAAAAACCACAAAAGAGCTACACAATATTTTCAAACTTTCACTTCCAAATGGGAAAATATCATGCGATCGAACGAGAAAAAAAAAACTAAAAAAAATGCAACGGAAAAAGATCAATCGAAAAAAAAACTGCAACACACAAACTCACGAATTTATTAAAACAGCACAGCTGAGAAGCTGAAACCAAAATCAAACAAAAAGTTAACTGTTCATTGATTTAGATATGTTATGAAATATTTTCGAATATGTTATGAAATAACCTCTGTGCACACTATGATATGATAAAAAAGCAACAACATTCGTGCTTCCTTAAGATGTAAACAAATGACGCAATGTACACATTGTTGTTGCAATATCTGGTTTCCGATTAGAGTCGAGCGCTCGAGATTTTGTTTGATGATTTAGTTTGCCAACAAATTTGATGTGTTTGTTTTAAAATCGGTTGCAGTAGACAAAGCAAAAACATCAGAATATAAACAAAATTTGCCGATTTGGCGTTGCGGTCTTCATACCAACAATAGAGCATCATTTTTATCGATTTTTGTGTTTGCATGTATGTATGTAGCAATGACCTTGGCTGTCACACACCATATACATAAAATGCCAATTTGAGCTATTTGCCGCTGAAAAATGTCTTTCATTCGATCCGACACTTTGCCGAGCAATAATTAAAAATACATTTTTTTCCCAGCAATTAAACATTGCCATTTTAATGAGCAAAACATTCGATGTGAGAAACATTTTTTTTTCTATCTATTTTGGCAAAGGAAACAAAAATTCGTGCGGAACTACCGCACATCAACTCTTTTTTAATCAAGAGCTACAATTTGTAAATGCAAAGCAAACGAGAGAAACGAACCAAATATATGGTATCGAATGATGACGAAATTTAAGCATATGATTTGCGTAATTAAACGAAAAATTCACGACGAGACATTGCCCAAAAATTTGTCATAAATTTATATGTATCTATTTACTTTGAACTTTTATTACAATATTATTTTGTAAATTTGTATTCAAATTGTTTGGTTTTTCATTGCGGTCTTCTATCGATTTGGCATTTTAAATACAGAGAATAAAGTGATTTTAAAAATACACATCAATCGTCTTTGTTTCACTTCGAATTTCGATTTTCTTTCTTTGAGGCACAAACAACACTAGAACAACACACATTTGTTTTTAATAGAACAAAGTAAATATATTCGCTTACACGTTCAGCTGCTACTTTGTTTTCCGAAATCAGGTTTTTAGCGTCTTTCTTTCGATCGATGTCTTCTGATATTTGTTTTTCCTGTATTTTTTTTGTTCGTCGTCGTCGGTGATGTCAAAATTGTATCTTATCGCCGAGCAGAAGTTTTTAAGTTGAAACACCTTTTGACGCACACAATATTTTGCTATTTTGTGTGTGTGTTTTTTGCTTGTTGTTGCTGTTCTTTTGTTTGATTTTGAGCGTACAGGCCAGTGTTTATGGACTAAAAAAATGTTTTATTCTCTCCATTGACGTTTGGCCGATTTCTCACATCCGAACCTTTACTCAATTTCGTGTTATCATTTTTCGATTTATATCAACCTCTGTCAAACTTTAATAACCATTTTTTCCTATTATTATTGCGATACTGTAGCCAAAGTCTACAATAATTTCCTGTAAGTTGGGTATAAATTTTTTGCTTCTTGTTGATTGCTTAAACTCGAATATGAACACAGAATATTAATAATGTATACACACAGTCAAAGTTTTGCAGCTGATTTCTTCAAGGTTCAATTTAAAACTAAAGTCGATTGTCAGTGTGAACAGAGTGTGACTAATGCCAATGTTTACCGCATGATGGAGCCGCCGATTCGAATAAAATGAACCGTTTCACATTCGGTACAAATATTATTCGGTAGATGTATTGCATAAGTAAATAAACAATTGATACAGCAAATGATGAAATTATTTGTTGAACGAAAATGTTATCAGTGAATTATACAAATTTTGAAACTAATTGAAACTTGTAACAAATTATTTCGTTTTATAATTTTTATATTTACCAACAACTATACGTATATTTTCTTTCATCAGCTATTTGCCAACTACTCAAACCAAACTTCATACAATGGTTTAATTTTTGCAAAATTCAACGACAGACTATTAGTTCGGAACTAATGTATTTTTTGAAAATGTAGTGAATCAAATACAACATATTTTGATAGTGATAAAAGGAGCAAGAAGATGATCTGTTGCAAGTTTCAATTAGTTTCAAAATTTACACATTTCACTGCATTTCTTTAGAAGCTTGAAAAATAAAAAAAACAGAAATATGACCATAAAAATTTAATTCTGTGCTTTTAATTTTTTATTTTATTAATTATTTAATTATTGTTGTTGTTGAACATACTGTATCAGTTAATCAAATGAAAAAATAAGTGAAGAAAACTTCTTATTCTGATACAAATTTATTTGTATCAGAATAAGAAGTTTTCTTCACTTATTTTTTCAATTATTTAATATCATAAAAAGATTGAAAAGATTTGATATTAATCAATTTTCTTTGTTAACGCGTTATTTGATTAATTATTCACAATACTCTGATTAATCAGTTATTTGGATTATCAATATGCCTGACTGTGGAGAATCATTGAAGAATGATTCAGAGTTAAAGTATTAAAATATTACGTTTTTTCTTGTTTTTTTGTTTTACTAGAAAAACTCAACTAATAAATATTACGAATGTGGATATTGATGCCAGGTGTTTGTGGATGAGAGTTTTTCTATGTATATTTTTGCTTTGGTTAACGAAATTTAAAAAAAAAAATTATTCTTCTGCATATACAGCGCACCGTTTTCAATGAATTTTAGGCTTCACCGTTTTCAATGAATCTTTGCTCTTCATCTTCTTCGAATTCAACATCTTCGTCCGCCGTTGCTTCCTGAAAATTTACAATATTTTTGTAAATAAACACAATTAGTAATTATAAAACGAATTTAAGTACTTGATACTGCTGATATTCCGATATCAGATCGTTCAAATTCGATTCGGCTTCGGTAAATTCCATTTCATCCATACCTTCGCCTGTGTACCTATTTATTGCAAATACACAAATAGTACATACTAATAAGAATCGCATTCGAGCCAAACAATGTTTTATTATAGCTATTTAGCTCACCAGTGTAAAAATGCTTTGCGTCTGAACATGACAGAAAACTGCTCGGAAATTCGTTTGAATATTTCTTGTATGGATGTATTGTTTCCAATGAATGTCGCTGACATTTTCAATCCACGTGGTGGAATATCGCAAGCAGCCACTTTTATATTGTTTGGTATCCATTCAACGAAATAGTTGCTATTTTTATTTTGAACGGCAAAAATTTGCGTATCAACTTCTTTCATCGACATTTTACCTTTATTTTTGTTATGCATCGATACAAATGGACAATGTTCAATATTATTTTAAATTATATATTAAGGTGACGAAAATAAACCAGAATTAAAAAAAGGACTAACGAAAAACCATCTTCGAATAAGATGAAAAAGTTCGGCTTTTTCTTACCTCGGAATATGACGGCAACGGTTAAGTATTTACCGTGTCTTGGATCGCATGCTGTCATCATATTCTTTGCATCGAACATTTGTTGTGTTAATTCGGCCACCGACACAGCTCGATACTGTTGAGATCCTCTGGCAGTGAGCGGCGCAAAACCTGGCATAAAGAAATGCAATCTTGGAAATGGCACCATATTTACAGCCAATTTACGTAAATCAGCATTTAATTGACCCGGAAAACGAAAGCATGTTGTCACACCGCTCATCGTTAACTATTTGACGCACATGTACACCAAGGAAAAGCAATGAACGAACGAACGATATTAAGTGGCTGAAAGGTGAGTTTATCATATTTGTTAAATGAGTATTACAAACCGAAACAAGATGATTCAAGTCCCCATATGTTGGCGATGATAGTTTTAGCGTACGGAAACAAATATCGTAAAGTGCTTCATTATCAATGCAAAAAGTCTGATCGGTATTTTCGACAAGCTGATGAACTGATAAGGTTGCATTGTATGGTTCGACAACTGTATCAGACACCTATAAATAGTTTGATGCAAATAAATAATGATGAGTATCATCCGTTCAAATAGATCGTATTGCATTGAAATACCTTTGGTGATGGTACAACTGAAAATGTTGCCATGATACGATCCGGATATTCTTCGCGAATCTTTGAAATGAGCAATGTACCCAAGCCGGAGCCAGTACCTCCACCCAAACTGTGAGCCAATTGAAAACCTTGCAAGCAATCGCAACCTTCGGCTTCTTTACGCACGACATCCAAAACCGAATCAACCAATTCAGCACCTTCGGTATAGTGACCTTTGGCCCAATTGTTACCTGCCATTTACAATGAAGAACATTTTCAATTGAAATGAACACATTAAAATGCATGAACTTTCAATGGAATGACATTAAAAAGTAAAAATAACAGACATACCGGCGCCAGATTGACCGAAAACAAAGTTATCTAAATGAAATCAAAGAAAACGAAAACAACCATTTTTGTGTTGCACATCAAAAACTAAAATATTCCAAATGATTTGGCAAAAAAAAACAAACCTGGACGAAACAGTTGACCGTACGGACACATGCGTACTGTATCCATGGTTCCTGGCTCCAAATCAATTAGAATTGCACGAGGCACATATTTTCCACCATTTGCTTCGGTATAGTAAACATTGATGCGCTCCAATTGTAAATCGCTATCGCCATGGTACATGCCGTTCGGATCGATTCCATGTTCGTCAGAGATAACTTCCCAAAACTGTGAAAACGTTAAAGAACAAACATAAATCAGAATGTGTTGTGTGCAAGCAAACGAATGGCAACCGACAAATCTATGGATTGAACTCCCAGCTTTCATTCCACATTTTTTTTTGTCACATACACATACGCATCTCTCATTCGGCTATAATATTCAATATTTAAAACAATTCAACATTCATGAGAATTCATTCGAAATCAACACAAACGAATGTGTAATTTGATTTAATAGTCAGTGCAAATGCATCGCAATTGGGCTAGGTTAAGAATTCATGAACGAGAATGAAGTAAAACGAAGACAAAAATAAAACGTAATAAGACTTTTTCGAGAAAAAAAATGTAAAAATCTGGTTGATCATCGTGCCGAAAAAGGGAGTGAAAATAAAAATGTACATTTATTATAACTTTACGCACCTTGGAACCAATTTGATTTCCACATTGACCTAAAGATGTAGAGAAGAGAAAGAGAGAGAGTGAGAGTGAGAGGAAATAGTTTTTGCCAAAGTTCTCGACGTAATATATGTATAAACTAACCGGCTTGTAAATGAATTATCTCCCGCATTGTATATATCGTTGCGATTTAAAATGACACGTCAATTCTATATATCCAGTAAATCCGTTAACACAAAATTGTATCGTTTTTGTTGTTTTGAGAGTTTAATTTTTACGATAAACGTCAAACGTGAAGTGCGAGCATAAATAGAAAAAAAAACACAACAGTGAAAAATGTGCGTCTCAATTTTATTCAACACTCATAAACGACCAAACGATATAGTATACAAGACACACGTTAAGTATGCTCACGTAAAGTAGAATAGTAAAATAAGCTAAAGGAAAAATGTCAGCGTACACAATACGATGTATAACACTTAAAAAGGGTGTAAAACTAACGAAAGTAAATATAAATTTTCTGATAAAATACTACGCACTACTTTCCGTCGAATATTGTTTATTTACAGTCGCTTGTATTTGAATCGTTTTCAATTCTGTCATTTTGGATTTGTTTCTCCTTTTTTCTCCCACTTGCTCCAATCTTACTTTGTACCTTGCTCTATTCACGTGTATAGAATTGCTATACATACATACGACAATTGGTGTGCGCGAATGCACACATAAGCTCGAAAAATTGTGGTAGATTCTCGCCGGTAGGCTTTCGATTCCACATGCCACTAATTGTTTTTTTTTCTGTTGTTTTATTTCGAGCCTTGTCTGTGGACGCGCTCGCGCGCTACAGATTCGCAAAAGCGTGAGAGTGAGGTTGAATGTTCGCAGCAACAAAACGATCTTCGTTTTCTACTTTGAAATAATAATCAACAAGTGTCTATTTTTACACATACAATACAGTGTGTCGTACACAGGTCCGTGCATTGTTTAACCGCTGTTCACGCAATATGGAGCATCATTTGCTCATATGGTTCTCATTCGTTGTTTTGTTTGTATCTTTCATTTTATTTTTTGTATTCACATGCATGTATTTTCCATCTGAAATGGAATAATAACAACGATGACAACGATAAATTGTATGCAATGTGCAACAATCAGTCTATGTAACCCAATGAACTTTGTTTGTTAGTCGCATTCAACTGTGTGAACTTTTGAAGTCGAATGACATACACACACTAGAGCACGCA